AGTTGTCTATTTTACTTGGATTTCTAGATCTATACGAAGGGAATACTGGATACTAGAGCGTAAGTTTTTTCTTATGAATTTTCCATTGATGATGTAACTGTTTCTTGGCTCGTCGAACGTAAGTGACCTTAGTATCATTTTATTGTATGGGAGTCTTGAAATTTGAATTGAGCGATGCTCTCAGAATGTAGTACCACGACCTATGCTGGTTACTGAAGACAAAACTGTGCAAGCTGTGTAGATCAACAATGAACGAATTTGTATGACGGATGATAAATGGTCAAATATCTTCGGTAAGGAAAAAACTTGGTTTTAATACAATTTTTGTCAACTTCTATCTGTGTATCAAGAAACTCACGTAGATGAAGTTCTTCAATAATGAAGTGCAAAAAAGTGAAATGCAAATAACTGAAACGTCCATTTGGTGTCAAAGATTAGTTTTCGTCCTAAATTATTTTTTTATTAATTTTATTTTTATTGATTATTGTTTCATGCTGTTTGATAAGTTGAATACGATATATTTTCTTATTTGTTATAGAATTGAAATTTTGGACAGTCGGACTGTATAAAAATCACTAACCGTGGTGGCTATCACAGCTAAGATCGACCTCAACCATGCCTTAATTAGATACAAAATTTTGACTTTTCGGGAGCTAAAATGTCACATTTTTCAGATTATTGTAAAGTACAAGACAAACAAATTATTATAGCTGAAAGAAGAAAATGTATGTACAATGTTTTAACTAAATGATAAGTCACCTTCGTGAAAAATACCAGAAAAAAACCAACTGTTCAATAATTCATTAAGAACTGCACTATCGTAGTCCGAATGATTCTTACCTGGATACAAACACTATTAATTAAAGTTGCATTCTGATTTTTTAAGTGAATTGAAAAAAAAAACAAGTTAAAAGGTTTACGTAAACGTTTTACCGTCGCTATGTTTTTAAGTTGGTGTTGGTAATGCAACTTATAATAAATAAAACTAAGAGTTAATAATTAAGAAGTTCAACCTAGTTTTGATGATTCGCATCATGATGGCTCAATATTTTTATTTGAAACTTTCAGAATACGTAGAAGACATATTTCTCTACATGTTTAATGTGCTCAAATTCGTACAGTAGTTTTTCAATAGCAACCAAAAAGTTTGGCGTTCTAAAATTAACGGTAAGTCCAGAGATTTTTGGATAGTTTTCTTAAATCTAAAAATTCAAAATTCGTAGTACTCAAAAACTCAATCGAAAGAAAGCTTAGATGCTGGAATTTGGTCAGTTTAAAACAGAAAATAATCATTATGTTTTCAAGTTTTCGTTAGCCACAATTGATGGACTTTGTTCATGACGTAGCCTATGCCGCTTTGACATGATAATACTGGTATTTGACAAAGCAGAATTATTCGGATTAGAAAACAAGATAATCACTCGTTTCGAAACTTTAATTATAACTTATAGCTTGTTTTTAATTCACGTCGTCTTTATTTCCAAGATAAAAAAAAGCCAACGTTGATAGATAAATAGGTTAAGTTCATCGAGTAATAGAATGAATGAAAGCAACATAAATTCAGTTTCATTGCAAGCATATAGCATAAAAGTTCAGAATTATTGGCCACCAGCTTTTGAATTTTAGGGAATTCTATCAAATTTTTATTAGAATTCGTGACAAGCTATCATAATTGTTTGTGCAAAGCTGCATGCAAGTTTAAAATGGAGATACACTAAACGTTTGCAATGCGAGGAAATTGTTTGTGAAATTTTATCAAATTTTTATTGTTAAATAATCTCTATTTACTGTCGTACTTGATGCAATTTCCTTTCGCCAGTCTGCCCGGCCTGTCCGACCTCCGTGAGGAAAGTAGGTCGAAAAACTGTCTTGCGCTTAAAGTGATACTACGTCGTAGAATTTAAAAATTCAAAAATTTTACACTTGGCGTATAAGAGCCAGTAGATATATCTGGTGTCATAAATAACGTAACAGGATCCTAATATAATCCGATAAATCCAAAAAACTTAGTAATCATTCATAAATATAGGAATTAACTATTAAACAGCGCTTATATATCAAGATAATGCGTTTTTCAATAATTACTGAGTTTTATGAATTTTCCAGATTTTACAGGGATTCTGTTGTAACTTTATGACACCGGGTAAGCTAGCTGATGAATATATACTCATATTTTATGTTCATTCTAAGACGTAGTATCACTTTAAAAGAGACTCAAATCTAAATTGAATGAAATGAAGCTAGGGCCACTGAATAACTAAAACATAATAGGAATAGTACAACATTTGATTAAACACCTCCGGCCGATTTAGATTTCAAGTTCTTCACTACGAACCTCCTTATCACTAAGCCTCTTATCGATTTGTACACAATTTTCACTATAGCTTATAACTTGTGTCTTTTTAAATGACTTTATTTTTCAGTATATGTATTGCCGATGAATTAATAATTCTGTATCTTGTACAAAAGTGGAAATGACCGGACAGCTCAAGATAAACAAAGCGACACAATAATTGATGGCAATAGATTCACCTTCAACCTTTTGAATAATTGAACAAGTGGAAATTGCCTTGGGGCTGCTTGACAGTTTCTCTCTGTCTTCAGTTAATGAATGTTTACGATTGAAATGTTGACCAGTGTCAGGATATTGAGCCACCTTATACTGGAAAACGTTCGGTTATCGGCTCTATAGTATGGTGTTATCGGCTCTATAGTATGGTGTTATCGGCTCTATAGTATGGTGTTATCGGCTCTATAGTATTGTGTTATCTGTAATATGTTGTTATCGATTCTATCGTACTGTATGATGTTATCTCGACTCTATAATAATGTATTATCGGCTCTTATAGTATTGTATGGCGTTATCGGCTCTCGGCTCTATATTATTGTATAGTAGTGTTATCGGTTGTATAAAGTATGATGTTATCAGCTCTATATTACTATATGGTATTATCGGTTCTGTAGTATTGTGTTACAGACTCGATAGTATTATATGGTGTTATTGGATCCATATTATTATATGGCGTTATCGGCTCTATAGTATTATGTTATCTGCTCTATAGTAGTACATGGTGTTATCAGCTCTATGTTAGTGCATGGTGTTATCAGCTCTATTCGCCGATCACGAGAATTGTTGCCCTTACTCCTATATTATTCACCAGTTTCATACATATGTGTGAAGATGGACAATAAAGCGCAATTATAAGTGTGATGATTGGCCGGTTTGAAAATCACGTGACATGAACATTTATTACCTAAGTCCCTACTACGAGGTTTACATGCTTAAGTGAAACACGATAGAAATATGTAATAGTGTCGGACATGTTGATAAGGCGATGTGGCCATATTAGATTCAAATATATTTTACGGGTGAGCACAAATCAAATAATCGAGAGAAGGCTTCATAAAGTTAACTTGAATCAAATTGAATTAAACACTCAAAATATTGTCAGACGTTTTTTATCGAATTTGGAAAAGATATCAAAATTAGGCTTGATTTTGTGTTGTGGAGCCATTTATTGCTTGGAGTGTCGTAACTTTTGTGGAATCCACAAAACATGCGTATGTTTTTAATATCGGACAATAGTGGATTGTGAACTCAGAGCACAGAAATGAGCTCAATAAACGGTTCACAATATGAAAATAGGACAATAATTCTAGATATATTATTAGGAAACGACACAAAATATGACATTTATTGCGGAAACGAAAGTAACGCCAACAAAACCGGATATTACGACAAAGACGGACACGAATTTGATGCCTTTATGTACATAATTTGTGTGTTGTCCTTTTATGCATTGAGTATGGTGTTATTAATGATAAAATATGTGCGACGGGAGGAAGCCGAAATGTCTTTAGATTATTATTATACAGAATTTGTGAAAAGAGAACGTTTTCAGTGTCCGCAATTACAAAACAAAGCTCTTTTACAACGGGAAACTACACGAATTAGCAAGACTACATATAACTATACAACCGAAACTGATTTCATAATAGATTCGTGTCTGGAGGATTCGAATTCGTGATGTTTTTAAATGTCATTTTCCGATGAAAACTGTTGAAAGACTTGATTGACCGAGAAACATTTCAAGTGAATTCTTTGCCAATGACGATTCGTCTTTACGTTTTTATATTTTCGAATATTCACATTAGTTATATTACTAATCATAAGTTTATTTTGATTTTTCAAAAGAGGAGGTGATTTTGAAATATCACTTCAAGTATCAGTTTCAAGATATTATGCCTATTATGCCTTTCAGTAATTGTTGACAAACTCAATGTCGAATGTTACACGTAAAGTGCAATTTTCTGCTGTGTGAAATGAAATGAAATGAAATGGAAATATACGTTCTACCTCTTCTGTTCAGAATGACACACACTGTACACTGCATGGCGTTATTCATTTCAGCAATTTGATAAGTGCAAACGAAAGCTTCATTTCTTATATCTAATCAATTGCGTTCAGTATTTCCATTTGTTTTCAAAATCTTTGGAATAAATTAATTTGTCAAATAAAATAATTTGTAATTTCTTCTTTGTGTTTCTAAAACGAATAGGGTATTGTATGGTTCCGATGTGAACCATGGTTAGTAAATTTTCAAAATGCTTCTTGTTTGACTTAACCATGTCAAATGTTATTTTTTGGTGGATAGATTTCCAAATCAACAAATCTGAGCAAATCTAGTGCAAAAATTGATTATTTGCAAAGTCCTTTGTTTAAATGGGAAATCATTGAAACTAAACTGCGCAGAATTGTGGTCTGAGTTGTCTCCGTTGCGAAATAAATAAGGCTTACATTTTCACAATCCATTACCTAATGAGCACCGTTTCTGGGTTTGCATCGATTTATTGGTTTGGAAACCATCCCTACCGCATTTAACTTGATTGGTGACATATGTTGAGCAATCTGAAAATCGTTAAGTTTTAGGTTCACAATGGTCAGTCAGAATTCAGTTCACGTTGGTCATTGAAAACTCAGTTCACTTTGGGATTAAAGTCTCATTCAACAGCGTTAAGCCTCTTGCCGTCTGGGGAATATCCGTAGGAAATGGAGGTCCATTTTGACCGTTCTGTGAAATCGCCTACCAAGTCGGCTCATAGGTAATTATTTTACATTGATTCGGGCTGATATTTGTTCCCTTAATTTATATGCATTGTTGATTCAGGGTAAAAATATTATCTTTGTTCCTTGAATCGAATATCTAATCTGCGTTATTCAGGAGGACAGAAAGACAAAACCAAATGTCTACAAATCAGTTCGATTCAGTGAATTCCCTTCATGTATTTCTGTTTATTTCTGAGAGTGACTGTCAATGATATGACGAAATTATGCAAATCATGTTCTGTGTCAAGTAATAATCTATTAATCGAACGCTCTTAGATTTCCTGTGATGTGATGAATTCTGATATATATTCCGACAGTTCTGACTGTTTTGATTGGTCAGCTATTATTCAAATTTTATCTGAAAATGATTTGATAAAAAATTTAGTCAGATCAAAGATAACAAGCGCAGTAATCTTCAGATAGAACACGAAACGATACATCTTAATCGGAATTTCAATCCGATTGTGAATTTGTGCATTTTGATTCTGCCTAGTGTTAAAGCCAGGTGAACACTTCAAGCTTATGGTCTCTTTGAGTGACATGTGGTCGTAGTCAAACTATTACGAACTTTGTACTTATACCTTGACTGCAATAGTCAACTTTCTTGGATTATGGAAATTTGTAAATAAAACGTTTTGATTGGAACAGAGGCTTCGGCAGAAAGCCATAATTTCTACAGCATTTCTGTCGAGGGCTCTGGTTGGCAGTATTCACTGTCGTACAATCCAATCAAATCGCTGTATTACGTGTTACAAAAATGATGGCAATTGCACATGTCTATCGACATCGAGAAAATGAGTTTCCATATGTTACATTGTAAAAAGTGGGTTTTACTTTCTTTATGTAGAAATTCTTGCAATGAAGAGGTATTCGAGGGGTATTCACGCAACCTGCCTGGTCTTCATGAATGGACCTCCTGGAGAACGAAGCTGAACAGTGTCATGGTGGACCTTATCGAAGAACGACATCGAATCTTCAGTTACCCGAAATCGAAGAAGTACATTCGAAATCATACACGAATATTACGAACACTGACCGAACCAAATTTTGCCATTGGTAGAGGTGTGTCCGAGTTTGCCTTGTCTCGGGCAGTTCATGATTACGTTCACGGGGAAGATGGTTTTCATCTGGAAGCCGAATCTTTCTTAAGCTTCGGTATCCCTCGTGTAAAACTCCGCTCAAACATGTCGTACTCCGGAGACGCGGATTCTGATATTCAACCAAGTCCGAACGTTAATGGTGTTAATGATGTACCAACCTACCAAAATGTAGACAGGTCTGATCTACTGGAGGCTGAGAACAATCCCAGCGTTATCTATTCTGAAAGCACTAAAAGGAGAAACATCACTAAAACGACAGAACCAAGACCATCAGATTCTGGTAGTAATCTTTCATCCACATCAACCACTGAGTTTAACACTACTGAAACTTTATAACGTTTAAGGATATTGCAGGTCTAGGGCACATAAACAGGAAGGTGAAGATTTGAGATCGGAAACGATATCAATACTGGCGGGGCTTTCTTTTTTCTCAGATTGCATATATTTGGTGATATCATAATATATGAGAAATGTAATAGAACTTATATGAATATTACTTGAAACAATGAAGTGACTTGATTCAAAACAGTTTAGAACACTTCTGTTTGTGTTAATGTAATCATTTCTTGACAACTAAACTTGCTGTATATACATTTTTGATATCAAATTGATTTTCACAATAAAATCATATCATTTCAATTTTAGTTGATATTCAAAAAGGATTTCCACATCATACAAAGGGAACCAATTATTTCCGGACACCTGTCTGTTGTCAACTCAAATACGAGGAGCTCTGACAATTTTCATTTCCAATTACGATATGGGCAGAAAGTTCCTCAACTTCACTGAGCTTCGATGTTTTGTGAGGGCTGACATGGAAAAAGCGTGTAGTCGTTCTGATGGGGACTTTAAACCGAAGCCCCGTGTGCTACAGGCTATGCCCGTTGAAGATTCCTTGTGATTTGGAAATCGAAAGAGTAGGCTCATACCGCTGACCTGTCGAAACGATTTTTCACGCCAGTCTCTCCATGACAGGGTAAACTAGATGAAATATCCCGAGGTATAAAGCTTGTTATAACAATTATATAACTTAGTTATTGAAATAATTATGAGAGATTATCTATACAAGACCATATAATATATATTATAATATTGTTTATATTATATAATGCATCGTATAACACATGATATAATATATCCTGTTATTTCACGTAATTTACAATTATTATTAAGAGTTCATATAACATATTTCAAACCCCTTCATAAACACTAAATTATTTCAACTATAAATCCTATAGGACATATCCATTAAACCATGTAAATTAAAGATATATTGAAATTGAGTTTTACGCCCTGCTTTGTTGCTCCAGATTTAGCAAAACATTTTAAAGGGACAGATTCGCCATCCATTTGACGAAAATTGTACCTTAGCGTCGGAAACGGGAATTCTAATCCGCGTTTGTTAAAATGACCACTCGTGTTTTCTTGAGACTCTGCCATATATGTAAAAGACATTAAAGTAGAATTCCAAGTTTGAGATATTTTTGAAGGAATTATGCGATTTAGTACATTTTTATATATTTCTCATACTTCTGAAAACTATTTACACATATTCAAGACCAATATCAACCCCCGGAAATAGTAAACCTGTCCAACTGTACAACTGCAACGGGTGGCTTAAGTTGAGCTTTATCAGAGATGGTATAGCAAATATTAGAGCTACTATTATATATCATGAAATACGGTTGTCAAGTCGTCCAAAGTCTGCTCTTCTAGTCATTTTATGTGATTTCAGACAGTCTTGGTTGCGCAAATTTGGCAAACCAACCACAACTCACTAATCTCTGCTCTTATTATTGCTGTCTTCATACGTTATCAAGTAAATACAATTTTTCAACTGTAGGCGGGACACATAATCATAGGCCCAACAAAAACATAGACGATGGGCTTAGAATTACATTTACATATATAATTTTTTACACTTAATTTTTTTCAAATAATCATATAATATCTCTATTAAAAATTGAATGGACTTGATTTTTATGACGGAATTTTAAAGGTATGCACACATCACTTTTTGGTTTCAATGATTTGCCGGTCTCTTCGATATTAATTTGCTTTAACTGCGTAGGTTGGACAGAATGGGGCGAGCTTTTAATTTCTGATCGTCCGTTTGTAACACTCACGTAAACATCGGCATCACGTAAATTTTTAAGTTCCAATCTTAACATTTGATTTTCCTGTACAAGTATAGCCAATCTTTTTTCCATGTAAGTTTCCAAAGATTTTCGCTTCCATCTTGATTTTTTGGCGGCGTCATTATTTTTTAATCGTTTCTGCCAATAATCACAACCTTTGTTGTCGTTTGCTACGAACTTCCGCCTTGAGTTGAAGTAACGGTTATCAGGATGATTAATAACTTGATTCAAGCGTTCTTCAAGGTTTGGAGCTGTTAAGTGGTTATCTCTGCTAGAATACGCCATAACCTAATAAAATAAGAAAATAATAGACTAAGAAGTGATTCAAATTCTGTCTCTGAACAGTGGCGGAGGCAAAGGGGGGAGGGGGGGTCGTCCAGTTTTTCGGGCAATAATCTCATAAATAGATTAGAAATTCGGACAATCTCAGATGGACCCTGGCCAGTGGCATCATCTTCCATCTACCAATTGTCGAGGGATGTCAACCTACTATAGTGCATCCGAAAGATAAGATCATTTTGAATATGGTTTTAAGCCTGCTTCATTGATCTCTTTTCTGGAACGAAACTGGAAAATCTAAACCAAATTGAGAAATAGCTTCTCAGCAAACAAGGCTTAGTGGCTCACAGCTTCTCGTAACACGCTAACATTGGCGAGTGCCAAATGTCGTCAGAACTATCCACGATACTACTTATCATAGCACTTAGAAATATACGGTTTTAACATCATGACATAGGCTTTGTATGGGAATTCTTTTGCCGTAACACCCTAACACCAAAAAGCTCAGATGGTATCAAGTTGTCGTCTGCTTGACGCCGTGGGTTCAAATCCTTCTCAAGGTAAGAAAAATTAATGCCAACGCCAGTGAGTTAAAAAGTTAGCCTGGTCTCTTCTTTCAAGCCCCATTAGATGGTAAGTTCAAATGACAGAATAACAATGTGATGATCAGAAAAGAATCACATTAATAAACATATTTGCCCCAATAAATAAAATTCAACTATAGGCCTACCTTGGTTAGGAAAACGAACGCATCCACGGTGATGTTATGTATGTTCACTGTTGAACGAATATGGCAAAATGAAGTCTACTACATGTATAATGTTGACAGAAAGTAATAAGTGATAATCTTATATTACATTTGATATTACCCGATATCATTACGCCACCATGATAGTTTTATATAATATTATTACATCAATATTATAGGATACGTAAGTGGGGCGTTTTTGGAAGACGAAAGTTAAATAATGTGTGAGGCCAAGGCTACATCTTACTCGATTTTGGCAAAGTAGAATACATTTTTCATTTTTTATGGCCCAATGGGAGGGGGCATGGCCCAATACTTACCTCCTACACTGGCCAAGACGAAGTTCGTACTATCTTGACAAGGTGAAGATGAGGTTCGCTGTTGTCAGGATAATTCAACCGCGAGATATCGACAAAAATTATTGAAGGTTGCTTCCCTTCCGTTGATCTTAAATTTTAAAAAAAACTTATCTGGAATTACCTCCCTTGAAGTTGAAACTTTAAGAATAACATACAGTTATATATTATAGAACAACGTTGTTCTATATATGACTCTATGCCATTTCGGCGCCATTTTATTTGCTATTTAAGCATGGACCAGTCTCATCTGAATTGTATGACCTTATAAAATTAATCTTTTTTTTTTCATGCCAGCTTATCTTAAAGTGATACTACGTCTTAGAAGGAACATAAAATTTAAGTTCTCGAAATGGTCAATATGAGTATTCATCAGTTAGCTTACCTGGTGTCATAAAGTTACAACAGAATCCATGTAAAATCTGGAAAATTGGAAAATTCATAAAACTCAGTAATTATTGAAAAATGCTTAATATTAATATTAAATATATATTCAATAGTTAATTGCATATTTATGTATAATTACTTACTTTATCGGATTATATAAGGATCCAGTTATGTTATTTATGACACCAGGACACGTATTCTCGAAAGGATCTTAGCGCTAGGATGTCCTAGGGTCTTATCTTTTAACATTGATTCTAGGATGTCCTAGCGCTAAGATCATTTCGAGAATACGTGTCCTGGTGTAATAATTAACATAACAGGTATATATCTAAAAATTCTTAAATTTTATGTTAATTCTAAGACGTAGTATCACTTTAACTGTATGCAGGCAGATTTCATGTTGACATCTAAAAATAGACCCTAGGCCCTACGTTCCAAAACTGTTTGAAGTTTATTCACCCATTCGATCATTCGTGGATATTTAGGCCTAGCCGACATCTTTCCAAATACTTAGAATAGAGACAGATGTTTCGGTCTAGGTAAAATTTTGGATTGTAAATATATCAAAATCAAATAGGCAGTAAGCCAACACACTGTCAATGTCGCAATCCTTTGAAAGGGGGCTTAAATTTAAAAAAAAAAAAAAAAACAGGGAACCAAATTGAAAGATGAGGTTCCAGTTTTAACCAACGCCTGATTTATGTTAAGATAATACGTAAAAAGTTTATTCAGTCGATCGTCACCATGCTCATTATGCCGGTATTGCACATATTTTCTTTGCCCCGGGCACAAAATAATGAACAACGCGTAGTTATCTTTGTGGGTGCAGTACAATTGGAAATTAAGGAATCTTGCACAGTAATTGAGATATTAACAATCCTGTTGTTCTTGCAGCCATCTTGGACGCCATCTTGAACAACTGTTATAATTCTGTGTACATTATAATATTTATAATTATTATAATATAATTCCTATGTTGAATAGCACTTTGTAAGCTGTCTTGGGGTAGGCTAATTTCACGAAAAGTTTACGAGGATTACAGTAGCATTTCCTCCTCCCACACCCCCACTTCAATGTTTTTTAACAATTTACATAGTCAAAAAATTACCTGTGGCCGCCCTAGAAAATTTTGTTGTACTGATCGGCCCCTCAACTTATGTTTCCTAACGCCACTACATCTAAAACATAACATTGAATACACCCATATGTTCTATTTATAACTGTATGATTACAACGTATTCAGCTACTTTTGCTTTCGTAATAAATAGTTTTTATATAGATCCTAGTATTTATATAGATCAGTGGATCCCATAAACTCTATAAACTCTAACTCTATGGTGGACTCAAACTTATCATTTTTTTCTAGAGGATGTAAATTTCAAAGCAACAATGTATTCAGGCACAAAATGAAATATAATATGAAATTTCACACCGTACTTTTCTGGACCATGTGGGCTAGTCCAAAACATCTGCCTCTATTCCAGCCCCTGATGGATATTTTGACAGTTGTCAGCGGATTTAGAGCTGACATCTGTCCAAAAAGCTATCAGAGGCTGGAAAAGAGACAGATGTTTCCGTCTACATGTCGGCAATAAGTGAAATTTTGCCATTTTTAACTGAGTATGGGGGGGTGACATATTCCATACCTTAAAGAAATGGGCTGGCATTTTAATTTAGAAAAGATGGAAATGTTTTTTGTGGGTCACGCTGGCTTCATGCGCACAAGTTGTTAGATGACTCTTTTTGGGGGGATAAATATGTCGAACAAACAATATTAGCTAGATCTACTAATAGTTAAGTGAATTTGAGTACGGTACTGGAAGGTCTAAACGGTATGCGGTCAACTAGGTGACATGTCAACTCGGCGACAAATTTTTGTTGGTTAACTCGGTGACAAAACATCACTCGGCGACAATATTTTGTCATATTAAAAAAAAGAGTTCTCGTAAAGGGAGACAATAATTTATTCAGTAACAAGCAATAACAATACATACAACCCAATACATACAACCCAACACCACATTCCTACACTCCTAAAGTGCCACTACACGTCCAATTTTCTTTAATAAGGAATTGATTGACATATCCCCACTGTCATATGTGGCCCAAATTGAATATATGCTCGCTTGTTGTGTTCGGGTACGTTTTGTTTGAAATCGTTTCACTTTCTTTTCAGATATTAGACATGCCGTGACCTTTACCATTACAGCTTCTTTGTACAACTAGGGGATGGGTATATACAGCTGTAGAGAACCTCTCTTGGCACGTTGGTTAAGACGTGTGTGCCACCCCTCGACATCATTGTTTGTTCTGATAGAGTACCCGTACACGCACCAATCAGCAATTTCCCAAATCGAGCTCGTCATCCACGTGGCATCGAGGTAGTCAAAGAAGGTGACGAGCTTGTCAGTTGCAGCATATAACGAGATGACTGATATTCAAATGAACCAGGGACTAAACATAGCCAGGCGACATCACTAATTGACGGAATTTGGATGAATGGTATCAATGTTAATGTCATTGGCCTTGATCGACTTAGTTACACCTTGAAAGAAGAAGAAATCTGCTCGATAGCACATAAAATCTGATATACTTCACTCACAGTGGCCGAATCTTCTATTTTTTCGTTCAGCCTGCTTATTTTTCAATTTAAGTAATATTCGGGTTTTAGTCATACCATTTTTGCGTCCTGACGTTCAAGACTTTTCCTTATTTAGTTCAGTGGGTTGTTTTCTACGAAGGGAAAAACCATTTTGCTGAAAGAAGTCATCTACTTTGAAGAAAATAACTTAGTCAACTATTTTTAGAGAATGACACAATTACATGTTTTCTTAGCTAGAAGACTCTAAGGTAAATGACTGTTTTAAATTGATATTTATAAATTCTAACTTAGTAAAAAGTTCTTATGTTTTCTAACTGTCATCGCCATTGGGTGTTTTAATTTCTTGGTGTCTGTAAAATGTCAACAATGTCTAGAATTGACTTCAGTCTAAATTTCCTCAGCATGTTTTGTTTATGATAATGAATGGTAATGAAAACTCTTATGGATATTTACTCTTATTAACAATTGAGCATTATTATGATTATGGTTATGATGAGGTATTGTCCAGTATTGAAATATTGTATATCGTGGTGACATGTCAAATTGCCATACAAGGATTCACAGATATATCATGCCAGCACTTTTTAAAAAACTTATATCAATATAGTTACATGTATATGACGTTAATGGGTATTTTTTTCAAAGAGTTATATAAATAAGCAAATATGGGGTTAATCATTCTAAAGATAACATTGTGATCAAAATTTTCTAAATTTAATAGTTCTGGTGATTGTATAGTTTTCAATGATCCTTAAAAATGATTAGCAGAATTGCAAAAGTGCCTAAAAAGATGGGAATTAATGAATCAAAAGAAAAGAAAAAGACGCAGTCTGAGACAGCTCTTCAAGAACTTTCTAAAGGTAAGGTTTCCCAAAGATACATTTCTAAACAAAATATGGTCTGGGCACACTGTGAACATCATTAATCTCAAACAATTTAGTAATATGTCATTAAATTTTAGATTGTTTACCAAAAAAAAATTTTGAAAGTGTTAAGATCATTTATTTCGTGGATAACAAATTAGTAAGCTTGATAATGTTTAAAGGGCAAGATTTATCTGCAAACGACATATTTTTTTAACAGAATTTAAATGAGATTAACTAATAGGGGACCAAATTCAAATATTTTCAACAAGGAGTGCATGGATTGGTGATTTTTGAATGTTTATCTAATCAAACTGATAAATACAAGTAATTTCCTTTTTTCTGTGTTATAGATAAAAATAAATCCATACATAGGATGGAATCAAGTGTATCAATGGATGCAGTGCCTGTTTCACCTGAATCATGTCCTGTATATACACCAGTTCCACCCAATAAAAAGTCAAGCAATTTAATGATAACTGAATTTGTCAGCCAAATGTTGGATAAGAAATTTGAACCTTTTAAAAGCGACATTTCTGAAGATGATAAAGAATTAGAAAACAAAATCCCACTCTATCAAAATTATATGGATTTTGAAACGGCATTTGGCTTCCATGATGCTATGATATTATATCATGATGATGATAAAGAAGATTGTAAAGCATTCTGTGACAAAATTGAAGAAAATGTGGTTCTAAGTGATAAACAGAAACCAAGTATAATTAGTTATGCACGCATTGCTACATCATGCGGAAACAACTTCAGGGCTCTAGAGTTTGGAATAGAACGATGTACATTTGTGATGCTCTATGTTACTGCTAATTTTGTTAAAGATAAATGGACGGAATATTCTAGTGAAGCTTGTTTAATGGAAGCTATTACCAATCCGAATAAAAGATGGTGTGTGGTACCAGTGTTTACCGAAGATAAAAGTTCTAAACCTTACAAAATTCCACTTAGTATAAATACACTAAAAGGAATACGTTACTCGTCTGAAGAGGAAGATTTTTACTTATCCTCAATAACTACCCTTTTCAATGACAGGATTTCTGTTAAAAGAAACCATCAAAATCAGCACTTGCAACAACAAATGAGGTGGGTTCTGAAGTTTGAAGCAAAAGCACGACAAGAAGCTTTGGAAGAATTAAAAAAGAAAAACCAGGAAAAAAAGGAGCATGAGGATTTTCTAAGATCAGTTGAGCAACAGAGAGACAGAAGTGAAATTCAGTCCAGCTCGACTAATTTTCAAATAGAGAATTTTGTGAATAAATTTGAACTTTCTGTGGCCCAGAAAAATGAGCAATTAAAGCAACAATCAGAGAATGGGTCAAAAAGTCTGCCAGTTAGACCAGCAGTTGAAGAAAGAGATGACGGTTCATCAGTGGATCCTGAAGACATTGTTTCTGATACTCCTTCAACTGCCAGTAACACTTACGCTCCTTTTGGAGGGAGAGAGAATTTTGAACATTGTTCGCTTGCTGCTTCTTCTAGTGTTCCACCACCGGTTTCTAATGTAGCATTAACCGAATGTCCTCAAAGGTCCTCTGGTAATCCGATATCATGTCCATTAGCTACAGCAGAGGATCTTGCTGGTGAGAATAAAAGTTCAGCTGACTCAGTTCCTCATTCTGTTATAAGCAATCCTCCTACACCAGGATCTCAGTCAGTAATACAACCTTCTGCTAGTTCTGAATCACGTTCATCTGGTTACAAAACAAACACCAATTCCCAATCAAAGTCAGTTGGAAAGGAAAAGTCATATGTTGGTGAATCGGCCAGCTCCATTGATCATCCATTGAGTGAGAAAAGCTACTCAGAGGTTCATCATCACCATTACTACACAAATCCTCCTGTTTACAAAATCCAGGCAGAGAATGTACAAATTGGATCAGGGAATAAGCTGTATAACAGGACGAATCATGATAATGAGTCAGATTATGAGGAACAGCCAGGTTGTGATAAAGATGATTATAGCAGTAGTGATGAGCAGATGATGGATGAACCAATGACATTCAGGTAATGGGATAACAGTTCTGTAAATTGTATCAAAGATTTATCAGGTTTCGTAAATTACTGCACACAGAGTTTGTAAGAATTTGGAAAAATTTGTATGCTCATTTTTTTTTCTTAAAAGGCTAAAGTTTCAATTCTAATGAATTGTAAGGTATTATTTTCATTTGTTAACATCAATTTGTACCATTCCAATTTTCATTCAGTCATCTGTGGTTCCTGTAATTCCACTAAACGAAGTGTAGTAAGTCATAAAATAAGTTTGTATCACATAAGGCCCTTGATTAGTGACATCATCAAACACTTCATTTAGTAGAATCGCGGTACCACAAGTGTCTGACTGAAAATTGGAGTGGCGAAAAGTGATGCTGTCAATGTCACTGATACACATAAAAAAATTGAAAACTGCTTTACAATCCCTTTAACTCAAATAGTAGCTGAGAATATCCAGCAATATGATGACTAGTAGTAATAAGTACATATCATAAGATTTGGTAATGTACACAGGCAGATATTTTGCTTTCAGCAGCTCTCATGACAGTACTCTATCTCAAGATGGTGCTCAAAATACTGGACCTCTTAATGCTCAAAACAGAGAAAAGAAGATGTTGCAAGAATATGGAATCAATGAACATAAACCAATATCGGCTATGAGTATCAATGATCCAGATCAAACAAGAATTAAAGAAAGTGAAAATGTCAGAAATGGTAACAACAACAATGAAGATTCAGAACAAACATATTTAAAAGAAAAGTTGTAGCACTGTTAAAATGTAAGTAAGACATTTCTTGTACCGGTATATTTGATATTGGTAAGGTGTCTGAGAATATAAAGGATAAATACACATTACCAGTGGAGCTCTGAGCGATCAAATAAGTGTTCAGTGGAGCAGATAAGGGTTCACTGCAGCTCTTAAGGGTTCACTGGAGCTCTTAAGGGTTCAGTAATGAAATGAATGGAGTTATAGTCATACTTTTCTGGAGCAGATAAGGGTTCACTGGAGCAGATACTGGAGCAGATAAGGGTTCACTGGAGCAGATAAGGGTTCACTGGAGCAGATAAGGGTTCAGTAGAGCAGATAAGGGTTCACTGGAGCAGATACTGGAGCAGATAAGGGTTCACTGGAGCAGATAAGGGTTCACTGGAGCAGATAAGGGTTCAGTAGAGCAGATAAGGGTTCACTGGAGCAGATAAGGGTTCAGTAATGAAATGAATGGAGTTTTTTACGTCATACTTTTCTGCACCTAATTGGGCTAATGAAGACAGGATAAGGGTTGAATTTCAGAGGGAGCAAAGTGAAACAGAATGTTTGTGTGTATATATCTCAATCGTCAATAGGCCTCTGGGACCCAATAGATTTCAGATATTCTGTTTGATTTGTTTTGGAACAAAATTTGACAACCTACCCTTCCATTAGCTTAAATAATATCAGTAAACAAGATTGTGGTATAGACCTGTTAGATTTTGTCAGAAAACAAAAAAGAAACAAAACATTGATCTAATTTTTTAGGATGGAGATGTTACGGACCCTAATAAAATGTAAAATGTTTACTAATTCTACACCAGCTGATAATCTTCAAATAATATCTGTAAACAACTAGCCAGAGCCAATCATTTTACATGTCCTACTGTGCTGTGAATATTGACTTGAATTCTGTCGATTTTGAGTTACCAGTAGACAATGTTATTGATGAAAAGTTTGATTTGGTCACTCTATATGCAGAATTTTAAAAAAAGTAACGATAAATAGCTAGCGGTTTATGTTATAAATAGTAACAGATGATAAAAATACAGAAAATTGTGTTTTCAGACATTCTCTGTAATCAGACATATTTTTACAGTCTCAATGCATGTTGGAGTACAGAGTACACTGTATGTATGTGTTCTTAAGCAGTAAAATTGTGCCTTAACATATGAGCTTACATCAATTGAGATTGATGTGAAAAAATAAAGTTGAATTATTTAAATAAGATTTTATTTACATGTTAAAATTTTTGTAAAATATCTGAGGTGTTTGTAGATAATGAAATCATACATGGTACAAATCAGTCCAATTTCAATAAATGACCATCTGCACATACTGAGTTGAGCTTTGCAGGTCATCGAGATGTCTTGCATCAAGTTGATTTGGAATCAAATTGTCTACTTCCTGATTATAGACGAGTTTAATCTTCTAATAAAATCAATTTCTCTTTGTTGTTAAACAATTCAAACGCTGGTCAATATGATATTTTGTCTTTATTCCTATAACTCTAGTTAACAAGTTCTCGAAATGTGTGTACTTGGTACCAATGCGGACTGCCATCTTGGATTTCAAACAAATCCTATCAAAGTGCTATGAGCCATGATTTGGTTGAGTTCGGTCGCTAAAATAAATGTACATTGTAAACAAATCGTTGTAGATGCTTCGCTTTTATAAATGCACACTTTGATCTGTGTTGATGTAAATTGTTTAAATATAAATACCTTGTCTAATTCAAATTTAACCAAACTTTCGTTCTGTTTTTTTTTATTGGCCTTTATATTTAAAATAGCCACCACAGTTATTAATTGAAGCATATATAATGTAAATAGAGCTGTAAAAAGTTTGGAATAGAAGTTTGGTCTAATAGACTGTAAAAATGCCTTAATGTCATTTTGTGATTATAAATATAGTTAGTCAAAGAAATTTGTCCACATCAAGGCATGATCCAAACACCAGTATTCTATTTTATTTTTGAAGGATAGTATCTGTAAGTCAAACTTATGATGCGTTGCTTACTACTGTAACTACTTAAAACTATTGTTGACTGATTCACATGTTTATGTTTTGTATCCGTGCACAAATATCTTCATTCCAACTACATCCATATATTTATGTATATATTGGTATGATTTATATATAAGAATGAAGTTTTATAGAATATTGTTAAAACTAAGTCAATGTGTGATAATTTTGTTTGATAGAAATGGAATTCAGCTGTATAATCAAGCGTATGAAATATTTTTCAGTGGAGTTTATTGGTGGTTCATTTAGGACATGCTTAATTTTGATTTTTGAACTATCATTTTTGTATTTTTTGAAAGAAAAGAAATTTAATAAAAAAAAAAATTGACAGAAGACAAATCAAAATTTTGAAAATAAAATTTGAAGGTAAAAAAGAGAACTAAAAATAGATGATAAAACATGAAAATAATTATTTCGAAAAATTAAGTATCCTATGTCCTTCTAACCATTGTAGACTTGACTATTAATATGTTTGTAATATTCATATTTTACTACCTGATGAAAGTGCTATACGGTATTGAATTATAAAAAGATTATGTATATTAGTAATATATTGAATGATGTTATTGTATAATCTTATATATAATAATTATGTATATAGTACTTACTCTTTCACCCTAATTTATATACTAAATTTGATTATTTCTTGGGCATCCAGTATCATTTAAAGGAATACTACCTCTTAAGATGAATTTTTAAGACCCGGCCAAAAGTGGACTTACATGGGTCATAATTTTACAACAGAATTCTAAGAGTTAGTATTCCTTTAAACATGATATTATGCAAAAATAATTCTTAAAAGGATATTTGGTTATAATGAAAGTTGTATATTAATTATCTCCGAATGATTCAGTATGTGTTATGTCACTTTCAGGCCCCTTTTTCAGACATTTGGAATTATGTAAATTATCAAAGTCTGAGAAAGGAGCCTAAAATAATGAAATTGGTGAAAATATTCTAAAATCAGCCAAAAAATGTTGATATTGTTAGTAGCAAATGAATTTATGCAATGTGGTCATACTAGGATTACTCTTGCTATTGGAATAAATGAAAAAACAAAAAATAATGTTACAGTGTCAACAAAATCTAGAATTATGTTCAACGGGAGAAAGGATTATGACACGTTACAAACTATAAAGCCACGACTAGATGAGGTACAATGTCTGGTGCAGTATACGGAGCAGGATCATCAATACAAGTGCCCGAACCTTTGCCTGGTGTGTTCACTTCTTCTATTTTTTACTGTATAGTTAATCTCACACAGTACAGTTTATTTGTGGCTTTAACAGTATTAGTGATGTCACTCATTTGATTTCATGTGTACTGATGTTATTGTCTCTACCTTGTAAGCTGGAGAGTTATTTAATGATATAGTTATTCTTATTAATTGTTATTTTGAGTTGTTATATATATGTGCCATATTTTTTATGCTGTATAACAGATTAAATTATGCAAAGCATATAATAGATTATTTATAATGGGATTTGGAGGCAAATTTTTTCAGACATTCATATTTTTTAGTTAAAACTTTCAGATGTATTAAAGGGACAAGATTACCATTTCTGTGGGTTGATATTAGTCTTGAATATATAAATAGTCTTCAGAAATACTAGAAATGTACGAAAATTGCATAATTCCTTCAAAAATATCTCAAACTAGAAATTTATATTCGCCTTTTTCTATAGATTTCTTTTCTATTTATGTAGGTGTCTTAAGAAAATATGACTTTTTAACTTTCAAAAACATATAATTCTGGACACACATGGATTTAAGTCTCAATTCGGACGGTGAACTGTGAAGAATATTACTGGTTGGCTTAGTTAAAGAATTCCCGTTTCTGAGACTAAAAAATGATGAACCTGTCCCTTTAAGAGAAATATTTTGGGCCTACTAAAAAATCATGATTCACCTTCAATCCAAGACATTAGAAATGTTTTGTTTGATTCTCCTAGAGAAACATTTTTATCACAATACTTTTGAATTTTAAATTCAGTCTTACCATTTTTCATTGTTGAGGTTATTTTAGCCTTTGTTAATACCCAATGTCCCTCCCCCTTAATACACTGAAAATTTGACTTTTCGCGTTGTGACTAGATTGGTATAAAAATAGGGCCCTTAATCATACATAAAAAATGTTCATTATATTATACTATGTTTTTTTACAGAAAATCTCTTGTTCATTTATAAAGATGTCACTTAAAAGCTTGTGTATCATTGATTCATGTACATCAATACTAAAATTAATCCCCTTGTGAAAAAAAATAAGTAAAAAAATGTACTGTTAATTTTCATATTATGCTTGCTTCTGTATATTTGCTCATCACCAGTTTCATTACCATAATAATGTTTAGAATTTTAATTACTATATGCAATTTGTATTGTAAAAAGGTTAACTAATGTTTTTATGTGTGTTGGGGACACTGATAGCGTCAATTTGCATAATTCCAATCTTCATTCAGCCATTTGTGGTTGCATAAAATGTAGGTGTTTGATGACGTCATAGAGGCCCTTAAAGATTATTGACATCATCAAACATTTAGTTTTAGTGGAACTGCAGGAACCAAAGACGTCTGATTGAAAATTGGAATAGTGCAAATTGATGCCATCAGTGTCTTCCAGACAATACTTTGGCATTATTTTGAAATGCTATGATCTTCTTAATACCTTGCATTATAGTGTATTATATATGATATGATTCATAATAAAACTGCTGTGATCTTGCTCATTGATATTAGCAATTTGTTTTTGGATTCATCACTATATTGACTGAACTATTATTTGAGAGGAAAGGATTAAAGTTAGACGACACCATGCTGAGTGCCATGATAGAAATTCGACTGACACAGGCATTGTGGATTGTGAATGCAATAGAGATGACAGTTTATGTGGTTAAAAGAAGACTACCTCTGAGAATTGACATACAATCTCAAACTTGGTCAACAAGTGTATATATTCATCTGTTGGACTTATCAGGTGCCATGACTAAAGAATAGAATCTCTAAGCTTATATAGTTTTAATACCAAGTCAACTGATGAACAAAGAAACATTTTGGTGAAGTTAAATTTAAATTTTTTGATCAACCTAAGAGGTAGTATATCTTTAACTTTCATCGCCTTGTAACATCCTGAGCAATAAATACAACAGAGTACATGTATGTATAATAATTTATTTGTAATATAATCAATGTTATGTGTGACATTATATAGAGTGAAATATCCCACTTTGAAGTCTTTACTATTGACCTTTAATCATTAATAACCATATGATGACCAAAATGAGGAAATAAATAACAAATTGATAAGCAACTTAATAATGATAAAGAACTGTGTTTCTTTTGACAATAAATTTCAATCTAGTATCCACTCAAAAAAATGAAAACCGTCACAAATTTCAATTCCAACAAATAATGTAATAAGAACTCTGTCAACTTTTGTCAATTCAAGAAATACGTTTGTCTGCAAATATTAACATTAATGGCTATTGTCATTTGCTATTTTTAAGTATTTAAAATGGGAATAATCATATAAAAAAGCATGTTGGAAGATACATTGAAAATTTAAAGTTTGTAAATCTTTAAAAGAGATATTCATGAACATGTACTTGTCATTGTTTTGACAATTGATAAAGCTCAACTTCAGCTATCTGTAACACTCAAAATCTACCCTCTGGTTTGTCTACAATTAATAACTTCAGGTAAATATCAACCCGAAGTTATTACTTATAAAATGATAATATTGGTTATATCTGTATTGAAGAAAAGTTAAATTTACAAACCAGAGGTAAGATTTTCAATCTGAAAAGTGTTCTGGATAATTGAAATATTTTCCCTTATATGAACTAACAAAACATTTAAAGACCTAAACGCTCTCAAAATAATTCTTTAAATCCTTTAACAACATGGTACCTATCACCATTTTCTCACAATTTACAGTTAGTTTAGCACTACTATCATTTACTGTAACAGAAATCAGCACCAAAGTTCCTGAAGCAACAGTTTTTCCTGAAAATCTATAGACATTTTCATTACTTCCAGGAACTTGTATAACATTAGCTACAGAATGAACACACATACAGATGCTCTTAGCATCCTGATTATCTTTTGTTAGTGTTATTTTTCCAGAATTTTCATTCATACCAGAAAGTTTTCCTGAAAAAGAGATTATTTAACCTATGGAATATGATTATTAAAGATGGGTTCCCTTATTTTCATTTATTTATATATTTCCATTTTGGGACGGCTAATACTTATATAAATCGAAAGTAGAGTTGTTCTATTGATCGGGAAATACCAGTTTGTCTCACGAGTTCCTAATTAATTTGTAATAATGTGAGCTCGTTACAAAGGGAATGCAGATGAACTTTCTGACCAGTGACCCTGATAGAAGGATCAATTTGTTTTTCAATCCATGCAACTAAGTAATTATCCATGAACCTAAGTAATTATCGAAAAAAATTCAATAATCACTGATTTTTATGGACAGATTTGTTCAAATTTGAGAACTTAAATAGAATTCATTTAAGAGATAAGATATGAGAGTACAAACCTTGCTGACTGGTAAACTCAGAGTCTATCAATGAATACGGTTGAATTATCTCCCCTACTGGAGCAGAAATACTAACAGAATGTTTTTGTTGAGCTGTACAGATATCAAATTTAGCTGGTTGGGTTGTATCATTAAAGTTAATACCAATTAATACAGTACTCCTCATACCAGGAGCAATAGAACCTACAATTAATACAGTTCTTCTATGAGTAATTTGTTAAAGAGTCTGAAAGCTCACTTACTGGCTATTTTTTTTAATGACATTAAGTCAAAATCTTAAAAAAAAAAGAAATTTATACAATAGGTAATACAACAGTGTATTAAATAACTTTTGAATATATATTGCATATTGAACTGTATAATCATTTTTTCAGATTTCACTATACAATAATAAAGTAATAAAGAACTAACCTATTTCAGAAAATTCTTGAATTTCCATGCCAGTTTGTAATTTCTAAAATACAATATCAAATTTTTAATATATCTGTCATAACTATTATTTCATAGGTGCATGGGACAATGGTTATACCGTTTCTGTAGAATTGTAGGACAACCAGACATTAGATTTAATTTCTGAAAATGGGTATGTATAGCTGAAATTGAGCTCTATCAGCTAGTAATGAAAACATTTAGTTATATCCCTATGGTCATTTAATCAGTCAAAAAAGTCCCTTGAAATAATTCATTATCATTTCCATAGCCACAAATTTGTCAAAGGAAATATTAGGACAAGGGCAGTAACTTACAAACTATTGGTCCAATTATGTGGAGTTCAGAACAGATTCTGTTCCAATTCTGGCTTCAATCAAACAGTATGAAAAGGTCTATGATTTCTTAGGGACCCTGTTCTAACTTGTCTCCCAAACTTGCAGTATTCACCAATCCAGTGATCATTAAGTCAAGCATGAGACATAGAAAGTTTCATTAAAGCGCTAAAGCACTTACCTTTTCTCCTAGTTTGATATTAGTTAAAGGTTCATCACCACTATTAGTAAACATCAGTTCTATTGATACCATTTTAGGTGAAAATACTGATACTGTTCTAGTAAATTTATAATTTATACTTAAACCACTACCAGTTATACGATTTAATAACTCATAAGATTTACTCTCTACTGTTGAAGGTGGAATTATCTACAAAAAAATTAATTAATCATCATTACAACGTCTCCTAATTAATAGAGATTACTCATTTGTTCTATAGAATCAACTTTTCTTCCCTTCACTTTGTAAATGAAGATGGTCAACATTAACAAGTGTGCTGTGGGTATGCAATGAGAGAAAAACATCCATTTAGCCTACTCTGTGTACCTTTTAAGGGAATTTGTAGCATTTGGGCCTGCAGCTTATTGTCCTATCCAAACTACTAGATGCTATTTTCAGTATCAGTCCTGTGTCTTTGAATACTGAGGGTGAATCAAAAAATACATCATAATATACCCTGAAGTCCCAGGAATATGTTCACTATCAGCCCTTGGATATTTATTACATAATGATGTGGTTGGTAGAGCAGCTCTAATGAAACTGATAGATACCATTTCCACCCTTCCAAGATTGAATTCTCTTCAATTTAGGACCCAAGCATCAAATATTGAAGTCCCAGGATTCCTGAGGCAAAATCAAAAGAATAGAATAATACAAAAACTATGACAGTACCTGTGGTAAGGCTGTATCTTTAGTACCACTAATAGATAAGTTACTAATACCACTAGCTAGTGTTGGTGTTAACATATTACCAGCTGGTGTAGCACCAGTACTTGTATCATTACTAGCTACTCCACCTACTATAATTACAGAGGAGATATTAAAGCTCTACATCCCATTTGTTCTGTTTGAAATGGGCAATGTTAAATACACATGGATGTGGGTATATATAGAATGTATATAGATATATTTTATGTATTTAATATGAGTAGTAATGGCATTAATTTAATAAATATATTTTGAATTATAGTTGGAATGAAGAGTTTTGGAAATCTGACAGTTTTTAGTTCATAAATCAAGAATTATTCTACTTTTGTTGAATAGTAACTTGTTATTTTCAATCATTCTAATCTCTGCTCCAATTTATATCAAAGCTGACATTTCAATATTAACAAAAACCCATAAAATGTTGAACACCAGGATAAATGATTTATTATGATTCAGTACTTACTATCATCTAAGTCTAATAATAAATCAGCATTGGATTTTGGCTTGGTTTCAACAACTTTTTTACTTTTACTTTTTACTTCAGGCTGAAATAAGAATCAGAAAATTAAAGATCTAAATTCAACTTGCTGTTCCTTGGCCAAAACTCGTGGCATTGATCTTCAATACTCAGATGGAAATTAAAAGTACCTTAGCAGCAGGTTTCTTGATGACTTTATCACTATCATCACTAGAATCTTCCTCTGATGAATCACTGGAGTCACTATCAGAGTCACTATCTGAAGAACTATCTTCACTAGATGATTGTTTTTTAGAGGATTGTTTGTCACTATCACTGTTCTCAGCATCACTATCTGAATTCTCATCACTACTGTCATCATTATCATCACTACTATTACTTGATTCTTCTGGAAAAAAAGTAATATTTAACCAGGCAGTGTACAATCAGGCAAATATAACTATTTTAGAATGCCATTGAAATGCATAAGATTGCATCTTCAAAATTTGGAGACAAGAGACGGTGCTCTTTAGTTTCTTAAAAAACATTAAAACAAGAACTTAAGATATCATACCTTCTTCACTGGACTCTGATTCAGAATAAAAGGATTTGGATTCTTTTTTCTTCTTCTGTTGGGAGTGTTGAGGTTTCTCAACCCATGGCATGACAACTTCTACATTCCTGACACTAGAGTCAGGCGCTGATTCTGGCCATTCTGGTAGTTCCTGATAACCATGGCATTTAATATTCAATAAATGAGACAGAGTTCCCAGTTGATAGAGGTCACGATCTATAAGCAAAACAAAATCGTGACTGGGGTGTATATCGTGTCTACAGACTGGGGTGTACATCGTGTCTACAGACTGGGATAAAGATCTTGACTAGAGAATGGGGTGTATATCGTGTCTACAGACTGGGATAAAGATCGTGTCTACAGACTGGGGTGTATATCGTGTCTACAGACTGGGGTGTATATCGTGTCTACAGACTGGGATAAAGATCTTGACTAGAGAATGGGGTGTATATCGTGTCTACAGACTGGGATAAAGAACTTGACTAGAGACTTGGGTGTATATCGTGTCTACAGACTGGGATAAAGAACTTGACTAGAGACTGGGGTGTATATCGTGTCTACAGACTGGGATAAAGATCTTGACTAGAGAATGGGTTATATATTGTGACTGGTTATATATCGTGACTAGAGACTGGGTTATATATCATGACTAGAGATTGGGTTATATATCGTGACTAGAGACTGGGTTATAGAGACTGGGTTATATATTGTGACTAGAGATTGGGTTATATATCGTGACTAGAGACTGGGTTATAGAGACTGGGTTATATATTGTGACTAGAGACTGGGTTATATATCGTGACAAGAGACTGGGTTATATATCGTGACTAGAGACTGGGTTATATATCGTGACAAGAGACTGGGTTATATAGGAGAAGGTTGAAGCTTGTTCTCAATCCTGGTAATATTTTTCAGAAGAGTACTTCCGCAACCCCAATCAATACATAAATGCTTAAGAACATAATTCCTGGTCTATATCGCTCTATAATTGCATTGAGCATATTTTAACAGTGAAAATATTTTATTATTGTAATTCCTGGTCCATTACATAATGTGTTACAATTTCATGTTTGGCTATCAAAAAAAATCCTGGGAAATAAAATCAATGCATGAATTACATACCTTTAAATTTGGAAGCAAGTACAGGAGCAGGCTTAGTTGATAAAAATATCTTTTTGGCATATTTAGCAAGGACACTTCCGTTTTCACCAGGTAGAATAAGTTGGCGTAAAAATCGTGATCGGTCACGAATGTCATAATTTTGATCATATTTAGCCAAGTTGAATACATACTGACACAATAATTTACATTGCTTAGGATTTGTGATACATAATTTAGCTGCTAAATTCAATATCTGTAACTTTACAATGTCTTCCTGTAACAGAACAGCAACATGTATTAATTATGCCTTGCATTTTATTTTACAGAACAGAAAATGCTCTGTTATCTTTCATACAGATTTTATTTTACAGAGAAAGCCAATTGATGTATGTTGACAAAGAAAATTACCGAACTTTTTATGAAGCAGAATAACATTGAATTCAGAGGTATCATTTTGCACTTTTTCTTGGTTACTGGTATACTATTATAGGCAAATGCAGAAATTTTGGCCACGTTTCATGATCTTTTTAATGTCAATTCCATGATTATGCATAACAGATAAGCGGCAACCAGGTTGAAAAATGCTTCAACCCTATATCAAAAATTGCCCGACTTAACCCCTTTAACCTTCCATTATATCTGTAAATAATAACAAACATCTGGTCAAATGTTTCGAAATTTTGTGCACTCCCAGTTTGGCCAGCTCTGTTTAGTTAAAAAAAAACTGTGCATAATACATGCAAATATACAGTAGCAAGCAAAAACATAACTCACTCACAAAGAAGTATAAGCTGTAAATGTAGATCTTACCTCAGTAATAAATGTCTTAGCCATCTTTCTCAAGACATCTGGAGCTATTTTAGGTACTCGTTCACTGTATTCACCTATTAACCATAATATAGAGGCTCTAGCCATAGGTACTGTTATTTTATCTACCATTTTAGCCATATGGACTATAATATCTTTATGTTCTGACGGCTGAAATAAGATATTTTCTATTTATGATGATGGATTTGGCATCCTTAACATTAAGAAAATCAATTTTTAGCTGGTCTTTTAACTTAGATATATCAAAGTGGATTAAATTACAAACTTTACATAAAGAGTCTGAAAGAAGAGCAAGAGTGGTGAATAAGGTTATTAATTTAATTATAAAGTTAAAGGAAGGAAAAAGTAGAAAGATATAGCACAGATATGGCCATGATATAGGTTTAGTAACCTTTGACAAAGTTTTACCCTCTTCATACCTAGTCTAGTAAAAGATGCCCATCTGTTACCTGAACTATATAAATAGTCCAAATGTTGTCGACTTTTTAAAGAACTATATAAATAGTCCAAAAGTTGCAGACTTTTTTAAGAACTATATGAAGAGTCCAAAGATTCAAACTGTTATCTGAACTATTTAAATCAAAAGTTGCCCACTGTTATTAAAACTATATAAATAGTCCCAAAAGATGCCCAACTGTTATCTGAACTATATAAATAGTCCAAAAGTTGCTGACTTTTTTAAGAACTATATGAAGAGTCCAAAGATTCAAACTGTTATCTGAACTATTTAAATCAAAAGTTGCCCACTGTTATTAAAACTATATAAATAGTCCCAAAAGATGCCCAACTGTTATCTGAACTATGGAAATAATCCAAAGATGCAGACTGATATCTGGACTATTTAAATCAGAAGTTGCCCACTGTTATTAAAACTATATAAACAGTCCAAAAAGATGCCCAACTGTTATCTGAACTATATAAATAGTCCAAAAGTTGCTGACTTTTTTAAGAACTATATGAAGAGTCCAAAGATGCAGACTGATATCTGGACTATTTAAATCAGAAGTTGCCCACTGTTATTAAAACTATATAAACAGTCCAAAAAGATGCCCAACTGTTATCTGAACTATATAAATAGTCCAAAAGTTGCTGACTTTTTTAAGAACTATATGAAGAGTCCAAAGATGCAGACTGATATCTGGACTATTTAAATCAGAAGTTGCCCACTGTTATTAAAACTATATAAATAGTCCCAAAAGATGCCCAACTGTTATCTGAACTATATAAATTGTCCAAAAGTTACAGACTTTTTTAAGAACTATATGAAGAGTCCAAAGATGCAGACTGATATCTGGACTATTTAAATCAGAAGTTGCCCACTGTTATTAAAACTATATAAACAGTCCCAAAAGATGCCCAACTGTTATCTGAACTATATAAATAGTCCAAAGATGCTGACTATTAACAGAACTATATAATAAGTCAAAAAGATGGACCATGGAAATAATGGAAAAGATCTTATCTGACTATGGAATATACTTTTGACAAACACCTGAAGAGATGACAGTCAGAAATAGTTGGTTTTTATGCTGATTTTTAAAGATATTATACATAATTCAACACTATATAGATTGTTTATAAGACATGGAAATGAAATTCAAGGGCATGATTGTAATAAAAAATAGGGGAAAATTTTAACCCTAAACCAACCATCCCTAAAATTCATGTAAAAATAGGAAAAGTTCATGCAAAGTTAGATTTAACCCTTTTATTCCCACCAATGCAACACAAGAGCAGCAATATGTTGGAAACACAGAAAAGCATGCACCCATGATAATTAGCCATTATAAAGAAAGAAATCCTTGATCTCACAATCTTCACTATGTCAAGCTATCACAACCTTCAGCTCATACCTTGACTACAAAAGCTGCCTTTTTGTATCACGGAATACATCGATTTGATTGGATTGTATGCCAGCCAATACAGCCAATCAGAGCCCTTGACAGAAAGACTGTAAACATTATGGCTTAGTGTTAACATAATTTTTGTCGCTATCTCTTGATTGGCTGTTTTGCTAGTATACAATCCAATGAAATCACTGCATTTTAGCAAACTTTGGTGATACATGAAAGACTGCTTTTGAAGTCAAGGTATAAGCCACAGGTTCTAATGGCCTAAATCATCTTCACAAGCCATCATCATAATCAAACCCTTAACATGTTTAGACATAACCCTTCACCTTTGACGTCTGCATTTATATTTATGATCCAATGGAAATGTCTTATTCATTGGATATAGGCTATTCCTCAATTTGTCAGAAAATTTTACACCAAGTCAAAAGTAGAAATAGAATTTACATGATGGAAAAAAAAATGCAAGCTGAAAAATAAAATCTTATCAAAAATATCCCAAAAACCAAAAGGCTAAAAAATGTCCTACCGATTGCTTGCGTCCTGTTTTCTAATAGAAAGAAACGGTACTTATTTAGAAATATGACTAACAAATTCAATTTTTACAGAAAAAATGGTCAAATACACATAATTTATTATAATATAGACAAGCAAAGATATCTATTTAAGCAATCCATGAGCATTCAAAAAGTGAATATGACAAATAAGTTTTCTGACTACAATATACCGTAAAGGGACAGGTTTGCCATCTGTTTGATCAATCTAATCTTAGTCTGAGAAATGGGTATTTTTAACCTAGCTAATCAGTAATAGTGTTGAGCTTTCAAATCTATGTGTGACCAGAATTATCCACGTTAGATATTTATAAAGAGTACTCGCCTTTTCTTGAGTCTCTATCATATACAAAGACATTATAAAGAAATAAAAAGAGAAATTCCTAGTTCGAGATATTTTTGAAAGAATTATGCAATTTTTTGTACACTTTTAGTACCTCTGAAAACTATTCACATATATTCAAGACACAAATCAACACTCTTAAATGACGAATCTGTCCTTTTAACAATATAGACTGTTCTTTTTTATGGTTTGAATTGTTCCCAGATTTGCATTAATATCTTTGGCTGACTATAACAAATTTGTCAATACAAATTCAATATTCATAGAAGAGATATATCGTGTTTCCAGCAGACCAGCTGTACCGGAATGGTGATCGAAAAATTCCACAAATATTACTTACCCTCATTTGTAAGAGTTTCTTAATAACAACAACGCTTTCAGCTACTACACTCTCTGGAAAAGAAGATTGTCTATATTGTAATGGAAAAGCTTAAAATTAACTTAACATGCTAAAATCTTATGGAATGAAGCTTAGCTAATGCAAATACCAACAAAAACTGGACAAAAAGTAGGTTGATAAAGAGAAAACAGCAATGTGTAAAAGCAATATAACACATCTTGCCGATGTTTTTTGTAACATCCCCACCATTTTGTATTTAAGACATGACATGGATGATTTGTATATGATGTGTTTGAATTATTCCTCTTAAACATTTGATACAGATTTGGTGGATGTAACATAAACCTTATCAGTTTTGAAGTTGCAAAAATCCCCTTTAAATAAAGCCAAAAGCTTTTGATGATACCATCCATCAGAGGCTGGTGAGAATAAGCTTGTTTCAGATTTCTCAAAGACACTCTTGAACATCCAGACCGTCTTAAGATCAATGCACCTTGCTGTGTATTGGCCAATCTTTTTAGTTCATATTATTTATCTTAGTTGTTTATAATATATATAGCTTACCATCTCTATTAGACATAAGATGTACCAAACCATTTAAACAAGTATCAGTAACTTCAGCTATACTACTAGCACTTCGTCCAATAGCTTGTATAGTAGCAGCTGCAAAGTCTTTATCAGGGCTGGTTACATATGTCTACAATATTAAATACATCATTAATATTACAAAATAGGACTGGTTATATATGTCTACAATATAAAATACACCATTAATATTACAGAATAGGACTGGTGTGTCAACAATATAAAATACACCATTAATATTGCAGAATAGGACTGGTTATATATGTCTACAATATAAAATACATCATTAACATCATAGAATAGGACTGGATACATATGTCTACAATACAAAATACACCATTAATATTACAGAATAGGACTGGATACATATGTCTACAATATAAAATACACTATCAATATTATAGAATAGGACTGGTTACATATGTCTACAAATGTCTAAAATACATTTATTGATATCACAGAAAATTCTTGCATGAAAATTTAGGTCACATATTAAAGAGACTAAAAAATTTAAGACGTTTGACCTTGGACCATCTGTAAGACAAGATCCACGAGATTCTACGATATGGTTCTTTTTATCTGTTCATGTTGTTCGTTAGAAAGATATGAAGTAAAATACTCACTTGGAATTCTCGAAGTATAGTTGATATATTGGTCTCTGTAGCTAGATTAGTTAAGATCTCTAACTGTAAAAATATTCATATTCTTTATAATACAAGACAATTGATAAGAGCGTTACACATCAATGTTTTAAGGTGTTTCCAAAACTCTTGAAATCATAGTTTGACAAATAAAAGATGAAGAGAACACTTCTTAACCCATCCCATCTTCACAGTGGTCAAGGTATTACCAACTTTGTCTTAAGCTTCAACTACAATAGCCACTGTTCTTGTATTATGGAATATAGAACTTTGTTAGGGGCGATTACAGCCAATCAGAGCCATCAACAGAAAGACTGTAAACAGTGTGGCTTGTTATTTACAGATTTTTTTTTGTCGAGGGCTTTTATTGGCTGTATTCATTAACATACAATCCAATCAAATCACTGTGTTTAAAAACTTCCATGATACAAGTAAGGTGGCTATTGTAGTTGAGGTATAAAACACAGTTCGTAATACTTCATCATTGTGAATCTGCAACCATCCTAGCAGAAGACCTCCCAACTTTCTACATTAACGTATGAGATTCAAAAAATAATTTGTAATGGGAGAGCAGATATACAGCATCAGAAAATTTTCTTCCCAGTTGCGTAATAAAAATAGCAGCCTTAAGTTTTCAACACAACTCTTATCAACTGAGGTCTGAGATGCGTTCTGAACCTATCGCCACTTTCATTATTCGCAACTATACAGCATGGCATACACTACTGATGTCTGCTATGGTATGAGGGCACATTTAAACAGTACATACCTTCAGAAGTTTAATATGTAATGGATCACTCGAACGAATATAAAAACTTTTTAAATATGGTTCAAACATTCCTTTTCTTCGACTAGTCATAGTAGCTACATTACTTAATACCACGTACTGGATTTCTCTACAAAACAAACCAATAAAAAATTACCATCTTATACATGGCAGCCATTTTGGAAGCCATTTTGAATAATCATTTTTCAATATGATTTCTAATGTTGCAAATTTGATAGTGAAACAGAATATGGTTTCCTACTAAAATAGCATTTTTAATGATATTTAATGATAATATGAAATTAGGCAAAACCATTTATATGCTAAGGGCAGATTTTGAAAATGACATTTAAATATCCAAACCTACTTTTGACTGCGTAATAATCTTATTAAAGCTTTAGACATGACACCAGTTTCAGCTTTTGGTGCACAATGATGGTAGAGTTGTCCTACTGCCATTACAACCTAGAAGCATTAGAATTCACAAACTCATGAAAAAAAATAAAAGGCTCATTCATATTTTTATAACATCTATTAGCTGAAGAAAAAAATTTGGAGTAAAAATATTAATTTCATTGAATCCTAGAACACCTGAGGCCACTCTGTGAATGTGCACCCCCATTCAAGAGACATTCAACATATTTTATTGAATAACTTACAGCAGCATTTCTACTATTAAGTAATGGTTTAGCTTGACGTAATAATAATCTATGGTCAGGATCCATAATATATGGTGCCTTCTTATTCTTCATATCATCTTCTTTCTCTTCTTCTGAATCTTCTTTTTCTGAATCTTCATAGAATGGTTTATCTTCTTCTTCTCCCATATCCTACATAAATAGATTAAAGGATCCATAAAAAGCTTCAAAATTATACTTGGTTTTACAAGTAGAAAATTAAGAAGAAAATAGACCGGCCTAATCAAGATAAGATTCAGACTGAATTAAGTAAAAATTCAGATTGAATTAAGTAAAAATTCAGATTGAATTAAGTCAAAATTCAGATTGAATTAAGTCAAAATTCAGATTGAATTAAGTCAAAATTCAGATTGATAAAGTCACAAGATCCAGATCAATTGAAAATTCACACTGAATTAAGATTAGATTCAGATTGAATTAAATCAAGATTCAGATTGAATTAAGTTAAGATTTAGATAGAATCAAGTCAAGATTCAGGTTGATTTAAGTCAAGATTCAGCATGAATCAAGTCCAGATTCAGATCAATTTAAGTCCAGATTCAGATTAATTTCAAGTCAAGATTCAGATAAAATCAAGTCAAGATTCAGATCCAATCAAGTCAAGATTCAGATTCAATCAAGTCAAGATTCAGATTCAATCAAGTCAAGATTAAGATTGAATTAAGATAAGATTCAGATAGAATTAAGTCAAGATTGAGATTAATTTTAAGTCAAGATTGAGATTAATTTTAAGTCAAGATAGAGATTAATTTTAAGTCAAGATTCAGATTAATTTTAAGTCAAGATTCAGATTGAATTAAGTCAAGATTAACTTACATCAAGATTAGGATTAACAAACTGTGTTCTACAATATCTGGTTAACATATTAATAATAACAACTTGTCCCCATTCTTCAACATCCACCAGTAAATTACATAGTTTACGATAGTTTTTATGTATTAAGTCAATACGTTCTGGACAGACTTCTTCAAATGCTTGTATAGCACTACCTGCTACTAACTATAATAGACAAATTACATAATTTACCCGTCTTTGGACGATAATTTACAAAGAGGTTATTTAATCTGCCACACATATCATATTTAAGCACAAATTTTGTAATTAATACGTTTTCTTCTGTAATCAAACAAAACCTTTGTTTTAGGTTAATTTTCATTTAGGAGAGCAATGAGTATTTGAATTTCTACTTACAGTAGTTTTATCTCCTAATAATCTCTCAATAACTTCTATCAGCTGTTCTTTAGTTTCTGGATCTAAACTATCATGTAAAAACAAAATATTTTTACTGTTAATATAGTACATGATTTGTAGAGCGATATAGAGATATTAAAACAGAACCTGAAACATGTTATTATTTAGAGTTTTATCAAAGGCATAAAATGAATGGATGAATAAAAATAGATTCTAAATCGCAAACTTACCTATATAATTTAGGTATGGCATGAGCAGCTGTTTTACGAACATAAGGTGACATATCCATAACAGCTTCTTTAATAGCTAACATCATTATTGGTGTAATTACTGATACACGTATACTAGACAATACACGTAATGCACTAGCACGTATCAACTGGTTAGGATCCTAAAATACAAAATACAAATTACTGATACATGTTTACCAGACAATACATGTGCCTATTTTCATTTCAGCTATTCTTACTCAAAGTGTTTGTATCAAGTACAAGCAACCTTTTAAACAGAATGTAAAGAGCTTTTCTAAATTTTTTAATGTGTATCGCATACACATGATAGCATCAATTTACACCATTCCAATTTTAGATCAAACAGTTTCTGTAATTCCAGTGTTTGATGGCATTAATAATCTCAAAGGGCCTTATGTGATAAAGTATATTTTCCGTTAAGTAATAAAAAATTTAGAAAACCTCTTTACACTCCTTGTAAGGGATATATCTATAGAACTCCAAGACTGATTTATCCATAACATGTTTAAGAATTATATCATACTTAAGGTTCTCCTACAATTGAATAAATATTAAGAAGACTATATCCTTTTAAATTTTAGAATTGAGGTGAACTTTTGAAACAGAGAATATATACACTGGTTTTCAGAGTTGAAAATAATACTCACTCTTAAAGCTCTCTGGAAAGTACTTATAGATAATAAGGCTAAATCTTGTTGTTCTTCAGCATATCTTGTTAAATATACATATACTAACTTCTTTATCTAGAAATACACGTAGCATATTATCAATATTAAAGCAAAGTGACTTATTGGATTACTCTATGATATCATCTGTACTGAAAATACCTTCAGATCAATTTGTATAAATCAAATATAATAGTTGCTGTCACAGTCATTTTGATACTGAAACTTTCTTGACATTCTTGACTAGGGCAGGGGTCCCAGTATGGAACAAAAAAATTTAGGAAATTGACAAGATCTACTGAGGGTTACAGGCTACAGGGGACAAAGGGAGATTCTACCATTTAAAGATGCTTTGGAAGTCATTTCCTATATATATATATGAAATTGTTCAACCCTCAAACCAAATCAAATGAAACTTTCATAATAGTATAAATATACCTCTAGATTTTTGGCCACAACATTTTTAACAACCGCTGGGAATAACTCAGATGCATCTTTGCCTTTTGCTACCATCTGAAATTTTAAACAGAATAAATGAAAATTACAAAAAACATCCTTACTCTTCATTTTCTCAGTTTTTATGCAAATGATAATGAAACAGGCTTTGGGTAGATTTAACACAGACGAGGCCTTATGCTTCCCTTTGACATTCTTTTTATTCGAATCTGTCAAAGAGTCTCCAATGATCAGTCAGGACCTCAATTTAGCCTAGTGGGCATTAATTCTTAAACCTAACTCACAAATCCAACAACTAACAACTGAGGCTCAGTCTGCATTAAAGCCATAATAAACAGCACCGTACCCCAACAATTCTTTTCATAGCTTCTAATTTCTGGGCGTCTTTATTACTATCTAGCATTGTCTTTAAATCTTCATGCCTGTTAATTAAAGATTCAAATCAATAAGAAAAACACACGCTAACATATCTTCAACAATTCTCATGTTATAGTAATGCAAGAGAAGTATTACTACATGTATTGGTACCTGCAGTACAGATAACAAGTATTTATTAAAGTATTATGTCTAATAATATAGTGTTAAGAGTAAAATTGTCAAACAGAGGGATCTTTCACTCTCACAGTCTCTATCTTCCTATCAGGATAGCCTAGATGAATAGAATAGAGACATTATTCCTGTCTATGAACTTATCTCTGGAGTCTGGCAGACCTGCAATCACTGCAGCCTCTGGATGGCAGACCTGTATTTGCTGCAACCAATAACTCTATCCATAATCCAACTGTGTGATATCAAAGACTTTGACTTTTCTTTTAAAACAACCACATAAAGTTAGGAATATTGGGTAAATTGTAGCAATCTTTCTACCTTTTGAAGTCACTTGTGAAGAAGCTACTACTGGCTGGGTCAGTTGACATCTCAGCTTCTCCACTGCCTGTTGATGAAGGCGGCTTATCATTAGCATACGATGACTGGAAGCCATTTCCCGCCATTATTCCTGTATCAAATACCACAATTGGTTAAAAATGCTCAGAGGTAAACAGAAATTATTCAACAGTAAAAATTTTCTGATGCTTGTTTTCATTTGACACATTAACCGGAAGTAGATGGGCAATGGCTAATAAATATTCATAAGCGACACGTGCCATATGGACACACTTGATAAGGTCTCTTCGTATTTAGTGTGTTATAAAAATAAATACAATGTCATAGTCATTGATCAATTTATTATAAGAATAACGATTAATCTAAAAATCAACCTGAATAAAATAAAGAAATGACGTAATTTCATGTGATCGACATTGATGCGCATGCGTCATAAGTAATCTGCCATTAGAAAAACACCTCACAAATGACATCTTGATAAAAATCTGAATTTATGCTCGTTTCATGTGACATACGAATAATATTTCAGACTATATCTTATTATTGACTTTTGTTGTGTATTCCTGACAGGAATAAATAATGTCCGGCTTTGATAGTAACCCGTTTGCTGATCCAGAGGCGTCGAATCCGTTTGCGGTAAGATTTCTTTGACTCTTCCAAACAAAAAGTCCAAGGGAATTGGATTCAGACTACAACTACTACTTACTTCTGGAATAGTCCTACTGACTAAATATTCTGTTTGATTTTAACCTTTATTTAAAATCTGTAATTCTTGCGCAATCAGTACAAACAGCAAACAATTTGCTGTCCATGAATAATAGTTGGTAATATGGTGGTGCTAGCCTAGGCAAGTATAGCACTCAAAAAACAGAACAGGGACCAAGACACAGAACCTTTCATAGAATTACTGATACACAGGCTGGGGGTACGATAAGCATATTATCATGTTGTTTTATATCATGATGTATCAATTCACCAATTGTGTCTGCACTAATCGCTGATAACGACTAAAATGGTATTACATCGTCATTGATATAATAAGCCTGTTTTATCAGTACTGATCTGATGGCAATGGGTAGATTTGAGGCTCACAGTCCCTTTCAAACTATCATTTCCCCATTGAGTAGGGGTCAGGTCATACTAGGTTGTCCCATCATATTTAGGATAGGTCTCTGATGTTGAAACACAATGTATTGACAGGTTGTTTGTGTAGTAGTCCTACTATTGACAGGTTAACCTTGTTTTCTGATTTTAATATCCGTTAGTAAAACTCTTTTATCATAGATTGCCTCCCTTGAGCTTTAGAATTTTAATATTATTTGATTAAGATGGGTTTAGTATTGTTCAAATCAAATCATGGCTATTTTTGAGGGTTATAGTCAAAATGGCCCTAAACCAAAATGGTCTCACAATTGCTTTTTAAAAAACAAACATACTTAAACAACTCTACTTTCTAAAAAGGAATTCTGAAAAAAGGTTTTATTCTTGATTGTCCGTTTTCTTTTTTCAAATCTACTTATCATTAGAAAAATTTTTCATTGTAGTCATATTTGCAGAATAAAGATTATGCTTACTAAGTTCTGAATGGAAGTTTCCTAAAACTTGAATTTATTATCATGTATTATTGGAACTTGCTTCTATGCATTCACTGCCCTGATACATCATTATCTGTTCATATTGTTGTACTTTCTCAAAAAAATGGATTATCGTCGCTTGGAATTTATAATCGATTATCAAATTTCATAATCAATTATTATATGTCAAAGGTACAATTTCTTCATTGTACCAATTAACATGCAATAATCTTTCATATATGTTCCCTTCAAAACATAATATACCCACAATAAAAAATAAGCTTATTAAACGATCAAAGTAAGAATATACTTCTATGACCCAAAAATTGCCCATGAAAATAAGAATTTTGACATGTTATTAATTTAGTATTTACAGGGTTTTTCAAATGAATTATTGTGATTGTTAATTGATTATTGATGGGTAGTCTGCCATCGATAATTGATCTCAGTTTGCTTATCGATACCCATTTCCCAGCCTTGCATATTATTGACTTTATATTTGATACATGGGTATATTGACTGAAAGTACTCAATCTCTGCTGCAGACAAGAAAATAGAGTACCGGTACAGTCAGCAAGACGGGAAATATGTATGAAGGTGCCATGTGATACAGACTGTGTCATGAAAATTCCATTGACAGTTAGGAAGCAAAAAAGAGTTGGCTAATTCCTTCCTGAAAGTTTATATTCTATTTCCCTTTTGCCAAATTCAAAGGAATTTTTGATAGTTATATATAGGCTGCATAGTAATGTAATAATAAAAGCCATGCCTCAACAGCTGTTTGATGACAAATTATCAAGTAATCTTGCAGTAATAAGTATTGTAATTCAGTAGATGTATTGATCTCTACAGAATAGTTATTATAGTTGTTAAGTTTTTACCACAGATGCAATCAATAATTCCAATTAATATTCCCAAACTATATTTAGACAACCTGTATAACAGTCTGGATATTTTCAACATTATTGCAATATTTTGGATTTCAGACACATGGAAGAAAAATTCATTTCTTTAACTCATTATAATGATATTCTTTTTCTTCTTGCTTGATTCAAAGACTAAAATTGTGGTATTTAATTTACTGTTAAAATGTGTAGATGGCCATACCTAAACAAAATTAAAGGATATCCTGTGATAATTCATCAAGGAAATATTGCGTTATTTTCAAATATATATTAATAATATCAGTTCCTGAACCAGTACTGATATTTATCGTAATACAGTCAGTTCTAACATCTAGATGCAGTTTTTATTTAAAATTTAAATATAAATTATTAAACCTTAAAGATAGGCTTCCTTGTTTTTTAGTGTCAAATTAAGCAAACTATTTGATTAATTGGTGTTTCTAATGAATTATCATGTATTCTTAATCATATCATTACGTTCTTATGACATATATAAGAGTTTTAACCAATCATAAATTCCATGTATGTACAGTCTGGATAAACAAAAAAAGACTTTTTGAACTCTCTTGATCGGTCACTCATTGGAATTCTGCTTGTAATTCTTTAATTTAGCTAATTATGAATTAATTATGGACATGTGAGACAAACTCGTATTTCTCTAAGTCATCAGACCACCTCTACTTTCTATTCATATAAGTATTAGCATTTTCATGAATGAAAAAAAGGAACCCATCTTTAATAGAGGAGGTCCATTGCAGTGTACTATGTGGGATTATCGATACAGATAAAAAAAATGTCTACTGTATTGATAATCCTACAGCAGACCTGAATCTGTACCATGTCTATTCCATTCCCATCTTTGAATAATGAAAACTACTGTACCAGTATTTCAGATCATTGATTTGTGAACTTGGCAGTAATAATTGATTTTTTCACTACTGGTATGTCAAATGTCCATATGATTAGCTTATATTGTAATTCAGCTTCATGGTTACTGACAAGTTATTTTTTTCCATATGGTACTATAAACAACAGCCTGTACGGTACTAATAGTAATCTTATTGAATCTCTTAAATACTTAATAGGTCAAACTATATTGTTGGAAATCTGAATTACTGAATTGTAGTACTAGTGGGTTATTGATGTGGATAATTGTGAATAGTAATGATTAAGTACACATGGGGTAAAGTTAGATGGCCTATCATTTGAATAACAGTGGCTATTGTAGTCAAGGTATAAGACAACGTTCGTAAAACTTTGACCATTGTGAAGATGCTAGAAAATAATCACAATTTTGCCATTGAAACTTTACTGTGATAGTGTTGTCACATACTATCAAGGTTTCTGAATTACAGATCATAGATATGGTATGGAAAAGGAGAATTAATTAGGCTTAAAGGGACAGGTGTGCCACTTTTGGGGGTTGATTTGAGTCTTGACTATAAGGAGACTTCAGAAGTACTAGAATTGTATGAAAATCACATAATTCCTTCAAAAATATCTCAAACTTGGAATTTTACTCACTATTTCTATATATTATGTCTTTTCTATAAGCTTATATCACAGAGTATTTTAAATTGACGAGTCGTCATTTTAACATTCAATCACGCATAATTCTGTACACACATGGATTTGATGGCTCAAATTTAGACAGTGAGCTGTGAACACTATTACTGATTAGCTTAGCTATAAAAAAAAGCCTGTTTCTGAGACTAAAGTATGATTGGTAAAAAAAATGGTACACCTGTCCTTTTAAAGACCTTGATTGTATCCATATATACGACATTTATCCGTTGATAATACCTTGCAATCTCTGTTATCAAATATACTATCTCTTGACTGTAATTAATGTAACAACTGAAAATAGTTTCTTCAATTACTGAACAAAGATTATGTCTAAATTTTGCCTGATTATTCTTAATTTGAACTCTAAATGTAGGGTACTGTCATATTTACAATGACGGTCATATCCTGATCTATGCTAATTGTTGCTGAAAATGGACTAAAAAGGATTGTAAAGGGGTTTCTAAATTTTGTGTGTGTAGCAGGGACGCTGATAGCATCAATTTAGACCATTCCATTTTTCAATCAGACATCTGTGGTTCCTGTAATTCCATTCAAACTAAGTGGTTGATGACTTCACATAAAATTTTTTTTGTTAGGAAGCCTCTCAACAGTCTCTTTAAATAATGAGGTACTGTATCTACATGTATCAGCATGAGGAAGGCTATTGTATAGAATGATATGAAAAGAAAAGGTATGACACACCCAAATTGAAAAAGAAATATGAAACATAGTTGAGTTTTGAATCTTGTTAAATGAAGTTATTATCATGTATAAAACAATTGTTTAACACTAACACTTAACAAAAACTTGTTGTCACTAGGTCTTGGTTTAGTTTAATGTCCTATAATACGAACAATTGTAAGCTTAAAAGTAGAATGAAAATCAAAGTAAATTACCTCTTTTCTCAGTGTCTTCTGCATTCTTATCTTTCTTGTCTTTTCTTGATTTCTCATCATTATCACTGAATGCTAAATACAACTTATCCACTTTCATAGTTAGTGCCATTATGACATAAACTTCATTAAATCTGCAAGTATTCCATCAAGTTTGGTAGAAATTCCACAACAAATCTAGCTGGAGATAGGATTTTGTCCTATGAATAATCTGAAGTGATGTTTATAAGCGATACTATGATTTTATTCTGAAACGAATTGGCAATCCATCAACAAATTTTTGAATTCCATTATATTAATGTTTCAATGTGTTATATATAGACAGTGAAATACTTCTATTTATGTATGCTAATAATGATTATTAGGCCAGCATTAGAAATTGTATGTTTTTCATGTGATACAAGACTTTGTATTGATGTTGGATTTTTATCATCATTGAAACTTTGTCAAGGAAATCAGCATTTGAAGACATATGTAAAGATTTCCTTGTTCAGCATTTTTTGTTGCAGTAAGAACACATTTGTTTTTTAACCACCTTCCTTTTCAAATCGCTGCATTCTGTGATACACAAATAGTGACTGTGACGTATATAATCTTTCAACGGCATATTAGGTATAAGTACCTTTACTAAGATTGTAGTAGTAAAATGTGAAGATGCCATTCTCATAATACATGTACAAGGGTTGTCTTTATTTTGTGATAATATAAAAGTCAATAGTTAAGATGAACAGAAACAAAGATTAATATATGTACAGCCTTATGTCACAGCTGGTCCAGGAGTGTTTATTGTAAATTTAATGTACATTTTGAAGGTTCCATGACTATATGAAAGTCAATCAATACATGTATAATGTGAAAGCTCACTAATATTTTCATTATTTTGTATTTCATCGCTTCGATGACTATTTCATGTTCTGATTATTGTATCATGTGCTAATTTTGAATTATCATATTATTATTGTTATTATTATGATCCAAGATGTATAATTTATATAATGTAAGTGCTTATAATAATTTAGGGTGATGGTATTTTGAATCTCATCTTTACAGTTGTTAGGACTTAGATTACAATATATTGAGTGATAACCATGATTAAGCGTATTTGAAGGTTTCTCTTTTGGCTTTGTATCAAGGGAAAAGTTGAGTGTGGTGAGCTGAAAATTTATCAAGTGTTCCTTCTACAATATCCCTTCTACATCGTAGAATTTGGTCAATACTTGAATTGAACTCTCAATAATGTGCAGATTAGTGAAATCAGACAGTAAAAAGAGATACTGTCTGTCTGGTCCTGTTCTGTACAATTTCTACTCTTTTTGATAGAGAATAGTCACCCAACGTGGGTTTTTTAATCTACAGTACCAGAAACAACCTATGTTTAATGTATTCAAATCTTTTAAAGTTTTCCATGACTTGGTACTGCTCCATTTGTTTTTTCTCTGAAGTTTTGTGGGGTTAGGCCATGTATAATGTTTGTTCTATTGGATCATGTGAAAGGGGCTGGATTGGTTCTGCCATTTGTATTTTCTGATGTTTTCTGTTCATAATGCTTGAAATCTTCAGCAGACAACTCTATGGATATGTTAAGCAATGTTCATTTTAATCATTGACTGTCTGTTATTTTGTAGGATCCGTCTGTACAACAAGCTACAGGAACAGGTGGTAATAGAACTGGTGCTCTAGATGATTATAATCCATTTGATCAAGGAAATCAAACCAGACCTGCTGCTGGTGGAGTAAGTTTCTTCTTAACGTAAATAGAATAGGAAAGAGGGTAGGCCTTGGGTCTCCCTAAATTGATGTCCAAATTTCAAAGAGAAGTCACTAATCATGAAAGTGGCCAAAATTTGTTGTCTGACAATTCCAAAATGCTGAAATGAGGAAGATACATCTTATTGTTTCTGACATAATTGAAAAGCATTGAAAGTGAGGCTGAATAACCTGTGCTTCCATTACTGTTCATGGTTCTTCAGATATGAAAATGGATGTACGGTATATTTCTGAATATAATGCATAAGCGTGTATATTGGGCACCCCTTTCTTGCCCCATAAAAATCTGGAAAAACACATTTACCTGTATATAATGTGTAGCCCTTGTTGATGAAAACTTTGAGGCTGGAAATGGCATAACACAGACACCAAAATAGTGAGCGATAACAAGGCAAAAAAATAACAAGGCATAATCAACGTATCACCTTACTAAGATCAACATGAAATTTTTGTACAATATTTCTTGAATGCAGACCTTATTTGTTTCAGGCTGGTGTTCCTCCTCCCAAGTCATCCCAGCCTGCAATCATGACACCATCTGAAGACCCCCCTCCACCTTACTCTCAGTCTTCAGCACAGAAAGTTGATACAAGTGAATTACAGAGGAGACAAGAGGTAAAGATCAACTTGGAGAAATTTGACCGTGTGTCAATCTAATTTAAATGCAGATCAAAATGCTTGGTTTTGTGTTTATTGTATATGTTACTATGCGCACATGCCAACCATGATCCGAGGAAATGCTTTTTAAGATTATGTTCTCTTGAATTTTTAACAAATAGCATAATTTTTTTTTTCGAATGCACTTTATCAGGGGGTGAACACTCACATCCAAATATGGATTTCCCATTTATAAGAAGGATATTAATTGCTATCCAATTCTTGTCAAAAATTTTAGTTTCTGGTGAACTTATTTCAGGAACTAGAAAAGAAGGCTGCAGAATTACAAAGAAAAGAACAAGATTTGAAAAACATGCAAGCTGGAAGTAAGTAATTGCCAAAGAGACAAATAATTTGAGAAAAATAAAACTGTCATTAATGGGCTGATATCTAATGTCAAAGAGAATACTTTGTGTGTTAATTAATTTCTATATTTTATTTTTTATTTTCAGGTAGAGAAAATAATTTTCCACCATTCCCCAAGTGGTTTCCAGTTGGACCCTGTTTTTACCAAGATTTCAGTGTAGATATTCCCTTAGAATTTCAACGTATTGTTAAATTTGTCTACTATTTATGGATGTGTAAGGCTTCATTTCCTACATATTTTCGGGGGAGGGGGGTCTTGAATCCAAGTAAAGGATTATGTTGGCATTTCAGCAGTAAGGCAACCACATTTTTACAATGTTCAAGATATTACGTCTTCATCTTATACCTTGACTGCAATGGCACACTTTCTTGTTTTAATGTCAGTGATTTGATTGGATTGTATGCCAGTGATTATAGCCAACTAGATCCCTCAGTTTCATGCATAATTATTTTTTACTGTCTTTCTCTCGAGGGCTCAGATTGGCTATATTCACTAGCATACAATCCAATCAAATTGCTGCATTGACAAACTTCTGTATGAGATGCAGCCACTAAAAACTTGACACTGTGAAAATGACTCTACCCTGATTAGAGTGAAAGGCTAATCCATTATTCTATCCTAGAAATCCTCAGTTTTGATATGTTTTTCTATTTCAGTCCATACAGTAGTGTTATTTCTAAATCTATTAGCTTCATTAGCCTATTTTATTGTTGAATCATCTGGTGGAACGTGTTTTGGATTGTCTATATTATGGTTTGTCCTGTTTACTCCTTGCTCATTTGTCTGTTGGTATAGACCATTATACAAGGCGTTCAGGTATGTAGCATAAAACACAATTTTCACTTTCATGGAGGTGGTCGTTTATCAATTGTTAATTGAATTGATAAAGAGTGACTTTGTTATTGTTATTGAAAGCGATTGCTTAATAGAGGTTGTTGCATAATCAATTGATGATAGTAATAGTTAATGTGAAAACCATGAAGAACTAGAAAAAATTAGGCAAAGGTTTAGTTTTCCACCAAAGGCTTTTGATTTGTTTGAAATAAATCTGAATTGATTAATGGATAAAAAAAAATTAATCATACTTAAAAGAATATGTCTTTTATTTTACAGGAGTGATAGTTCATTCAACTTTTTCGTGTTCTTTTTTGTTTTTTTCTTTCAATTCTGTGTATATGTTATACAATGTTTAGGATTGACCGATTTCACAGTGTAAGTAGATCAAATCTTCCATATATTATTTCATACCCTGGGCTAGCTTACTTTAAATTAGACCTAAAACTCCAGATCTGAATCTCATATGGCAATCTTTAATATTTACAAATGTTAATGTGTCTAAATGTGCCTGGCCCAGCAAAATAGACCTGGAATGCAAGATAAAAGTTGATCTCATTCGGATTTGGCCGTTCAACTTGCTATGTAAATGCTAAAATGAACCAGACCCAGTTTCTATACACATACAAATTATTATTATTGTCGGCCATTTTGATTCTTTGTTGACCTTTTCTACACTTTTTTGTTAGAGAGCAACTCATATTTTGTTTGAAGTGAGCCAGATGCAGCACAGATATACTGGTGTAAATAGTTATTTTTATCAGGGCAAGATACCCTACACAAACACGGTTCACTTTATCAGGACCATTTGTAATATGGATGTTAAAATTAGAATTGGTTATTATTAAGAAATAGCATAAGTTGAAATGATTAGCTAATATTCATAGGTGGCAAATGTAGTTACCCACAGAAAATACATGAAACAAAACATCTATGTAGATTTGTGTTTGCTATAAAGAAAATATCTAATATTTCTCTGTACATTTCACCCATTTTTTCAGTGGAATCATCAGTGGACTGGGAGTAGTCAAAACAAATGTGGCTGCAGGACTTATTATGATCTTTTTGGGACTCTTTTTTGGCTTCTTGGCTATTATAAGTTTTGCCACATTAGTCAAGGTATACATCCCCTTAAATGTGGTCAAGATTTTGTCATGGCTGTTTATTCTCCTGAATGATTGCATGCAGCAGACGTTGATTTAGCCTAACTTTAATTTTGGTGTATTTTTTCCTGGGTTTAAATGACCATAAAAAATTTCTTTTCACTTTGAGGCACAAATTATTGAAGCCTCTTTCAGTCAACAAAGCTCCAAATGAAGTCTTAAATAATGTGCTTTAGAAATGAAAAAGTAATTTTAATGGTCATTTTTGTAGGTCTAGATTATGCATGGTTTAAGATTAGTATTCCTTTATATTTGTATACGATATAGCTAATTGTATTGGTGTTTTCTTAAAATCAGTCATTTGTAAGGCATTAACGAGAACTATGTATTTATCCTTGCTTAAATAGTGTCAAATAATTTTAAAGTTTTAGAGTTCGACTGATAGTTTGACTGTTGAAGCTAGCTATATCATTTCAAATGTAAAAGAATATTGGTGGGATAAGAAGGGTTGCAAATGAATATTTCAAGGGAACATCTCAAATACCAATGGCATTAAAAAAATAATTTTATTTAATTTCTGCTACAATGCATACTGCCTCTTTTATATATTGACTTATGATCCATGCTGTTTAATTTAGAAGTAGAATCTGAACCAAATTTTTGCTCTAAGAATATGTGATTGAACTTTTGAAGTATTATTGCAAACCTTCCTTTCTTAAGCTGCCATCAGATAAAGTCGTCTCTTGCTTAACCTGCTAATAGAGCTCAATTCCATCTACTGGTATCTCACAACACTTTTTAGAATATAAATCAATTCACTGGTTTGTCTGCAATTAAAGAAATTATTGATTAGTGATTAGTGGCTATATAGACATTTGCCACTTTTACATCTTAATTGCAGATGAACCAGAAGCCAATTTTTCTAAATTAAGTTTAGCTTTATTAAGCAACTATCCAACGACTTTATCTTTTTCAAGCCATTTGTATTTAGTCTCTATATGATCAGGCATTATTTTGTTAACCTTAAACTTACTAAATTATTAATCAAAATGTTCAAAAATTCATTTTGAAAAACTTTGTTAAAATAGTTGAAGTCATTTCTTACCATTTTTTCTTAAAAAATACTTTAGGGAAAACAAAATATGCCTTTTCATAGTCAAATGAACATGTTTTACTTTCAGCCCCTTGCTGTCATTTTCTTTTTACTTGTGTGTACCTCTGGTTTAGTTTTTAGATTTATGCATGACAGAGGGATAGCCTAATCACCTTGATGAACCAATACCCACTATATTATTCTGCATATTCTTTGCTCACATGCTATATTTTGTTTGTAGAGGGTGGATAAATGGATTAAAAACCATCGGTACCAGTTCCGGAGCGGGTGCTGTCATGTTATTTGTAGCTTTATTCTTCACATTGGAAGCTGTATGCTCTCTTGTGTTACTAATAAAGGTAAAGTCAGTGCAATGAAATGAAAATTGAAGGCAACTTTCTCCTAAACCATTTCTCTGCTACAGAAGATACAGTGTGTGAATCAATGAATCTTAGCTTATGGCTGCACCACATAATATTTGCTTGGGAAATTTTGTTTCAGAAGAGAATAAGATCTTATTTGGATATTTAAGTCATAGGTCGATTTCTTATAGATTTGTAATTGTGTTCCCAATGAGAGAAAACCTGTCTTTAAGCCAGTTTTAATCTAGCTTTCGTGTGTTTCCACTGGGAAAATTGCCAAACGATGGTTGATTAGGGAACTGAAAACCTCTCTTTTTGTGTTTGGCAATTTATAAGGGGACAAAAGAAGGCTACATTTAAACTGGTTTACACTTTATTCAATGGAAATGCAAAAGTCAGCTTTATCTCATTCGTATTGGTAACTAATAGTTCTAACTTCCAATCAAACAGCAGTCTTGTAATATGTGACTTTATGATCTTGCCAGCTTTTCTTCACAATTCTCAGTGAAAACACAATTATTTATATCGTTTTATTGTATCACATTTTCATAAAAACCAAACTTGATATTTTTTGCCTTGATATTTCTGAATTCAAATTAAATTTTTAATGATTCAGTTAAGATCTTATGTTTTTCTGAAAGTGGTATCTCTGTATCTCTGGTTCCCTCTTTTCCATTGGCAATCCCTTATAAACCAACTGAGGTAGTACACTAGTAATAATGTATAATTATATTTATTTACCATAGTTTAATAGAAGTGTGTAGTAAATTGCATGATTGCCTGTTGATATTGTGTCAATGTTTTCATTTTCATGTGCAATTTTACAATGATTCTGTTATCAAATTAAACTTGAATTTATATCATAGACAAATCATTATTATTGAAGCAAGGAAAGATTTTAAAACTAGCCAGTTGCATTTTCAAAATGAAAATTTGACATGTGGTTTGTCTATAATTAAAGATGAAGATTTAAAGGAAAGATAATATGATAGTTTCCAGACTGTTATGAAGATTTTCGTGTTTAGTACAGTTATAACTTCATGGAAGAATGGTAATATCAGTCTGGAAATGAAATTATCTTAAATTGTAATTAAACCACAAGCCAGATTTCCATTATGAAATGTGACATAGATAGCTCTATCAGATGTGAGAGAAAATATTTGGATGAGGAATTATCCACAAGAAATTCTCAAATTGAAAGAAGATCAGTACAACAGGTAGCAAGATATATTTAATTTTATTTTCTTGTAGGTTCATCGAATCTATAGAAGCACTGGTGCTAGCTTCCAGAAAGCACAGGCTGAGTTTGCTACAGGTGTCATGAGAAATGAAGGTGTACAAACAGCCACTGCCCAGGCTGCTGCAGGAGCTGCTAGAGGTGTGGCCCAGCAATATGGCACTGGTGGAAATCGTTATTAGAAGATAGAGAAAACTTACTGGAGTATATCATGAGATAGGGAAAATCAGTATTTAGACAGGCGAATTATACAAATCCAAATCTGTTATGGAAATTTTACATGGATGCCAATTTTTTCGTGATTTTTTTTTCATGATTGGAAAAATTCAATTATTGTAAACAGACAGTGTTCGTCTGTCCAAATACTTTGATTATTGATAAAGAAAGTTGAAGATTAGTGGTATATGATATATGTGATGATACGCAAAGTTTAAAATCTTAATTTATTTTGTGCAAATGTTTATGCTTTATTATTATTATAGTTGCTTTTTACAAGATCACCTATGTGACTAAGAAAGATGAGATGAACTGATAAATTTTAAAGCTTATTTGGGTGGTCTTAAAAAATAAAACATTATGATTTTTGAAAAATTCTGTTGTTTGCTATAGCTATTATTTTTCAACCATATTCAATACTTAGTAGCAAGTTGAGGAAACGTTCATTTCAACATTTTTTTTTTTTTTTTTTACGTGTGTCCCTCTTATATTATCATTCCAATCTGTATGTTTATATGTTGTGAGCAAATCTTATGAACTTTTTATGATTCAGCCTTTTCTTCTCTTAAACAGAAAAATGGTAAATTAATCTATGCTTATTTTTGCTTGTTCGAAACAAACTAATAAATAAATAAAATTTTGCTCAATCTATATTTCGAAAATTTACTTTCATCACAAAAGAATTCTAGAAAGGGAGGTAACTCTAAAAGCAAAATCTTTTTGTTTGGTGATAATGTATGCTTTTGTTTGTATGTTTCCATGTAATATGTCATATACAATATTCATTATCAAATGAACCAATACCTGACCAAAGTTACACCAATTTAAACCTTTATTTAGCTTTTCCAGACCATGTACGGGGCAATAGAAAAGCACCTTCATAAGAATGTAGAATTTATGATATAGGACACTAGCTCTGTTAAACACTTTTTCCATGTAACTTAGATTTTTGATGTACATGTATTAAAAGAGATTCTTAAATAGTTCTTTAAATCTATCCTTCTATCATTTACTATTGTGGTTTAAGTATTGTGGATTATTTCATTGCAGTTGTGAAGTAGCGAAATCACTGGCACAGGAATATGTAGGTATAGACTCCAAGATTAGTGATCCCATTCATCTGTTGGGTACAAAATCCATTTGTGAACTCGGCTAAGAATTAAGTACAGAAGTCTAAAAATAAAAATATTAAAACAGTGGACAAGTGGACTGTTCGAGTCGATGGTCAGGATATGATGAACTTCTGTTTTATACCTTGACTACAATAGCCACCTTCTAGTTTTGTAAATGTAGTGCAGCTAATCAGATCCCTCAATAAATTGTCTGTAAATGATAATCCATAATGTTAACAGTCTGTCTGTTGAGTGCTCTGATTGGCTGTAATCGCTGGCATACAATCTGAACAAATTGCTGCATTCTGTAATCCAAGAAAAATGATTATTGTAGTCAAGGTATAAGAGAAAGTTTATAGTATCTAGACAAATGTGTGTCTGTACAACTACCGATGTTAGATTTTGATTGAAATAGTCCAGATAGCATTGCATAAAATTCTGAGTAATATTAACTAGCTTCTGTTTTAATATTTCTATATATGGCTCTGTTACTAATTAATTAACTGTGTTATTGAATATTGAAATATATAATTAAAAATATGCAGATTATGAAGTTTCAGTGTGCTTGTGAGTAATGAAATTAGTATATACAGTGAGAGGGTTTCTAACAATAACCATACCTATTTTAATTGTATTATATATTGTTGTTATTTGTATTATATTCATTGTAATTGGACTAATGAAATTTGCGGTATATATAGTTAGGGAGACATCATTAATTTCTTGAATTAACCCACTGAAAAAAAGGAAATAAAATATTTCATATTTAAAGGGAAAGGTTCACCATTTTTTTAAAAGAAAGCGTAATTCCTAGTTTTTGAGGGTATTTTTGAAGGAATTATGATTTTCATATTTTTCTAGTACTCTTGAAGACTATTTACATATATTCAAGACCCAAAATAAATCCCCGAAAATGGCAAATCTGTCCCTTTAATATGATTGCGGGTTCATTTGCTTTATAGTGTTTGCTACAATTGCACTATTATACAGCATTGTATACTTTCTGAAACAATATATATATGATAATCTTATTTGTAGGTACATGCATTAATATGCGCATACATGCATCTTTCAATCTAAATGCTATTTCAATGTGTACTATTAAAGGGGTTGTAAAGAGGTTTTCTTAAATTTTATGTGTATCACCATTCAAATTATTAATCAGACATCTATGGTTCCTGCAATTCCACTCTAAGTGTTTAATGACATCACCAAATATGCTTTATCACACAATGCCTTTGGCAATCAGTGATGTCATCAAACACTTAGTTTTAGTGGAATTGCAGAAACCACAGACATCTGATTGAAAATTGGAATGGTGCAAATCGGTGATATCAGTGTCCCTGATACAGATAAACTATTTAGGAGACCTTATTACTATCTCTTTAGTGTCCACCTATTTCACTTCACATTCAATACATTGTAAGTAGATGTCATAGACATGCTAAACCTTGAGGAACCCTTTCCTTCCAGGATAGATGTATACTGCAATGGCAATGCGTACCCAAGTTCCTTTCATTGGCGGAGAGAATTTGGGGTTCCAAAAAGGTTTACGCTCAATTACATAGAATTGTATATAGAAGCTTCACTAGAACATATTTGGGTTATGTTTGTTATTAGGTACATTTAAAATTAATATTGAATTTGACATCAGTGTTATCACTAATAATAGTATTTACGGCTTGACTCTAATACCTATTGGGGTTTCATTACACTATTTAATGTAATGATTGATAAAGAACAACCTGAGATACCAATATACATTTCATTACATCTTTGGTAATCTGAGAAAAAATATCCGGGGATATCCATATTAATGTCATAACACCTTGGCAATTTCCATGGTGTCCAAATTTGGTGTTGAAGTTCCAAGGATATCTTAAAATGATAATAAATAGCCATCTTGGGATACCGATATTTGGAATACCAACATTAATGTCATTACACACCTCAATAAGTTTGTGCTAGAATAAAAAAGATATCCATCTGTATGTGAAATTTGTATTAGTTTACATTAGTCATATAATATGATGTAAAAATTATGTGGTAATGTGACATGTAAATAATCTATATATATATGATGTCAATATTAAATAATATATAAAATGGTCATCTCTTTTCTTTTATTCAAGACTCTGTATTCAAGACTATAGCCTTGATTATCCTGAATTCAGCCTCCATGATGTATGTTCATTCAGATCAATTTTGAGACTAGAGGGCTGCTATTTGTGCATTATCAAGGGCGTATCTGAGTAAAGCCCGGGAGACAAGGGGCTGCCAGAGGCTCCCATAAGCCAAGGAGAATGTTGAGCTCAATTTTTACTTCAAAATAAGACCTAATGGCCCTCTCCTTAAATATGCTACTGCGCATGCTTCTCTTGTCTCTGGGCAATGAGATGTAAAAGTGTCCTCATAAGGAGTTGTGATATATTTGGAAACAATTTAACTGTAAAGTAGAGTCCAAACAATTTCAATGCATGTAGGTCACAAGAAACCTTCAGAATGATTGTCCGTTTACAATTTGACCCCAAAAAAGCACAATTACTATCCAAAGTTCCAAGCACAATCTAACTAAATGGATAAAATATTTTGTATGAGTCCATCTAGTCACTGACCACAGAAATGAACTTTCTCTGATAGTTCAACATGAGCTTTGATGGATCATCTGAAGTTGTAATTGTCTGCCTTAGTCTGCCCTTTCTAAGCAGTTTGATTGTATTCTTGTCACATATACACAGCCTTGGACAGTACAAATATCAGCTGCCAGCTGGGCCATTATTATGAATTAAATCATGCCATCTTAAACAAAAATGTGTAGGATATTTTAGCAGAATAAGAAATGAATACAAGGTCTAAAACTATGTTGCGTTTTAACATTAATTTGTGGCAGATATCCCCTGCCATATTGTAGATTAGAAGGTGTATATTGGCTAAAACTTTTGTATAATTATAATATAATTTGTAAGCAAACTATGTCTATACACGTGATTCATTTGCGTTGAATTGATTTAGTGTCTTGCCATATATTACATTTAGTGGGTCTATTTCGGCAGAATAAGAAATAGGTATTTATTTTTCGTAATTCGGTGATGGTTGTTTGATGTTGATTTGTGGCACTTATCCCCCGCCATAATACAGTTTTGATCGGGTCAAGAGTTTGATTGGGTATTTATTCTATAATGCACTGATTTGTTTATAAACTTTTGCAAAAAATAATTTCATGTAGAGTCTGTCTATTTTTTTTAACTTCAATAAGGGTGAAATAGCATTCAGCTATGTTTTATTAATGATAAATAGTTGTGGTCTGGAATCAAAATTGTTTAGAAAGACTGGATATTGAAGACTAAATACATGTCAAAAAAAATCCGCATGGCTAAGTAGTAGAGTTTGGGACACTCACCGTAACAACCGGCTTTGGAAGGTAAACAGAAGAAAATAAGGCCGATTTTGATACAGGTATTGATTCGTTAACGTAAAAATACAAGCCCTAAAAGTTTATTAACATTGCTTTGTGGCTGGTGGGGAGAAAATAACGGGTGTGAAAACCGGTATTGGTAAGGCGATAAGCCCAAGCTAAGGACTGAAAGACTGAAGGAGTAAGCTCAAATTCAATGTTGTTATCCATTAGAATTTAGTCTATTGTACTCAAATCAAATGCTTTAGATCTATATAATTCGAATTTTATCAATTATTTTTAATGAGATTTGGAATATTAGCCTAAAAATGTTGATCTTGAACTTTCTTTGCCTTAATAAAATGTAAACATTGATTTATGATATGAATTTTTTTTTGTTGAAAGAAGTGTATGCCTATTTCTAACTCATGTAAACTTACAAAAGTTTAAAGTACTGTTTTAAAGTTGATATTCAAATCAAAATTGGCAAATTTCACTGTAGGCTACTGTAACAAATACAAACAGTAAATTAGCCTAGATCTAGTAAGTAAGTTTTTTATAAACGATTCATACATTAGGTTACAATGTACTTGTATAGACTTTGTACTCTTCAAACATGCCAACAAGGTGTGTATCAATCAATGCTAGAATAGAATTCATCCAGCTTTATTGTTATGCTGTACCGACTAGAGTCAGAGATTAGGGTGGTTGAAAGGTAACAAGGTGTTCAGGCCACACTTTTTGACCTTTCTTGATCGGTCACTCGTTGGACTTCTGCTGGCAATTCTCTTCTAATTTAGCTGTGAGACAAAGTGGTATTTTTCCAAGACATTAGAACAACTCTACTTTCTATTCATTTATGTATTAGCATTTTCATTTTTATAAATGAAACTAAGGGAACCCATCTTTAAGAGTTCTGGAGTATTAACAATTTACAGACTAATTTTCTAACTAAATTTGTTCGAAAGTAATTTGGATTTTTTTTGTACACAATAAAATATTTGGTAAATATTCTATTGATTTTAGCCTGTGATATATTATGGTAACAATCTTTAAAAAATAATTGAAGTTTCTTTACTGGCTCTAGGCAGACTTCATATATTTTAGTTATTAAATTTTGTTGAGTAAAGAAAAATGTGTTCAATGTTTTCGTGGAGATTATCCTATCTCTCTAGTAGTAAGTTTTCTGGCTTGTGGGTTGTTTTATTATGAATACTAAAAACAAAAATGTGTGATAAGAGTCATTAAGTTATGAACGAAACCCTTTGATTGATATGTTGATTTAATTATTTGATAGGGAGGTTACCAGTATTAAATATCCATTTATTTATATGTATTACATGATACAGCTGGTTAATTTTATATTTGTAAGTTCCCAGTACAAAATCCATGGTCCAAGATTCAAAGTCTTGTTTTCGATATTTTTTAGAGACTGCCTTGTGGCAGGAAGAAAGAGACTACAATAAAAATATATATAATTGATATAATAAATGACTTAATAATAGTAAAATTGGACAAAACAAATTGATATAATTTACAGTGAAATAATATTTATAAGGATTTATAAATGAACAGAACGATAGTAATTAAAACTAGTGAACGCAAAAAGTTATAATATGGAAATTGTTGAAATATTGCAAAAAGTATAATATAGTTAGTGGATATATATCGTTGATGTCACAAGAAAAAGGTTGTAAGTTGAGTTTCTAAAAATTTTCACTGAGATAGATGTACAAAAAGTTTTGAATCATAGCCACTGAACAGATTTAAACTTTATGTACTAGTAATGAAAGTTTTTAAACCATTTTTGAAAAGTTGCGTAATATAATTATCAATATGATAATTTTATTTTACAGCAAAGTCAACATACAACAATTTCACGCAAAAACATATTTGTGTCCAAACAGTATGTCACCTTTCAGAGATCCAATACGCTTAGGGACAGTTGCGCCTGTTTTTTACCAATTGTACCATTGTCTCAGAAACGTCAGCTTTCTGGCCAAGCCAGTCAGTAAAAGTGTTCACTGCTCACCATCAAAATTTGAGCCTTGAAATCTATGTGTGTAAAGACATCTATAGAAATGGGAAAAGAAATTCCTGAAGTACTTCTGAAGACTAATTACATATTTTCAAGATTTTGTCACATGTCATGGCCAACAACAACAATCACTGTACCTTCATTCTACTACTAGGTTCATTTTTAGATCACCTTTGTTCAATTTTCTGATCATTTGTTGTGACACCTTTAAGCCTGCAACAATGTTCAGACAAGTTTCATGGTAGGACAGAAATCAAAGGAAAAATGTTATATTTTAAGTCAAGTGGAAAAGTCTTTGTTATTGTCCTGTCAAGTGGAAAAATTATTATACAGTGTTATTGTACAGTCAGAGAAATCAGTTAGTGTACAGAAAAGTGAAATCTATTATTGATGAAAAATATCCTTTTATTGTACAGTCAAGTGATAAAATCTCCTCTTATTGTACAGTAAAGTGATAAAATCTCCTTTTATTGTACACTCATGTGAAAAAATCTTATGTACAGTCTAGTAAAACATCTCCTTTCATTCTATGTACAGTGAAAGATATCCAGTTATTGTACAGTTAAGTGAAAAATTTTCCATTTCTGTACAGTCAAGTAAAAAATCTCCTGTTATCAATTGAAAAATCTGTTATTTTACAATTGAGAAAAATTGTCTGTTATTGTACAGTCGGGTGAAAAATGTCTCATCATCATTATTTAACCTTCAATCTATATGACCTTTAATGTTATCTTCTATGTTATGTCACTGATATGTGTTAATGAACAAACAAAACTTATTTGACTACTATTTTGGTTGTAAATACCTTGAAAAAGGGCAGTTTTAATGCAGGCCAAACTTTATATTTCAACCTTAGGTACCAAGCAGGGTATGCGTACTCTTCTAGACACTTGATACCACTTTTCATAATGAAATATTCCTCATTTAAGATTGATTATTTTGGATTTGAGATTTGCTGTTCAGATCATTAGTACTGTACTGGTACTTAAGCTGTGTTTCTTTTAAGTTGTTGAATAATGGTCAAACTTTTTAAATTTATTTAACATTTTTAGAAAATTTTATTTGAAATTTTAAATGCCTACATGAATGAACATTTTTTTGCTATCAGAAATTTCTTTCAATCAGTGAAGATTTCTGGAAAACTACATATTTATTATGTTAACATTTTCAAGTGTATTTTTGATTGGTTAGATAATACTAACATTAATGCTTTTGTGTCAATATGCCATAGCACACAATTTAAAGAAGAATCGCATCAGATCATGGTTTGAAAGAGAAGTACCCTGCACCAAAAATGGGAAGTGAAACATCCAGCTCTGCATCAGATTGAGAAAGCTACACCTATCAAATTTTTTATTTCAGATAATTGATTAATTGGGTACTGGCAGAGATTGAAGCAATATGGCCAACCTGTTAACATCAGCTGTTAGAAGTTATGATGAATTGATGACCAAAGCCGGTTAGTATCTTAATATTCTTAAGGGGTTTAAACACCAGATCTGACTTGACAAGGTTTGACAAAACAAACAAATAGAAATAATTTAAATGCATTAACTAAACATACGGGCTGCTGTCCAACACAACATGGCATAGCATTCTCCAAAACTACAACGCGAAATAGGAAATGGTTTAGGAAGGAGGCTGGCCCTGTTTTTTCCAAAACAATTATCTGATCATAAGTCTGTTGTCAGAGTAGTTCTAGCACTTTTTCTAGCGTTTTTTTGCTTATGTCCAAAAAAAAGATAGGTTTTTGCCAATCAGTTCGTCTGGAGTTGGTTCCGTTTGATGTCAAAACAGAGTAAAAATATTTGGTGCTCTTTTGGTGCAGCGTTTGAAGTAATAATAATCATTTTTACAGATTCTAGAGTTGAAGGATGGACTTTAATGTCATCACCATGGCCAAGTTTATTTATATGTCTAGCTTATTTTATTATTGTTAAACTGGGACCATCATTCATGGAGAAGAGAGAACCAATGAATTTAAAGAACGTCCTAGTTGTTTATAATTTTGCTATGGTTATATTATCAGGGTATATCTTTGTTGAGGTAAGTAAATACAGGAGAAGTTATTAATTAAAGGGACATGTTTGCCATTTATTCCACCAATTAAACTGTAGTCTCAGAAATGGAAATTTTTAGCCGAACTACTCAGTAATAGTGTACACAGCTCACTGTCAAAATTTGAGCTTTGAAATCCATGTGTGTCCAGAATTAACCGTGTTTGAAGGTTAAAATGATGACTACGCCACATAAAGAAAAGACATATATGAAGTGAAATTTGAAGGGACTGCGATTTTTGTGCAGTTCTTTTACTTCTGAGGACTATTTACACATATAAAGACCCAAATCAACCTTGAAAAATGGTTACCCATGACCTTTAAAGGATTATAATTCTAGTTTCAAATTTGATAACATGTTTTAAAATTGTATGAATTGCACTCAGTAATATATCAGTATCAATATTGTCAGATTTTTCACAATATTTAATTAATCTTATATTCATATAGCTCTAAAATATAAAATAATATAACTTCATTATATTTTGATAGTTTTTGTTATCTGGTTGGATGACTGGTTATAGTTATGGTTGTCAACCTGTTGATTATTCACATTCACCTAAAGCTTTAAGAGTAAGTAAATCATATTGATCTTTGAGATGAATTTAAATAGTTGATGGTAGATCAAATGAAAAATAATGAAGATTAACAGAAGAAAACTAATCTGACAGCAGATCTAGATCCCCTATTCCAAATTCTCAGTAAAGTATTTGTTCCACCCTAGGTATCTAGGGTGTATTTAGAGGGTAGACTATTGGGCTAGGGCCTCCTCTTCAGGCCTCTGAAAGGTCTTTTTTTTGTAGTGAAAATTACCTCCTTTCAATGCTCAAAATTAATCTCAGGCCATCTGAAATCTGTAGTCGACAGAACCTGGCCTAGGTGAGACCCTTGTCATTTTTGGCTTTTTTAGCTCTTGCACTTTAAATCCATGATCCGATGACATTTTTCTTTGTATTGTGTTCTGTGGAATTTCATTTAAATTTCTTTTATTATTTTACAGATGGTTAATGTTTGTTGGTGGTTTTATTTTTCTAAGTTTATAGAACTCTTTGATACTGTAAGTTTGGTGTAATATATTATATTTTTGAAGGGTTCCCCTCAAAAGCTTATAGCTGCATCAGTAATTTTCTTGTCTTGAGATGGGGCAAGTAACTAGCAGACGACAATCTAACTCACTTCTGACTGAGCTAACTCTGAGGAAAAGCTAGACATTGAAATAAGAAAAAATTCAATATCTTACTGAAAGGCATTTTCACAATGTCAGGCTATTGTGAACTGCTTCTTATACCTTGACTACAATAGCCACTATTATTGTATCGCAGAAATCTGTAAATGTAGCTCTGAAGGTATAAGACAAAGTTCGTAATAGCTTGAATTAGCCCAGATGGTGCAGAAAAGTACGTAAAACTCCATTCAACTTTATTGTTATTCACATCCATAAAAAATTGTGTCCCGGTTGAAAAATTTTGTTCTTTTTATGACTTCATCTGATTTGTTTTCAGGTTTTCTTTTTGTTACGTAAGAAAAACAATCAGGTTTCCTTTCTACATGTATTTCATCATGGTATTATGCCTTTCTCCTGGTGGTTTGGTGTCAAGTTTGCACCTGGTATGATGATATTTAATCTATTTTCCTTGGGAGCCGTAGTGGCTCAGTAAGTTAGACGCTTGCCCTCTAGTTCCAGGGTTCAATTTTCGCATAGGTCTAGACAATAGTTTCAGATATTTCTACCTGGTTTCCACCTGATAGGACAATTAGGCCCTGTATGTTACAGTTTGTGCAGTCAATTGGAAATAGAAAAAGTGCAGACTTCTGCCGCTTTCAAAATATCCCTCATTATACACTGCATGGCATTGTCCAACCTCATTAGCACAAATAAGAGCAGAAAAGTAAAAAACAATTTTTTATCTTGTATCACATAGTCTTTTATAAGACATGACATGAAAGTGAGTTTTAACGGCTAACTTTTCTAATCATCAGAATTTCATTCTTTAATTTAACTTTTAAATTTCAGGAGGATTTGGAACATTTCATGCATTATTAAACAGTTTTATACATTTTATGATGTACACATATTACGGTTTGGCTGCACTCGGTCCAGCCTTTCAGAAATATCTATGGTGGAAAAAATACATGACCAAAATGCAAATTGTAAGTGTAAAAATACTTTCAGATCTAACTTATATTGAACTTTACATGCGAGAAGTAGATTAAAATAAGAGCTACAACTGTCTCGGAGTATATTTTGAGATGGCATCTTCAATGTACTGAACAGACAAAAGCCATCATTAGAAGTATTCTTACAACTGAAAGAAAGGAGATAACTTAATCTTTCAACGATCTTGTCTACCAAACCTGTAATTCATTTTTCTAGAGTTATCGGCACCAATTAAGGCTGACTCAGAAAGGAAAAATGACGTTCACCAAACTTTCTCATGCAGACTTTAAAAACATAGATTTAACCCTATGACTCTTTAGTTTGGAAATTTGTTCTAAAATTGTTTTTGTTTTTTTGCAGACGCAGTTTATATGTGTGGTCATTCATTCATCTCAGTTATTATTTATAGAATGTAATTATTCCATGATTTTTGTATATTGGATAGGGCTGTATGCCATTATATTCTTAGCCCTCTTTGCTGATTTTTACCGTAAAGCATATCAAAAGAGTTCACAGAATAAAAAAAGCAATGGAATAACCAAAAACGGTGTGAAATCCAAGCACAGTTAATTATGTAGGTTTTTTTAAAGAAAATGATTTGTTATTTAAAGGAGCAAACACATATTGAAAAGCAAAAACATTGTTCAAAATAGAATTGTTAGTTGGATATGGCAGATTATATATCAGTTCCACCTAATCTTGACCATTATATATAATCATTAAGTTATTTTTTTCCATCAATGATAGGGGATCCTTTGATTTTTCCGAGCTCTTTGTTATGTGTGACGATTTCAGTCCTTACTCAACACCTAGTGTTGCTGTTGTTTTATGTCATCCATATTTTATGTCATCTTCACACTGTCAAACTATTACGGACTGTGTCTTATACCTTGACTACAATAGCCACATCTCTTTTATCACTGAAGTGAGTTTATGTAGCAATTTGGTTGGATTATATGTTAAGAGATACAGCCAATTGTAATTTTTTTCATCTTTCTGCCGATAGCTCTGATTGGCTGGATCGCAGGTGTATAATCGAATCAAATTGCTGCATTCAGTGATACCAGAAAGGTGATTTATGAAGTCTGTGACATTGTGACCATCAGAAGTTCAAATGCAAAATTGATTGTTCTGATCTGTTGAAAGGAAAACCAATGGTAACCAGTCACTTTGTTATCAAAATTGCAGATAAACTCACAAAAAAATGTCTTCACTCGATTGATCAAATTGTGTAATAAAAAATTGTCTTTTGATATAAGGCATTATATTATCTTATTTTACATATTTTGATTGTTAATATTTAACTAACAGTAATAATGTTATTGAGGTTAAACTGCAATGTTAATTTCTGCTCAAAATAAAACTGTGTGTTTTGTGTGGAATAATCATCTACTAAAATATTGTTAGGTAGAGAATAGTAAAGGAATACTACCTCTTAAAATGGACATAACATTCTCAAACTTGGTCAAAAAGAGTATAATATTTTTCAGTTAATTTTACCAGGTGTCATGACTAAAGAATAGAATCTCTAAATGAGACGATATCTCCATTAAACTAAATAACTATTGAAAAACGCTTTTAAGCATGTTTCAATATTACTTAGTTTAATGAATAATTACTTATTTTAATGAATAATTACTTAGTTTAATGAATAATTACTTAGTTTAATGGATTTATTGGAATTTAGAGGGGATTCTGTTGTATAGTTAATGACACCATGTAAGTCCACTGTATAACAAAGACTCATATTGGCAAAGTTTAAAAATTTCACTTTTTTGGCTCTTCTAAAGAGGTAGTATCCTTTTAAAGTGTTATTATATGTTTTGTAATTTATCCATCATATTGCATGCTAGTTAGTTGTATTATATATTCTGAATTATTACGTTACACTATGCCAAAAAGTATCCTGAATTTTACCTTTAAAAAGATTGTACAGAGGTTTTCTCAAAGTTTTATATGTATATGGGACACTGATAGCATCAATTTGCATCATTCCAAATTTCAATGAGACATCTGAGGTGCCTACAATTCCACAAAAGCTAGGTGTTTGATGATGTCACCTTTGTGTTTTATGATACTAGTTTTAGTGGAATTGCAGGAACAACAGACGTCTGACTGAAAATTGGAAAGATGCTATCAGTGTCCAAGATTCACACACAAAATTTACAATCCCTTTAATATTTCTAAATAATTTTATGGTCAGTTAGTGATTTATAGCTAACATTTAATTGAAGTTCTATACATTTTTATTTGGAATGGAGAAAGTTGATGAAAAATAAAATGTTTTTCAACCCTCAGTTGTCAGGATAACTTGAGATTTAGAAAATCATGTTTACCTTATTGCTTCAGTTGTGTATCTTTTTATATAATATAGTATTTAAGATATTTTTCACCTTTTTATATCACATACTTCTGTTTAATAACCTTTTATAGTTTTTCTTATTTACTTTGTATATTTCTTGATTTCATTTCTCCCGGTGCATTTTTTAAAGGGACAGGTTCCCCATCGTTTGAGGCTTTGAGCTAACCAGTAATGGTGTTCACAGCACCGTTGAAATTTGTGCCTTCAAATCCATGTTTGTTCAGAATTATCCATGGTTGAAAGTTAAAATGACGACTTGTCTTTTCTTGAGACGCTGATATATACAAAAGACAAATTTTATAGAAATAGAAAGTGAAACTCCGAGTTTGAGGTATATTTGAAAGATGTCAGATGTATCTTGTAATTGTACATGTCTGATGTATCTTGTAATTTCTACATGTCTGATGTATCTAATAATTTCTATATGTCTGATGTATCTTAGTCATAATTTTTATGTCAGATGTGTCTTAGTTATAATTTCTATATGTCTGATGTATCTTAAAATTTATGTCAGATGTATCTTAGTTATAATTTCTATGTCTGATGTATCTTAAAATTTCTATGTCAGATGCATCTTATAATTACTATATGTCAGATGAATCTTATAATTTCTATATGTTAGGGGTTAAGGATTTTATGTACTCTGAGCCAAAATAAACAAATATGTCAAATTTTAGTTTTGAATAGATCTGACATAATACAGAATTGATTTTGAAGAATTATATCGGTTGCTTTCTGTTTCATATGAATGCTGTTTTATTTATATTTTTGATATAATTTTTGACCAAGCTTTTTTATTTTTCACTTTGTTAGCTTTTTTAAATATTTTTCCTAGTGTTAGAATTCTAGTCTAGGTTGGTATATTATTGTCAAGCATCAAGATTGGATTCAGAACTATTTACTTACTTTCAGTCCTTATATTGACATTAATAGCAATGATTTTTCTGTGTCATTTAGGTGTAAAGACAATCTTAACATAATTTACTTAAAAAAAACTTAAGTTGATCAATGCTTAACCATGTGCATCTTCTCTTATACCTTGACTTCAACAGCCACCTTTCGTGGAATTTTGTAAATGCAGCGATGGTTAGGTTGTATGTTAGCAAATACTGCCAATCAGAGCCCTCAACAGAAATTCTGTAAACAATGTTTACAGTCTTTCTGTCAAGGACTTTGGGCTGTATGCTTTGGCGTACAATCCAATCAAATCGCTGCATTCTATCATACAAAAAAGGTGGCTATCACAGTCAAGGTTTAAGATAAAGCTAGTAATAACTTAATGCACCTAGTGTTTCGCTAAAGGGTATCCACAGATTTGGATCGAGTAAATTTGAAAGCTTTGTGTGTCTTATTGAACATATAGGGGTAGAGATCATATTAAATAATAGTAATGAAAATAATCAAGTGTTGAATTCTTTGTAGAAACATTGTGTTCAATAAAAATTGTGTTAACCAATTTCGAAGGAAGAAAGGCTCTTGTATCCATCCCAAATAGCTACCATCGTAGACAGATTTCCAACTACATGTATGAATCTGAAAGGGACAGGACATTCATTTGACCAGTCTTACATTAGTCTCTGAAACTTGAATTTTAGCTAAGCTAATCAATAACAGTGTTCACAGCTCACTGTCGAAATTTGAGCCTTCAATGTCATCTGTGTCCAGAATTATCTGTGTTTGAAATATAAATAAACAACTCAGTCTTTTCTTGAGGTATGTTGTAGGAATTAAGTGATTTCCGTACATTTCTAGTACTTCAGAAGACTATTTACATATATTCAAGCCCCAATCAACCCTCAACTTAATGCCATGATTAGATTGTGTAAGGTTTTGATTTATTGAAAGAGATAAAAAAAATCCGAACTTGTCACACTAAAATTTAATTCTCTCAAATAATTTTACAATTTCAATCATATAAACCTACACCTGGTACGTTGTCCTTTTTTCCATAAGTCCTTCAAATGTATCCAAAAACTGCTCACATTGATATTCAAATATAGTCCAACAAAGGTATTAGTGAACAATCAGAGATCAGAGATCAGATATGGTTTTTAGACTAAAAGGTAATGAACCTATAAAAGCCATACTTGTGTGTTCAATTATCTTCGTAAAAAAAGGCTGCATGTGTTCATGTTTTGAATCATCTCCAGATGTGGACAAATATATTTGCTGGACTATACATATTAACACAATATTTGTCTCATTCAGTTATTTGTAAATTAAATAGCCTCCACAGAACTATTAGCTTTAGCTTGAATTCTCCTTTTTCTTTCTAATAGTCTTCTCTCTCTTTCGTGTTCTTTATGTCTTAAAATTGCACTGAAATAGAAATCAAATAAGTAAATTTCTAGTCTATTAAGTGGGGAAAAAATGCATCAAATCAAAATCTAGTACTAACAATATTTATCACACCATCCATTCAATCATAGAATTTCTCTGATACCAATATACAAAAACATATAAACTGTTCATAACAATAGTAAACTGGCTTTTGCTATTGCAGACAAAATTTGATAGTACTATTAAAATATTGTCCTTAATTCCGATACTTATTAATCACACAAGCAAAAACATTATGTTATAAGCTTATTTATGACATATACATTTTTCTATCGAAAGGGGGTGATTTTTCAGGGGAAAGTGATATCAAATAAGCTGAATACATACTCTGCTTTGTGGCAGTCTTCTAAGTGATGCCACTGTGCATTACAGGCCCATGTGTTGAAAAAGCTTTGTTTTGATAGACAACTTTGTAAAGCAACATATTTATCAACACAATAATCACGGTACATTAATGGGACCAATGCATTGTCCATTTGGTCCTGTGTTAATGGTGCAACTGAAAATATAATAAAATAATAATATAAACATTAAATTCACATGAAGAAGGTCTCATCAACAAATTCAAACTTGACTGAGATATCATCTCATCAATGTATACCCGGTACATGCACACCAAGTATCATCAAGATCGGATAAAAACTATACCCCTTATTGTGTTTACAAGCCAAATTTGATGTGTTTTTATTAAGTCATGGGTAATAAATCAGAAAAGGTTCACCCAAACCGAGATAAATCAAACTTAACCATCAGCATTTTACTAGGTGGTAGAAAAGATCTTTCCATTCTTGGACAGTCATTACTCCAAGACTGGATCTACTGCCATACTATTTTTTGGTAAAACGAATGTTGCTGATATTTGACTTAGTCTTTGTTCCAAATGAGTATGACAACTTAAGATAGTAGCCTTGCTCTTAGTAAGTTTACAAAGTGACAGTTTATTAGAAATAGGCCTAATAAAATGGGTTTGCTTTTTCGATATAAATCAGAAGGCACAAGGCAGTCGTACCTCTTTCCTTTCTACCATTGGGAAAACCTATCATAGGATCATTTGACTGATCCTTTCTATAATCTGGAACAACTGTATCCGGAGAACTTGATACTTGCCCCATGATGGCAGATACAAGTTAAGAGCAACGAAAAGTCAACAGACTTTCAGAATCGTTACCCTTGTCCTTGACCTTCGGTGATGTACCTTATAGACTAACAACAATTCGATTCTTTTTTAATAATGAATCTTTTGGTGATAAATTGGGTAGTTTTTTAGATAAACTTTTAAGGGAGAGATAAATTTTTAATTTTTAATTTTATCTCTAAATAATTTTGCATTGTTTTATCAAAATAATTTTGAGCATCGTATTTGAACTAGTCTTGATTACTAAGACACACTCAGGGACTAAAATTAAAATTTTGCATGACTTAAAATGTCATGAGTAGAAAGATATAATTAAAGAACAGCCACTAGAATAGATGACTCCAAATAATTTGGTTCGACGCGTTGGTAATTTTATATTTTTAAAAATATTTTTAGTCCGAAACCTCTGAATTTTTGTTTCACGCACATAGCGCCATCTATGCAATGTTTACTTCCGGTTATAGATGCACATGTGTTTTAAAATAATAACAAGTATTTTAAAGAAAATTAGATATGACGCTTTTCAAAAAATTTAGTGGCGAATTATCTGACCCAGAGAGTAGTGACTCTGACAGTATCGATTCCGATGAAGAGGTTTTTAGTTTGTCTTTTTTTTTTTTGGTCAAAACAAATAGCCATCATGCCAATGTTACCGATCTTTGTACATAACTATTGGATACCCATCATATCAAATGAGAGAAATTGAAATGCATGAGGGGTGGGGGCAACACTGCTGAGACTTAAATAAAATACTAATAGATGTAACATGTTGAAGGAGATTAATCATTCATATTACAGTTGCAGAAGGCATTTGCTGAAGGCAAGTTAAAATCAGGTTTTGTCATAGAAGCTGCTCCTAAGAAACAGCTGATAAAGAATAAGGTTTGTAAAATTTATATTTGAAGCAGTAGAATTGTTTGAGTGGCTAAGTTAATAATAATTTGAACTTGACAATCAGTACATCATCATGTTAAGGTTTCTGCCAAATTTCAGGTGAACCAGAAGTTAGATTTGTTAGTATTAGAGACACAGATGAATATAGCATGTCTATCATGTATTTGACACCCCTCATATTTATATTAAACACTTCCAAACATGCATACTTTTAATGCCAATCAATATGAAACTGTCTATGTATCAGCACATTTGTATAAAAAGAGATGATTTCTGTTGCCTCTCAAATAACTAGGCTGTCCAGCCTTTTGTTACATGTAGCTGAAAGTGAATATTTATTAAATATTTGCCTGCTCAAGCTGGATATCATAAAGTAACAATTTATTTTTGAAATATTTTTATTGAAGATTGGGCTGTTACAAAAGTTAGATGAAATGAAAGTGAACTTAGATTGGATTGAGAGATTAGATATGGTTAATACACCAGCCAGAGTTCTACCCGGTATTGAAGAAGAGGATAGTCAACAAGATATTCATAATGATTTCAAACGAGAAATGACATTGTAAGTTTGGTGTTGTGATAATGAATTGAAAGTGATAATAGTCTAAATTGATGTATATTTTTGTTGAATTGTACAAGAACTAAGAGTAAAATTTGATAGAGTAGAAAGTGATATTGACAAGTGAAATTGAGCTCTACCAGCTGATAAGGCAAATATAGAAAGGGCTATATCTACTGATTGTGTGGAAGCCGCAGCCCCGTAAACAAGTGGCCCAGCCACTGGATTTTAATCAACTATATATTTAAGAAGTTTCTTTGTTTTCAGTTACAGACAGGCACAGTCAGCAGTTTTAGAAGCCTTACCTAAATTACATAAAGTAGGTTTAAAAACTAAAAGACCTGAAGATTATTTTGCTGAGATGGCCAAATCTGATGATCACATGAAAAGGGTAAGGTTGTGTTAAGGAATTTTTTCTTGTTGATTTAGTTGCAGCAATCATTAGAAAAAATATCAACTTGACAACTTGAGTTGTGAGATAAGATGACTAGAGTCATGAATAAGATTAAAATGATAACAGGTTACATGTAGTAGTTTGATGCATCTTCATCACTATTATTACAATTTTTCTATGTTTTAGGTACGAGAAAAATTGTTAGAAAAGCAACTTGGTATGGAAAGATCGGAAAAAGCTAAGAAATTAAGAGATTTACGTAAATATGGTAAACAGGTAAGAAAATAAATACAATTTTCCACAGTATTTTTAAGAAAAATTACAAATATCAGCTACAAATACTGTTGAAAGTCTTTTCCGATTATTTTTTAAGCAAATTAGAAAATTGGCTTCAAATGATATTGTAAGTCTTAGAAAATTTTCAGTTGATATAAATGGGCACATATTTTCATTTTGTACTTTATACCTACCATAGAAAGCAATTTTCAACCTAAATTTTTAATGTTTTTGTCAGGAAAAGTGATTTCAGATTAAAAGTAAACATATAAAGCCTAATATTTTTTATGATTTTAATTTGAAGACTGTTCTGTTTTAAAGGTAATATCCTGATTTTATTTTCACTATTTTTCTGTATGACTTTGTGGGGAAATTTACTAGTGATATACTTGTAATTATTCCAACTCTTCTGACCTATATCTTTTATTGATTTAGGTTCAAAAAGAAGTATTACAGAAGAGACAGAAAGAAAAAAGAGATATGCTGGAGGCTGTTAAGAAATATAGAAAAGGTCAGTTAAATTTTAAGACGTTCCTTCCATACAAATTTGAAAAATGCTCTGAAATGACGTCATATTGTGATGCTTTAGATTGCTGTATTCTAAAGCTCAAATTATTAAGCCTCCATGCATTGCACTGGAATTTATTTTGGTTATTGTTATGTTTGTAGGACAGAAAGATAAGTTAGATTTTTTGAACAATGATGATTTTGAAGAGAATGACAGAAATGGTAAACAGAATAAAAAGACCAAGAAGGGTGAAAAATATGCGTAAGTTACAAACTTTTCAGTATCAGCACACAATAACAATGTGATTGGAAAAACTCTGGTATCTTTTGAATTTTCTTTCATACAAAATGAGAATTTATTTAAGGCAGATATTACCAGTTCCATAAACTTTGTAGGGCAGGGTTGTTGAATTGGCTCTATTTTCCAGACCTAAGAGACTGGACAGCTCAAATGTCTGCAGATTTATATCCTTTGTAGGTTCCACACACCTAAGCACACCCAAAATATGTATCACTTTTCAAATACAACTTGCTCACACCTATAACCAGAGCAAAATCATTAGTATAACTGTTTATGTTTATATTATATATTATAATGCAGGCCCAATAAGAAAAGGATATATAAAAATGCTAAATTTGGTTTTGGTGGCCAGAAGAAAAGATCTAAAAGTAACACGAAAGAATCAGTCAATGATGTTAAACAATATGGAAGAAATTTTTCTAAAATTAAAAAATCTTCCAAAAAGGGTGGTTCAATGGTAAGTTATACAGTTATTGCAATTTATACTTGCAATCATCTATACTACTACAGAATCCTTTCAAAAATTTTCTCTGGGTTGTTTTCACCCCCTAGGGGTGTGGGACTAGGGTGTGGCCAACTAGTGTAGGAGAAGAATTAATTTTGAATTGAGAGAGCACCAAACATCATCACATGCTGGAAATGTGGATGAAACAAATTTTTCGGGGTGTGAAAGGTCCAGGTGATTGCTCCAGGGGTGTGAAGGCTGAAAAAGATTGGGAACCACTGTTTTAAACAGAGATCATAATAGTTTGACATTAAGAAGATGAGGTTTGTAGCTAGTTAGCAACCTGGAAACACTACCTTTTAGAGTTTAATGTTGATATGATTCGAGTAAATGTAAATTTCCTAACACTAAACATTATTCTTATATTTTCCAGAACAATAAAAGACTGGGTAAATCAAGACGACAAAATGTTAAAAGTAAGAAGTAGTAAAGAACAACATGACTATATACTGTATATATTTTGTACAAAGAATAAAAAAAGTTATGGAGAAATATTGTTGTCATATATGTCATCCATTGTCCCTTTATAAAGACTTTTGGCTTGGCACTTAATACAAGTCTTTATTCATTTTTATGCACCTACATAGAATTCTGGATGTATATTAGGCCCTACTGTTGCCTCCATTGCCCGTCCACATTACCACTTGAGATCTCGGTCATGTTCGAATTTAGTAATAATTGGATGAATCGTTTTGTAGTTATTGGCCATAATTTAATAAATATAAAGAGACAAGAAAGAGATTACAGCAAGGGCAGAGAAAAGGAGTGGGTGGGTGGGGGAGATGTGAATTCCTGTTTCTGAAACTAAGGTATGATTGGTCGAACGGAAAGTGAAGGTGCTCCTTTAACGACAAGATAACTTACTTTTAGTTAAAATTTTCATATATTGTAAGGGAGACATACGTATAGATTTTGATCTTTCTAAGCATGTTTCCTGTGTCCGACAAATGACCAAGCTTGGTTGAGTAGAGTGTCTGTTATAGACGTAAAAAAGGCACAATTTGGCATCCGAGAACATCAAAGTGACGCACTATTCGAACATTTTATGGTCGAGTGACAGGAAAACCATTCGTTCGTTTTGGGACCCATCTCCACCCACAGAAGCGTCGTTACGAAGGAGCACGCGTAGCGAATTTTATCCTTTGCATATTTGCACTGGATGACAGTAATTCAGTAAGATGCAAGAAGGTGCATTTCTTTCTATAATATTTCTGAGGGCACAACTGAAACGTTCTCATGCCGCTGTACTCTGGAATCGAATTCGCACCTACGGTCCGACCCCTTTTGAATAAATCCGCCCCCCCTCCCCCCTGCATTGAAAAAGCCCCCGATTTCACTAGTTCATAAGTATGCTATATGAAAACTCTGTACTTTAGTTTACAACAATTACCAGAAGCTCGGACTAACAGTGGCGTAATACGGAACCTAAAGATTTATTCAGTAACCGAAAATTGATCAATAAAGCTGACTAAAGACTCTCACTCTCTGCTGTAAGATGAATAAGGATAGAGGAGCCATGGTATTCAAGCTGGTCGATATCCATGAAGGAATCAAAATATTTCCACTCATCGATAGAAAACACATTTGGAAGCCTTATTACTGATCCAAGCCTTATCATTAAGAGTGTTTTAACAAATATTTTACATCGGCACCAAAAGGATAATGGTATATCTGTGTGATAATTACTAAAGAAGAGTTACATTCATTTACAGGAATAATTCCTCCATGATAATATTTTGGTTTTTAGTATTCTTAATTCATATCTGTAAGTAGTTTGTTATACAATGTATATATATGACGGAGATATTGTTATCACCGGAGATAATGTCCACAGCACTTGGACGTTTTAGCGGGCGATAACACACTTATCGAGATAACATCTTTGGAATATTCCTCCCAGAAATAATTTTTCTAGAACAATTAGCATAATCTCAGATGTTTTTGAATAACAGAATATGGAGCACCCATCTGATAGACCTCCATAAGTGAGCTATTTATGGATGTAAGAGCACCTAGAAATGAATATAGGTACATCCGGTATGGGATATGGGCCAGCCTATATACATATATATCTGGTAATTGGATATAGGACCCCTTTCACATGTAGGCCAACCGGTATATATATATGAGTCAACCTATTATGGATATAGGTCCCACCAGTATGGACATTTTCGATTTCCAACTGTCGAGGGATCTTTAACGTACACAGCCTGTAGCAAACGAAACCTCTGTTTATTGTCCCATCCGAACGACTAGACGCTCTTTCCATATCAGTCCCTCTTACCTCATTACTGACAGGGGGAAACTGGGTTGAAAAATTCGAAGGTATTATCTTCGAGTTATACCGGGATTAAACCCCGAACCTTCAGGTTAGCGAGCAAGCGTCTTACTCACTTAGCCACCGAGGCTCCCAATTTTATGATTAAACGCCATCAAGTATATGCATATGAGCTTCCTTATATGACTGTAGGCCAACCGGTAAATGGACATGGGCCAGTCTATTATGGATATAGGCCAGAGTGCATATTGATAGTTCACCCTTATGGATACATGGGCAAAGTAAGGAAAGTATGCAAAAATCCCGACCTATTATTAGATCCGTTTGAATAAGTTGTTACTGTTTAGGCTAAATTAACAATATTTTACATTACAGCATAATAGTTTGGTGGTTTCATCGCGATGCTCAAGACCTATTGAAGGTGCGTACATACATTTAAACTCTTACATATAACAGAACAAAATTCCTTAACTCTAACAAGATTTCGATTTCCATTATATTGTCCTCATTGCTGTATTACACTTAGAGATATTCCTTGTACAAATAGAGAAGGCAATGGTATATAAATGAGATATTAGCTGTGTAACGAGTATACAGACCAATTTCCCTAGAGTATTGACGCTAGACATTAATCTACTGGTCTCAACCATTAAACTGATAATAAATTCTCTTATATAGAACCTTAGTCCTTAAGCACTAAATAAAACTGATTTTAAAATCTAAATTACAGCTAGACATAGCTCTACTATTGATATTTTTTCTGCATTTCACGACTGAAATAAAATATTAACATTCAAGGCACACAGCTACAAATTGGTAGTTAAAAAACGATTTTTCCTATGACTAGAAAAACAAACAGACCAATTTTCCTCATTGGCTTCAGAAATATTAAGATACCAAAAATGATCATATATTGTCTGCAAGCTAATACAGCCAGTTCGAGCCCTCGAGTACACGTGTAGCCATTTTGTTTTCATTCTATTTGTCTAGGGCTTGAATTGGCTGTATAAGCTGACCAATTTTCCTCATTGGCTTCGTAGATAACTGCTTGCAGTTTTACAAGAATTTAATGAAAATACTTAATATTGTCTTCGGATATTTGTAGATTCAGATTTGATTCTCTTTCAGAAATATTAAGATACCAAAAATGATCATATACATATTATGCAAGAGATAAACCGATCTACAGATAGTAGTTGTAGAGATAGGGAACTATTGGATGTTCTGTTACAGAAAACAGACGAACCAAGGAGTGACAATGGTTCCAGAATAACAGCTCTATTAAACAGAACCAATGGAAATCTTAGCAGACCATCCAGTTTTTCAAGGCGAAGTTTGAACCTGTCGCATCCAAGTCTGGCAAGTGATTCCCACGTTTCAGTGGCGGAGCCGGCAGACAACAGTGCTGTCAAATTCCTCTACAGTTTGGCAGTTTTATGTTTGGCTTCGTTAATTCTTTCCGCATTATCATTCCAAGTTTTGATATCACTTGAGAGCTTGGAAGATGGGTTAAAGAACACTTCCGGTGATGGAATGCTCAATTCGTCCGCCATGTATTCTATAGTGTATGAAGCGACCACATCTTTAGCCACCCTTGTGATTGGACTCGATCTGAGCTGTCTAATGGTGTGTTCTATGCAATGTTTCTTTACTGCCAAAATTCTTCGCACCTATGAAGGATCTGAAAGGTATGATACCCATTGTGGTATAATCTTCACAATGTCACGCTATTACAAACTCAGTTTAACATCATTAAGGCCCCTTTCTTGTACTATTGAAATTGCAGCACAACAACTGGATTGTCTGCAAGCTAATACAGCCAGTTCGAGCCCTCGAGTACACGTGTAGCCATTTTGTTTTCATTCTATTTGTCTAGGGCTTGAATTGGCTGTATAAGCTGGCAGATGCTAGGGGCTGATTGGCTTTATTTGCAAAAGCACAATTAAAACCAATCCAAAGGTAAAACTTGCAGAGAATTAATGATCCACATGAGCAAACATCTAAACGTTCACAAATTTGTTGGAAACTAACTCTTGATGATTTTCTGAAAAAAATGGTCACAAACAATGATTTTTATCTCATCTCCATCGGAATTGTTGTTAAATATATTTCAGGGCTTTCAAGTACCTTAAAGAATGTTCCAGTAGTAGGTTTATAGCAGTGTTTAGTTTTTTCTTATCTATACCAGTTTATATGGTTGGTAAGTAAATTCTAGAATTTTTTTTTTTTTTGCTATTCATAACATTCGCGAAATTCGCGATTCAGAGTATCTTATCTGATTAGCTGTTACCAATGTTTCGTCAATATGTTGTTTTGGATTTTGGATTAAATACATAAGAAATTGTCAGAATTATCGCGCAAAGGCTGTTAGTTTGGGTTTGGATTATATTCAGTTGCAATTTTACTAATACTTGACAAATTATTGCCGGAAGTAAAGAGGCAGACCCAAGAATACACAACGAAATCAACCATCATATCCGAGACCGATTCAGCTTTACGGAAACTACCAAGAATTGACCTAAATTCTTTATTGAGACAGATGCAGAAACTGCCGAAGATTGCCCAATAAACGAATCGCTTTTTTCTTAGACGAGGTATAAATTTAGTGTACGGAAACTATAATGAGAGGAATGCTGCAATTACTATTTTATATTTCAGCTTTGGCTTTGTACATTTTAATGAAATTTAGATCAACAGCAGCTTTATCATGTATCATCATACTGTGTATCTGTGTGTTGTTTTGTGTTTTGAGTGTCATGCAGAACATCTACCATTGGAGAGTTGAAAAGAGTCGGTCAGACGAAGGGCTTCCTGTTTACGACGGTCATGTTTCGAGCGGAAGAACTGTTTCCATGGCAGTAAATAGACATGAATTATCTACCCTTGTATAATTCCTGTCAAATATAATAAATAGAAATGAATTAATCCAGATTAGACTTATTCATTTTATTGTCGGTTATGTCCACACTAGCTCAATATGGACAAAATTTGCCCTCGCATAATATTATAGGTCCTAAAATTGGGTAACAATCCTGCCTAAAAAAACCACACAAATGGATAGATCGCTTGGATCCCAAACGGACACTAAAGTGACAATCATTAGAGAATATAAAAACTTTAAAAAAAAGTTATAATATAATAGGCCTATATATTGTGATAGGTATGCTTGCCAGGCAATGCGCACAAGTTTCATCAAACCGGATATGAACTCTGGCATAGATCGTACCAACAATCCGATTTTGAGGCTTCTAGGTATTGTGGGCAATATTAAAGACATTTTTTCGAAACGTCGGCATATTCGAACTCCTTCAAGATCTAATCGTTCGTCATGTCCATTGCAAGTTAAGTAGTAATGGGTTTAAAAGTAAAGTGTCCCGACTGATGGAGCTAGAGTGCGTTCGTACGCCCACATTCTTATGTAGGCGTATACAATTTTTAGTATAGTAGCTTATTATCCAATCATTAAAAGAACCGATGCGAGTGGAATGTTATAAATGAAATTGATGTCATTGTCTGCGATATCAGCTTTAGCTATATAGCTCGGACGTTAACTTATCTTACTGTTAACGAAGGCCGTACGTGTGATCGGTGTCTTCTACTATCACGAAAACAAAATACGGGTAAGTTAAAATCTATTTGAACAACCTTTTTTCCATTTTTTCTCTCAGGATTGCATTACCCCCATTCCCCCTATAAATCCTAACTATTTAGAGATTTTCCTCTTAGGATTTAATTGCACTCTTTTTCATGTCGGAGATATAGCCTGGCTGAAAAAAAACCACATAAATTCTAATTATCCGAAAATTTTATGCTAGACTACAAAGCACCTCATTAGGCTACCTCCAAATTTCACAATATTCCCCACGTTGAAAACTCTTGTATCTAACTATGGTGCCATTGAAAAAAAGATAAGAAATAAAGGGGTTTTTTTTAAATTGAAAAGCGAAATTTATAGGCTGCATTAACTTTTGTTTGAATGGAATTCCACGAAGACTAAAACCCGTTTCCATTTAGTTGTCTTCTCAAAATAATTTTAGAAGATAGATGTAGGTCTCGAAACAGAGAGCTACGAAGTAGGCCATGTATTCTCGAAACGATCTTAGAACTAGGATGTCCTAGATTCTTATCTTCTAACAGTGATTCTAGGACATCCTAGCGCTAAGATCGTTTCGAGAATACGTGGTCTGGATTTCCCAACCGCTTCCCTTAAAATTTCGCATTGTCTTGTAACATTTTGCTTTACAATACAAATCTGAAATTAAGGAGCTAATAATTGTTCTGATTTAAGAAATAAACGTCATGGTAAACTATTTTATGTAAGGTAATATAATAGAATTATTCATTAGGAGGAAACATTAATTCCTAATTATCAAATTATTGTAAATATACGAAGAATAATTTTTCAATCTGAAGAGTAAAAAAATGAAAATGAAATCAATGGAGTTTTACGTCCTACTTGTCTGCAACATATCTGAAAAGTAATACGGTAACTTAGATTAAGTTCTCTCGGTTGGTAGTGTACAATTAGACAACTTGGAGACATTTTTACATTCACAAACCTAAACGTAACAGGTAAAAGGTTAGTTTAGTTTGGAATATCTTCACAATGTCAAATCAAGCTATCACCTTTCATGATTCACATAAATGTTGCGATTTAATTGGATTGTAAGTTAGCGAATACAGCCAATAAGAGGGATCGACAGAAAATCTTTAAACATATGCCATATTGTTGACAGCCTTTCTCTTGAGAGATCTGATTGGCTGTGTTCGCTGGAGTACAATCCAATCTAGTCGCTACAATCCGTGACACAAGAAAGGTGCAGTCGAGGTATAACTATACGAAATTCGTAATAGATTGATATTGTGAAGTTTTGGTGGGAGAAAGTTGTCTAAACATGAATATAGAATCGCGATTTCCTTTTCAAAAATCCTAATTTAAGAAGGAAAATATGTTTTTCTCGTATGCTATCAGGTCTTCTTTCCTGTTAAAAACAACGACAGTAATTTAGATCTTCCTGTTGAAAAAATAACTCATGAAAACGAACAATTACTTCTACAACGGATGTAGTCGTACAGTATCTTCTACAATCAGAGAAAGAAGTACAGAAGTACAAACAGTGTAAATTTGCATAAAATAATGTTAATACCGAACTGTATGCTGAAGATTCTCGATACGCTTTTAAAATTGTAGGCAAACTGGACGTCGAATTTTCTTTTGTAAAATAAAATAAATAACTGAAAATCAACTCCATAAAATTTCAGTAGAAAACTTAAATTTTCGTTTCAAACCGAAATTAGTTCTCTTTTCGTATTGCTTTCCTTCTGTTTTCAGATTAAAAATGGGTTCAACTGAATCGAAGACCTTTTATAAAGTCACCCATAACAAGCTTCGTTTGTCTGATCATCTGAAGCAAACTAAAAGAAAAGACAGAGTCGCTATTGGTTATTAAACCCAGCATCGTCAATAAACAAATTCAGAGTTCAAATGAGTTTTATCTCCAAAATGAGAAAAGTGATTCCGCCTAATTCTGTAACAACAGAAAGAGGAGACCTTATCGGTAGTTACTTACAAGATGACAAGAACGAAGCATAGGCTTAACTTATGGAAAAGTCTTGCTGGAACTAAATGAAACAGTTAAATGGGTTGTAAAGAGGTTGTTTAAAAGCATTACGTCTAGAACAATTTGGACTATTTCAATTTTCAAAGAGATAGTGACGTCATAAAACGCAAAGTTTTTGTGTAATTGCAGGAGCCACAAACATCTGATTGAAAATGGAATGGTGCAAATAGATTTTTTTAAATTTTATGTGAACGATTGTTTTAACATCTCAATACAAATAACTCTGTTGGCCTTCCTAATTTTTTTTTTAAAATTCCATCGCCATCACGTTGCATAAAGGAGAAAAAAAAACAAATATTGGTCAGATGTCGGCTTACATCATACTGCTTTTAAAGTGAACGTAAAAGTTTAATTCTAAAATTTGGCAAAGAAGAGTGCGTATTCGACTATAATACGATAAATCCATAAAACTTCGTAATTATTGAAAAACGCTCAAAGAATACTTGTAGTTTTATGGGTGATTAAGGCTAAATAGTTTGTCTAAAATAAATCAATTAATGAAAATAGCCAGTAAAAACAATTATCCAAAATTGTTAAAACAAGTATGTATGTAAGTACTATATTCATGTGTGATTATTTGTATCGGCAATGTTATCTGGCATTGTTATCTATCGTTATGTTTATTGAATAAATTTATTTCGTCTTGAAAACCAACCGCAAGAGGTCGAATTGAAATAAACTATTCCCTTACTATGGTGTTATTGTGGTGAGATATAATATGACGTTCTTTATGGTGCATGTGGCTTCTGTTTCTTTATAATTTTAATGATTCTTTGTCTGTAGACAATATATCAGACTACGTATAATGTATCATTCCGACTTGAATTATCTATTAATGAATTAACTGAGATTTCATAAGACCAACCAGTCACCAGTTAAAGGGCAGTAATGACGTATATGGAAATTTTCTCAGTGCACCTCTATGTCAACAATGACGTATTAACATTGATAGTATCTACTTGGAAAATTCCCTTATTGAACCTCTATGTCAACAATGACGTATTAACATTGATAGTATCTACATGGAAAATTCCCTCATTGCACCTCTATGTCAACAATGACGTATTAACATTGATAGTATCTTCATGGAAAATTCCCTCATTGCACCTCTATATCAACAATGACATATTAACATTGATAGTATCTACATGGAAAATTCCCTTATTGCACCTCTATGTCAATAATGACGTATTAACATTGATAGTATCTGCATGAACAAATTCCTTATTGCACCCCTATATCAACAATGACATAACATTAACAATTACACAGCATTGATAGTATCTGTATAAGAGATCCATTTCATGACACCAATATATTAAGAATAACATATTAACATTGATAGTATCTGCATGGAAAATTTCCTTATTGCACCTCTATATCAACAATGACATAATATTAACAATTACATAGCATTGATAGCATCTGTATAAGAGATCCATTTCATGACACCAATATATCAACAATGGCATATTAACATTGATAGTATCTGCATGAAAAATTCCCTTACTGCACCTCTTTGTCAACAATGACATATTATATGAACATTGATAGTATCTTCATGAAAAATTCCCTCATTGCACCTCTATATATTAACAATTGCACAGCATTGATAGCATCTGTAAAAGCGATCCATTACATGACACCACTATATCAACATTGATAGTATCTGAATAAGAGATCCATTTCATCACCCCAGTATATCAACAATGACATTAACATTGGAAGTATCTGTTTGAGAGATTCCCTCAATTTACCACTATATCAACAATGAAATTAACAATGAGAGAATGTGAATAAGAGAATTCCCTTAAATGCAACTGTAAAAGGGGGAAATCAAGAGAAAAGTCTAGTTTATATAAATTATATTATTACAAAATTTGATAATAACAATAACAATAATTGTCATGAACCATAAATATTATAGTACCATCAATTTATTTGTGTAGATCCAGGGACGATTTAATTCATAAACATGATCAATTGATCAGTCCACTTTATCATGAGGTAAATTAATTGTCATTTCAATAATACAAGTTAGAAATATATTAACCACCTAACAACTTAAACTACCTAAAGTAATAATGGACTGTTTATGTTTTGAAACCTCCGCTCCCTGTACATGCACAAATAATTTTGCTGGACTATACATGGCTAAAACGGTCAAGAACTGGAACTATAATTATAACAGGAGAAAGGTGACAAATGATTTCTCAATTTTATATTTGGCACATCGCATCTACGTTTAAATTTCTCAAGACTTTTTCGATAAGAGCATATTCAATGTAGTTTAAGTGTTAATTCCTAACTTTCTGTTCTGTTATTTTATACCCGTTCTAGAATAACAGCAATACCTTGTCCACCACCAATACAGGCTGTTCCTAAACCATATTTACCATTGATTCTCCTAAAATATACAACATAGGGCTTATGAGTCTTGGATATTATAATAAACAATTTCATGTTTCGTCAAAATACATCAATTGTGCCACCAACGAGCAATTGTGGACAGATGGACATGGGTGCATCCAATATATGCTGCAGGCATTGAAACAATCTACCAGCTGAAATAGATCAATATATCACTTTTTCCTTTGCAGCTTTCCAAAAAATTCCATTTTCCTTACCGTAGTTGATGTGTTAAATGAGCAGTAATTCTAGCACCAGATGCACCTAGTGGATGACCTAAAGCTATAGCTCCACCACAAGTATTAGTAATATCTATATTTAATCCTAATTCTTTCACCACAGCTAAAAACTGAGGTGCAAAAGCTTCATTAACCTGAAAGACAAACAAATAAACCATAGTATTTCTCTATGTTCTATTTTAGTCCTATAAATTATCACAGAATGGTTTCCATGTCAACATACTCCAACCATGGCTGGTAAAGTAAGAGTTTGCAAATTGACCGACATTGAGAAACTCAGTTGCCATGTGGCATCATGTGTAATTCATAAGTTTGCACTCACCTCTACAAGATCCATATTTTTCAAATCCACACCACCAGCTTTCAATGCTGCTCTAGAAGATGGAGCTGGTCCAATACCCATGATACTAGGGTCACAACCTACAGAAAAAAATCAAAAATAATACTTTAAGCATGATTTTGCATCAGCTCCTCAGAAACTTTTGTATATATCTACCATGTTTCACTTCAGCAGGTTAACCTGGTATTAAGGACTGGTATTCATTAAAATTATTCATGATTTCAGGTGTTTTCAAACCAGCCAATCTACATGCGTTTACATAATGTTTGTTTTGTAAATATTAACACAAATTCAGTGCCTCATTAAGCTATTTGGATAAAGTATGTCCAATCTATGGCATTATAGGGCCAAGTCAAATATAAGATCTCAAGATAAAGCACAAGGCACTGTACAGATGGCAGATGAACAGACAGGAGGACAAATTATGCCAAAACATCAAGACAAGCAAATCACAAAAGATACAACAAAAATTGAGCCATAAGTAAATTTTGTTACTCTCATTTCTAAAAAGTTGAAAGAAAAACATAAAAATCAATATGAACAAGTTAGAGTTCTTCCGATATATACAACATTAATTTTACCTGATATGCCATAAGAAACAAGTCTAGCTAATGGAGTTAAATTATGTTTTTTAACTGCAGCTTCACTAGCTAATATCAAGGCACCTGCACCATCACAAACACCCTGAAATAGATACCATTTCACATTATGTCAACAAAAACTTAAATCCCCAGGTTAGCAAGCAAAGATCCTATTCACTGAGCCACCCAAAAGAGAAACAGCACTTTTGACATAGTGGTCATGTGAAATCAAAAGGGATTGTAAAGACGTTTTCAAAATCTATGTCTATCAAGGACACTGATAAACTCTGTTTTAAAATTTCGTATTTGTCTAAAAAAGTTCACGGATATTGACATATATTGTCAACACTTACGTCAATCCGTCTCAGCACATTTCCACTAAAAGAATCTACTATTTTCAACAGATTGAGAAAAAAAAGTTTCTTAAATGCAGACCAAGCCTGAATGAAAGATTTTCCATTCATTACCAATTACAAAGCAAGAGAAATCAGGGTGTTAAGTGAAAAGAAACTGCACAGAGGCATTTCCAGCTGAAACTGTACCATCTTTTTTAAACACAGGTGCTAACTTGGCTAACTTTTCTACTGGTGTCACTCTAGGATGTTCATCAACTTCAAATACTTCTTCCCCTTTTCTACCCTTCACTTTCACAGGAGTAATCTCATCTTTGAAATATCCATTTTCATTAGCTGAAAAATAAATGAAGTCAATATATAAATACGAAATCAAAACTTGTCAAAATATTTGATGTACTAGTGCTCACTTTCAGTTATCCATAGCTCAAGTCCAATTCTCTACAAAACAGGCCGAAAGCATAGACTAATGTCAAGAGTGCCCTGCAAGAACATTACACAGTTTTGTTGTGAAATGTCCAGTTTCCTTTGTTAGAGTGATATGAGAATAAAATTTCCATAAAGGCAAAGGCCTAGGTCACAAAGTTAGAACAATATATTCCTAAGAACTGTTGTTGATTAAGTAGTATCTTGTTTTTACTCCATTCACGAACTCTGGCATAGTTCCCATTTCATCCCTTGTTGAACAAATGGACCATGCCATAAAAACTCACCTTTAATCCAATTGGTCTGTGTTCTAAAGGCATATTCATCACAATCTTGTCTGCTAATGTTATATTTCTGAGCTAGATTTTCAGCTGTTATACCCATTGGTAGTTTAATATACTGATCTGTCAAACCTGCCCATAGTGTATCTTCAAGCTGAAACAGACATTACTCTTCAGTAGAACTGAAACAGATATTACCATCAGTTGGTCTGAAACAGACACGGCTTATCAGTGGGACTGAAACAAATATTGCTCAACTGTCGCTTTGAAACAGACACTCATCAGTTGGGCTGCAACAGACATTATTCATCAGTGGGACTGAAACAAACATTGCCCAACAGTCAGGTTGAAACAGACAACTCATCAGTGGGGCTGAAACAGGCATCACTCATCAAAATACCTAAAGAGACAGTAGAGTTGAAACAGACATTACTCATCAGAGAAGACTAAAACAGGCATTAATTCATCAATTGGGATGAAACAGACCTTACTCATCAGTTTGGCTGAAAACTCACTGTTGTAAATAAACACCTTTATTACAAATACAGTTTGATTAAGAAGATACATAGTTATGAATAGCATACTTTGAGAATTTTTTTAGGTACAATTTATGATGTTTTTGATATGAAAATTTGCATACTGTTCTTTAAGGAATACTACTTCTTAAAATGAGCATACCATTTAAATTCTTAGACCTGACTAATCAGATTCATCAGATTGTACAGGAATTCTGTCACCTGGTAAGTCTACTGATGAATATACTCATATATACTAAATTTCCTTATGTTACCTTGAGGTCTGTTCCTAACTTGGTACCAAATCTGATGTTTCTGACAGCATATGGGGCTTGACTCATATTTTCTGATCCACCAACTAAAACAATATCACATTCTCCCAGTTCTATTTCCTACAAAAGCAAAACATGACATAAACATAAATAGGCATTATAATGTAACTTGATTCTCAGTCAAAATTACAAGCTATGTTTAAATGAATGCAGTTTCAGATATTTTTTATCCCCTAACAAGAATTGATATATTTTCTGATAGCTTCTTGCCTATGACATTTCAAAAATCAATGAGGTAAAAGAAACCAACCTGTGCCCCATTGACAACGGCCTGAAAGCCTGAGCCACATAATCTATTAACAGTTAAGGCTGGTGTTTCTACTGATAAACCACACTTCAATCCAACATGTCGTGCAATATAAGCTGCATCACTGGAAGACTATAAAATAATGAGAGAGTATAGCAATTATAACAGTGTTAGAAAATTTGATTTAGAAAGGATTCAATTTGTCAGCTACCAGTTCGTCCTCATTTAGGTTGGAAATGACATGAAATGAAGTTTTTTTGTCCTGCTTTTCTACTTCTTAGACTGATAAAAATTCGAGGGAAATCTTGAAGAAGATCTGCAACTGTATCAGGATGAAAAAACCAGGTTGAAAATCATCTCTGGAGAGAACACATGGTTGCAATGGATAGCGAGCTAGTGTGTCGCTCTCAACTTAATTGCACATTCAATATAAAATTCCACAATAAAGACATAAGCTTACACTTAATAATAAACTTAGACCTACCTGAATAACGTTACCAAACGTAACAGAGTTAATAAGTTCTGGTTTTAGATTAATACTTTCTATAGCACTCTTAGAAGCCAAGGCAGCTAGGTCAGTTGAAGACAACCCTGCCAATTTACCTCCATAGGTACCGAAAGCAGTTCTTTTAGCAGCTACTATAAACACACCCTTTACAGCTTAAAAGAAAAAGACTGAAAGTAACAACAGTTAATATGCAACTGCAGAGTTACTTTTTTCAGGGAGTATAGGACCTACATGTGCCCATGTGGTTTTTTGCAGGATCTTCCATTTCTAGAAGTTTTTTTCCCTTTTCCATAGCATTTATCAAAATTACCTGAACATACACTTTTACTGTAGGTTTTGGTCCCTAGTCATTATAGACATGACATAACATAGTTCAGTCCAAAGTCCAAGTTCCAAAATTCATTAGGAAAAAGTTTGCAACAACTCAAGACTCCACATCACGACGAATTCCGATATTTGTTTGGCTATATGGCAACAGTGTCTGGATTTAAATGGTTGAATAACCGTAAAACCATCCGTGACATTGTTTTTAAGAAAGATTTTCAGATTATTTTCTCAAAAAATCAAATTTTAAGCTTACCTCTCGACAGCGCCATGTTGTTTTTAGGTGACCTTCACCTTCAATTGTTGGGGTTAAGTCGGGTTCTTTGGTCCGATTGGGCAAATAATTCGTTCTGTTCTTTTTCTCATTTCGTAACGATTTTTGGTTTCGCTCATAGAGTTATATAATTATATAGTTTATATATTATTATATGGTCTTGCCACTTCGTTTTAGATAGCCTAATATGCATCCACAATTCCAAGAAATCACAAGACTATTCGGTAAAACAAGTTGGGGAGAATGGGGGTAAATGGTTTTCCTTCACTTTACGTTTAATAAAGTAACTAGAACCACCTTTTGATACTGTATGATTTTTCAAAATATTAAAACAAACTTTAGGTGTACATGCATTGAATAAAAGGGAACAACACTATAAACTATATCATTAAGGCGGCAGTAGGCTAAAATGCCTTACGAAACGTATCCCAGGGTTAATAACGACTTAAAATCTATCCAGTTTAATCTCAACAAATTAATCTTTGCCATCCAAACTATTAGATCATTAAAATCAGTCTTCTGTTGCCAAATAAAATGTATTTTAAACAAAGAAGGTTTAATAATTTAAAGAAAGCATGTACAGGTATCGCCCGTTCCACTTCTGGCTTCTAACGACATCAATCGAACGATACGAAACCGGATAGGCTATGTCTCATTAAAAATTAACCCTTCTTTATTCTGTCTCTGTCATTTTGAATTATGTATGGCGTTCATCTAGTTTTTCCGTTTTTAACGAGCAAAACTCTCCAATTGAGCGCCCCGAAGATAATTATAGTAGGCTAATAACTGGCGTTGGTCGATCGGCTGATTAATTTTAAACAATGCGTAATTTGAGACGCAAAGTAACAAAGTTACCACACTATCAATATATACCTATAGGACCCACTTCTTTCTTATACAGTGGTAGGCCTAGTATCGTATCGAAATATCAAGCTCTGTTCACATTGTTAAAATTATAGGCAGATTGGCTTTTTATTCCATTCTTTTGTTGGTACTTCTCTCGATATCTGAAATTATTGTTTCGATCAAATTGTGTAATGTATGGCCATGATTGTTTTCATTCTACGTTCATCAAAACAAAATCTGTAAACCAATGACGCATCGTAACTTGGACAGACAGCAGTGGGAATGGACCCTTAATTAAGCTTTGTGACATATTGAAACATTGTTCACGATTTTGGGCTATAGGATATAAAAGAAGCAATATTGTGGATCTGATGGAATACCTTACACGATACACGGAATTCAAACGATTTAAGAGGCGACAGAAGAAAGGTACGTTCGGCATAATATCAAACATAATTCCTGGTCGCTTTGAAATAGGTGCAGGTCTACAGTAGATCACAATTATTTTTTTTACTGTGTTGTAAAACGTGTACTCTAACTAAACTGAGACATCATATCACCAACGAAAATCTCAGGGGATGTTAATAAACGAAAAACGTCGAGGGAGAGTTAAAGTTACGACACACTGAATAAGATGGTTTCAAGCTAGTCTAGGAATTTGAGATGGATCCTGGATCCATTGATAGGTCTAGAGATAATAGACTAAATTGTTCCCCGCTCAATAATCAAAGATACAAGAAAGTAAAAGTAATTGAAATTTTTGGATGAATAAGTTTTATAGCCTGGTAGTCTGGCAGGCATATCTTAATAATTCAAATGAGGTTCAGCTAATTCGATTGTTTCGACATTTCATTGTGACGTAATGAAACTAGAAAATGTTTTACTTATAAGATATGGATCACTTGATAAAATCAAACTGTGCCGTGAAACTTGTAATATGGAAAAATCTTTATGAGAGCCCTTTGGCAGGGGCGGGCTCTGCTGAAAGTAAGTGTAGAGATCAGATGTGACCAGAATAAATTTGGTTGTGGGTTTTAATCTCAGTTGACAGGAGGGGTAAAACAGGTCATCTTCACTCACAATTGGAAAGGTCAATAACAAGAGGTTTGGCCAAGGACCAGCTGGTAGAAAAGAACCTTCGTGAACTTAAGTTGTCATCTGGCTAATCAGAGGATCTCACCGGATCGGTTGCAATCGATGTGAACAAAAGACTACTGGTAACTGCGAACAATTGGTTTAGGTGATAGCAAAATATTCTGACCACTTAGTTTGACGACAAGAAAGCATAACGTGAGCAAGATAGCAAATGGTATTTTCATACTTTTCATTCATTTTCATTTCAGAAACTCGCATAAGAAATGAGGCCAGTAAACAACTAAGTCACCAATCACCTGTATATTCTAAAAAGGGATGCTTCAGATATTCAGCTGGTCACAACAAACAAGGGTATCCCTGGACCCAACCTCATTTTTCTACCAAGCTTTCCAAGAGAACAAACGATGATTCATCACAAACGATCCTACCATCAATAGAAACAAAACAGAAACCTTTTGCAAAATATGCAACAGTAAAGACCACCACAGAGGTTCCAAAGGTTTCGGAAGAACAAGAAAAGTCAAACAGCCACATTATGTTACGTCGACCAACAACTATGATTCCTCCTCCTATTTTAGTGAGTGAAGATAGTTTTAAGTCATTGGCCAATTCTACACAACTGCGACCCATTATCATTGACGAATCGCAGGCGAAAACGTTTGAGTTTTATAGAACTCATTATCCACTGTTATTAGAAAAATCCATTGGCGAAGATCGCGAGAAAATCTTTAACAAACGGAACATCATTCGTGATACACCAGAACAAGTTGCTCAGAAACGGAGTAAATATGTCCATGAGAGACTGGAAGGTCTTCATCGAGATTTGCAGATCTTGGAAGAGGAGATGACTGATGGTAAATTTCGTACCGAACTTCGAAGAAAAATTTATGATCCTAGAGTATGGCCATGGAACAAGAAACGTTACATTCAACCCATCGATTTTTATGATGATTGAAACAATCATTTCAAGTTGCTCCGACAATCAAAGCAGTCATCCAGGAATGATTCGATTTACGTAATATTGAAATACGTAGCATAAAAGGGTTTCTATACATGGCGATTTTCAGCGAAATTTTTACATTGCCACCTCGGCCTCTGCCTTTTAAAGTACAACTTTCGTCAACTTTTTTACAACTGTACATAGATTTTCTAAAATAAGTAAAAATGATTTCTAGAGAAAATTCCTTAGAATTAGAATTTTTCTAACAAAAACTTTTTGAGTAAGAAATGAGAAAATGGGGTTTTGGTACAGAATTGAAACTAAAATCTTTTTTATTTTCATATATGTGTCTTAAAATTTCAAATTGAAGAGTTGCTTTTTTATAGAAAAAAAATGATTATAGGAAAGTACCGAATTTTGTTTAATTTAACATGTTTATTTGTCAATGACGGATTTCAATTTATATATAGCAATGATAATTATTTATTAATATCAATTTCATATAATAAAGATTACTGAAATAAAACAGCTTGATTACTAATTAGCAAGGTGATTAATTAGGCTTAATGATTCCATTAATCTATACAGTATCTGATTGACCAATTAACAATCATGGCGGAAAAGGCTAATCCCTCTCGATATTGAGTCTACGAAAACATATTTTGCATTGGCTTTGATCCCGAGGGTTTCTCCGTGTGCAATATAAACATGGGAATACCAAAGGATAAGCGGACATGTTTGATAATGGTTTCCCAGAATGGTTTTGGACTCTGCCGATGCCACCATGAAAGGGATGCCGAAAAGGTATATATATTTTTTGAGCATTCCTCATCATACCATCCTCGGTTACTCAACTTGAGCACACCTAACCATCCAATTATTTACCGTGACAATACGTTATGGATTTTCGTCAGCAAACAGCCGACCTCGCTCCCAAAACCAATTATTGTGGTTTGTCAGCTATCCCTATTGATGGTCACACGTTTCAGCTTGTCAATCTGACACCCGCTCATAGCTCAAGTGGTAAGCAAGGATTCTTTTCAATTTCTGTGTCTGCGGACACAGCAGTGTATTCTTTGCATCAGTCAGCACCAGCCTCCTTTGCCTCTCATCTGACCAGCACCATTGAGCACCAATTTAATCTTTCATATATATACATTATAGATAGGGACGTTGTTTGTGCTTTTGAACCCCGATACATAACATGCGATTGAATAATTAATTTACTTTTTCAGACTACCAGAATGGTTCACATCCAACTCCGCCCGCTACACCAAAAATCCGCCTCTTCTCGGATACGTTTTTAGCTATGTTGTCTGCGTCCATGGATTCCAATTCTGAACCACCAACTACACCAGACCTGGCATCTTTAACTGATCCATTCCAGTCACCTCTTACAGCCACCAATTCCTCTACTTCATCCATAAATTTTTCATTAGATGGTTCCTTTATTGTTGAAAGTCGTCCGCTTAATGATTCCTTTTCCTTTCCTGATAGTTTTGGAACCCGATCGACCAGGAATGCTTCTTCTATATTATCTTCCGTACCACATGATAGTCCCCTCTCAAATCATCCATATTTTACAGCATTGTGTGATGTTCTCCATACGGATTTAGAACTGAAGAAGATGGTCACCACGAAACCGAACATCGCTGACATGGAAAAGAAACTCTATGATCAGTTACAACTTCTCGAGGCAGTGAATCCTTATCAAGTGACAACTATACGTACCATGTACCAGTACCAGACCGCTGCCAACGAACAGGAACGTTTCGCTGCTTTATCAAAGAATAGTCGTGATATTTACTACAGTGATCTTCTCAACAACCACTACGACGACCAAAGAGTTCAAATCATCAACCGTGTCCATCAAAGTGTACAATTACTGTGTCAGTCTCTAGTGAGTTATCCTATTCACAGCGTCATCAACAATGCCATTTATTTGGAACCGTCTACCACACCATGTACATCAACACCTTTTAAGATGGGTGCACCTACGCCAATTCCAACAGCCTCGGTTGCTGTTCAATCTCAAGCCAGATGTTTGTCGTCTCCTGGTTTGATTAACCTAATTCAAGCTTCCCCAACACCGAAAAACACCAGTCCATCGACCACCAGTTCCATTGTTCCTAATCAAGTGATTACCACTACCACCAGTTCCATACCCGTAACCCCACCTGTGACAAACTCATCGATCGCTAGATCTAGACCAGTACTTTCCAAATCCACCATCCAGAAGCTCGAAGCATGGTACACAGCACACGAAGAGCATCCTTATCCCAACAATGAAGTAATTGAAGATTTATCTAATGCTTGTGGCATCACCTATAGTCAGGTTAGAAAATGGTTTGCTAACAAGAGAAATCGTTCAAAAAATACCAAGACCCTTTCCGCTATCGCCTGCCGAAAACGTCAAGAAAAGTATGGGTTGTTTGTGTGAACGGGTGTGTTCAATATACAGATTATGATAGTGCTCGGGGGTCTACTTTGTTATCAATTGTTATTTATTTGACTCTCTGTTTCTGTGTGATCTGATGGAGAACTTTTGTTATTTATCTTAAATGTTATTGTATGTTATTTATTCATCTGTGACAAAATCCTGCTGAAAGATCTATGTCAGATTGTTATTTATCTATTATTAGTTCTTTTTTTATTAATTATGTACTCACGTGATTATTGACAATTGAAGGACCTCAACAACTGAACTGAACTTCCGTAACATAACTAGAGTATTGCAGAGGAACGGTTGTTAAAAATTTATATGCTTTATACCTGTATGAACTTGTTGATTGTTATCTCTTCTATTTTTGTATGTTATCAATATTTAAATCAAGTAAACATGTAAAAGTTCATGAATGTCTTATTAAAAGCAGAAAGGGATAGGTTTCTATCTGGTAATGTAGAAACACATTATGAATAACTGTCACGATTTTCTTATTGTCATTAGATGTTAAACCTTCCATCTTTGGAGAGATTCTTTTGTAGTGCCACAAGGGAATGTCTTATATAAAACTTGTAAAGAGATTGAAATAAGCAGTTCATTCTACAAGTAATGTCGGTAATATATTCAAATCAATATCAAATAGAGACAAAAAACATTTACGACTGGAGAGAACAGGATGACAGAGCTACGAGTCATTCCACATTCTTCAAATTTTGTATCATGAGTTGCGTATCTGAGCTGTCATTTGAATTAACAGCTTTGTGTCAACACATCAAATTTTCTTTAGATTAGAATTTGTCTTACACTAAGACCTTCAACTAGACTGAAACATCTGACACTGACAGCTGTCCGAGGCAACAACAACTGTCGAGATAGCTATCAGACACTGAGATGAGAACTGCGGGATCGTCGTACCTAAATTTGTTTCAACTCACGGACACCAGTTTACGCCCTTTTAACTGAACAATATTCACAATTTCATTATTAAAACTGTTCTATTGTGGCTGCCAGCGGGTCAGGAGGAGTGGTACGATAATGCGCTGTGGATATAGTTGAACAAGAATCTGGTTTTTTAAATGTTTATATAATTAAAAGGATAAAACATAAGATGAATGAAAAGTTGAATTATTATACATCTGATAACTGTAGAAGTAGAGCGTAGAGCGTAGAGCGATTAACGTATTATTAGACATTCCTGGCCCCTTTTACAATATTGATACAACAATCTGATAAAGTCTGAGAACTAACTGAAAACTGATAAGTTCAAACTGATAAAAAATGTTAATTTGAGAATTCTACATTCTGCCATGATGGTTCATTTAAAAATGGTTCTTTTTATGCATCAATTGTCACAATAAGAAACGAAAAGATAATATGATATACTAAATTTCAGGAATTAGCTTGTGTAATATTGTGAAAAAACGAAATAAGTTTAAAACGTTCAATAAATGCTAAAATGGCCATAACATGTTCTACACGACAAATATTGTACCAAGAGTTTAAAAAAATGCTTATTACTTCTTTGTACAATATTTTCAAAAGATTTCTAAAATATACTCTTATACTACTATGTATCTACTTGATCAACCTGAATATTAAAAAGAGTAATTTAAAAACCGAATGCACTTATTGATTAGTTAGCAGTTTGCACTAAATTTGGTGTTTTACTTTACTTTAAGCGTCACAGAACGTCTTTTTTATTAGTTATTTATTCCGATAAATATAGACTTTTAATGGATAATATCGACCACAAAAAATTTTTCTTGTTGAAAAATGAGATCATCGACTGATATGTTAATAGCCGACATTAAATTTTTTTTTTTTTATCACAGTTCTAAATATACATATAATTCTACATATATTTAGTAGAAATATATACCAACAGGGCATTTCCTTGACAAAAAAAAAGAACATTTTCTTTCGTAATAACTGGTTCAGACTTTATGTCTGCAGTTATGTCAATATTGTACAAAAAGTCCCCAAAGAAATCGTTCTTTCTTTATTGATTGCATTTTTTATTTCTTTCTTTCTTTCCCAGTCAACTGTGACAAGAACTTTTTCTCTGAATCTTCATCATAAATCAACACCCTGGAATCCATGACTACAACATTCCTGTATATGTTACTCTGTAGGAGTCTTTGTATTTTTTTGTTTCTCAGCTTGTAACCAAGTATTTGCTGTTTTTGTCAGTTTGTAACTCAGTAATTTTTACATTTTCAGTTTTGTAGTTGTAATTTATTGGTTTCTCAGTTTGTAACTCAGTAATTGTCTGTAACACAGTATTTGTCTGTAACTCAGTAATTGTCTGTAACACAGTAATTGTTTGTAACTCAGTTTGTAACTCACTATTTGTTGGTTTCTATATTTGAGACTTGTAATTTGTAATTCTCAGTTTGTAACTCAGTATTTGTTTGTAACTCAGTTTGTAACTCACTATTTGTTGGTTTCTATATTTGGAACATGTAATTTGTTTGCTTATCAGATTGAAACTCAATGTTTGTTGGTTTGAAGTTCTATATTTGTTTGTTTCTCAGTTTGCAATTCAGTATTTTTTGCCAATTTGTAACTGAGTATCTGTTGGTTTCTCAGTGGGATATTTGGAATTAGCTGGTTTCTCTCAGTATTTGTCTGTATCTTTGCATTTGTTGATTGCTTAGTTTCTTAGTTTGTAAACCAGTTTTTTTTGGCAATTTGTAACTCAGTATTTGTTGATTTCACAGTTTGGTATTTGGAATTCGTTTGTTTCTCAATACGTAGCTTATTTGTTCAATTTTTAATTTTAGTTTTATAAGGCTTTAGCTTATATAGTATGATAAACATATATACCGATACAATATAAATACATATACAATGAATATAATGACAATAACCATATTATACATTTAAAACAATACTACGATTAAAACAGTTAACAATTAATTGTAAGTTTCTCATTTTATAACTCAGTATTTGAAGGTTTATACATAATAATTCAATAGTTGTATTTGTATGCTATGCCAAAGGCCACAGAGTATATGTGAAAGCAATAATTATAGATTAATATTTACAATCGGATAATAGATTTTACATATTAATTTTTTGTACAATTTTTTAATTAACAATTTATTTCATTTCCAGGATATAGAGATTTCTCAGTTTGTAATTCAGCATGTGTTGGTTTCTCAGTTTGTAACTCAGGATGTGTTGGTTTCTCAGTTTTCATCTCAGTATTTGTTGGTTTCTCAGTTTGTAACTCAGCATGTGTTGGTTTCTCAGTTTGTAACTCAGCATGTGTTGGTTTCTCAGTTTGTAACTCAGGATGTGTTGGTTTCTCAGTTTGTAACTCAGTATTTGTTGGTTTCTCAGTTTGTAACTCAGGATGTGTTGGTTTCTCAGTTTGTAACTCAGCATGTGTTGGTTTCTCAGTTTGTAACTCAGGATGTGTTGGTTTCTCAGTTTGTAATTCAGTATTTGTTGGTTTCTCAGTTTGTAACTCAGGATGTGTTTGTTTCTCAGTTTGTAACTCAGCATGTGTTGGTTTCTCAGTTTGTAACTCAGGATGTGTTGGTTTCTCAGTTTGTAACTCAGTATTTGTTGGTTTCTCAGTTTGTAACTCAGGATGTGTTGGTTTCTCAGTTTGTAACTCAGCATGTGTTGGTTTCTCAGTTTGTAACTCAGGATATGTTGGTTTCTCAGTTTGTAACTCAGTATTTGTTGGTAGATCTGTATTTGTCTGTTACTCAGCATTTGTCTGTAACCCAATGATTTTTGCTTTATCAGTTTGAAATTCGCTGTTAATTTGTTTGTTTCTCAGTATTTGTTGGTTTCTCGGCCAAAGCTTCAGTATTTGTTGGTTTCTCCGCAAAAGTCTCAGTATTTGTTGGTTTCTCAGCAAAGGTCTCAGTATTTGTTGGTTTCTCAGCAAAACTTTCAGTATTTGTTGGTTTCTCAGCAAAACTTTCAGTATTTGTTGGTTTCTCAGCAAAACTTTCAGTATTTGTTGGTTTCTCAGCAAAACTTTCAGTATTTGTTGGTTTCTCAGCAAAAGTCTCAGTATTTGTTGGTTTCTCAGCAAAAGTCTCAGTATTTGTTGGTTTCTCAGCAAAACTTTCAGTATTTGTTGGTTTCTCAGCAAAACTTTCAGTATTTGATGGTTTCTCAGCAAAACTTTCAGTATTTGTTGGTTTCTCAGCAAAACTTTCAGTATTTGTCGGTTTCTCAGCAAAAGTCTCAGTATTTGTTCGTTTCTCAGCAAAAGTCTCAGTATTTGTTGGTTTCTCAGCAAAACTTTCTTTCTTTTGTGACTCGATTTTGCATGATTGGTACTTATCTGTCTGACTATCTAAATAACCACCCGCCAGAACAGTTTTGCTTGTAGTATCATACAAGTAATATTTGTTACCAGTAAAAACGACCGCCATTTTCTCATTAACCATGGTAATAGCTGTATGACCTATCGGAATATTGGTCCACATGTTCGAGTCCGCGGGATCGTCGACTTTTGCCTTTTCAACTGCGATGTACTTGACGTTTTGATCCACTTTAGTGCTATTTTTCTTGACATAGTACACAACCTTTCCAGAGAAAACATACAAGACATCAGGAAACGATACAACAGCATCCAATGGTTTACCTTCGTTTGACTCGAATATTTCATGAAAAAATGTGTACGATCGACTTTCAGTGCACATTTCATATCTTGTGGAAGATACTTTGTTGAAACACTGATGTTTTTGCCCTGAAATGAAAACAAAATAGATTTTACAGACAAGCAAAAAAATCAAAAAAAGAAATAACAAATCCGTCCTTTCGGAATATTGCTTCGCTTATCTTTTTTGTAAGTGACTATAACACCCCATCCAAAATAATAGTGCTTTTAAACAACCTAAATATTCCATCCTATGAACAAATGATTATTAAAAAAAATTAAAATGTAAAGTTACACAGCAAACCGGTATTGATCGGACAAAATTCAATTTAACAATTTTACTAGGCTATTATAGTTCTGAAACATCAACAGAAAATCTTTAGAAATTTTCTAAATATGAGTTCTAAATCTTTGATTGAATCATTTTCTTGGTTGCATACTAGAGTGGGTATTCGTCCAAAATTTGGGCGCATGCTTAAATTTTGAAAACGACTGGAAAAGAGGAACCTGTGTGTTTGTTGGTTTTATGGAATCCTTAGAGTGAAAAACACAAAATGACGACAATGAATTTGCAAAAAGATGACAATGTTAGGCGTAGTATATCTAGAAAATAGTAGAAACATACCGTTCCCTACCAAATATCCTACAGCGCATCAGACACAGCACCTCGTCTATTCGCTGCTCGATAATGGCTTTACGTGACAACAAATAGTCGACTATATTTTTTCTCGAAATGAATGGTTCATTCATGCCAATTGCATATGATTCAATGAAATGCTTTAAATCGCCAGTCATCACGCGATGACCTCTGACAATGTTTTTAGATTTTAATTTAGAAAAATTTAAGGTTAATGTTGATATGAAAAGTAACTTTATGACCATTCATCGGGCGATCGTGACCATTATTGCATTTAATTAAGGGAATATTTGAAATAATTAGCCGGGAAATAATTAAAGTTAACCCACACCATTGTACAATAGTCTTGAATGTCTGACACGATATTAATTTATTACCCCGTTTTATTGTTTACTTGTTTATTTTTGTTTGGATCATGGTTGGTTACTATTATATAAATTAAATGATTAAATTGCAAAGTTGAAATGCAAACGCTCTGAACAATTACTTTTTTTAGACACCATAATAAAGAAAAAATACTCCGGTGGCCATTATACTCGTCATCTAGTAGAGTTAGATCATGTGAACTGTTTGTTTATTTCAATCTGAAAGTTTGTCAAGTTACTTTAACTTAAAGAGATAAATTCGTTTAAATATTAATTTTAGAAGCTAACGCAGCTCGATTCTCTCATAGCTGATTGAATGTTAGACGGGACCATTTTACTCCTATTATTATTAATATTATGATTATTATTGATAATGTTATCATCATTATTATTATTATCATTATTATCGTATTATTATTATCATTATTCAAGTGTTGCATATAGTAAAACAAACCTACCATTTACAAGGAATGTTACATGGGGAATAGTAAAAGAAGCTTGTGGCGGCTCGCTCCAACCTGCATACATTGTTGAGAGGGTTAGACTAGACTCTAGAGTTCCTGTAATTCCTCTTTCGCCGTTGATTTCAGTAATTTTATACAAGAAGGCATGTGAGTCGGTGTTCACTACCAACGTGCTATCAGCGGCATAAAACTGGGCTGAATTTACAATACTAGAAGATGGACTGGCTACCTGCAATGAAAACGTGCATAATATCAGTGACAATGTGCATGATATCAATTAAAACGTGCATAATACTAATGAAAATGTGCATGATATCAAGGGAAATGTGCGTGATATCATTGAAAATATTCTTGATATCAAGGGAAATGTGCGTGATATTATTGAAAATATGCATGATATCAAGGGAAATGTGCGTGATATTATTGAAAATATGCATGGTATCAAGGGAAATGTGCGCGATATCATTGAAAATATGCATGATATCAAGAGAAATGTGCGTGATATCATTGAAAATGTGCATGATATTAAGGGAAATGTGCGTGATATCATTGAAAATATGCATGATATCAAGGGAAATGTGCGTGATATCATTGAAAATGTGCGTGATATCATTGAAAATGTGCATGATATCAAGGGAAATGTGCGCGATATCATTGAAAATATGCATGATATCAAGAGAAATGAGCGTGATATCATTGAAAATGTGCATGATATCAAGGGAAATGTGCGCGATATCATTGAAAATATGCATGATATCAAGGGAAATGTGCGCAACATCATTGAAAATATGCATGATATCAAGAGAAATGTGCTTGATATCATTGAAAATATGCATGTTATCAAGGGAAATGTGCGTGATATCATTGAAAATGTGCATAATATCAAGGGAAACGTGCGCGATATCATTGAAAATGTGCATGATATCAAGGGAAATGTGCGCGATATCATTGAAAATATGCATGATATGAAGGGAAATGTGCGTGATATCATTGAAAATACGCATGAAATCAAGGGAAATGAGCGTGATATCATTGGAAATATGCATGAAATCAAGAGAAATGTGGGCGATATCATTGAAAATATGCATGATATCAAGAGAAATGTGCTTGATATCATTGAAAATATGCATGTTATCAAGGGAAATGTGCCTGATTTCATTGAAAATGTGCATGATATCAAGGGAAATGTGCTCGATATCATTGAAAATGTGCATGATATCAAGGGAAATGTGCGCGATATCATTGAAAATGTGCATGATATCAAGAGAAATGTGCTTGATATCATTGAAAATATGCATGTTATCAAGGGAAATGTGCGTGATATCATTGAAAATGTGCATGATATCAAGAGCAATGTGGGCGATATCATTGAAAATATGCATGATATGAAGGGAAATGTGAGTGATATCGTTGAAAATACGCTCGATATCAAGGGAAATGTGCGCGATATCATTGAAAATATGCATGATATCAAGGGAAATGTGCGCGATATCATTGAAAATATGCATGATATCAAGGGAAATGTGCGTGATATAATTGAAAATGTGCATGATATCAAGAGAAATGTGTGCGATATCATTGAAAAGTATGCATGATATGAAGAGAAATGTGCGTGATATCATTGAAAATATGCATGAAATCAAGGGAAATGAGCGTGATATCATTGGAAATATGCATGAAATCAAGGGAAATGAGCGTGATATCGTTGAAAATATGCATGAAATCAAGGGAAATGAGCGTGATATCATTGAAAATGTGCATGATATCAAGAGAAATGTGTGCGATATCATTGAAAATATGCATGATATGAAGGGAAATGTGCGTGATATCATTGAAAATATGCATGAAATCAAGGGAAATGAGCGTGATATCATTGGAAATATGCATGAAATCAAGGGAAATGGGCGTGATATCATTGGAAATATGCATGATATGAAGGGAAATGTGCGTGATATCATTGAAAATATGCATGATATCAAGGGAAATGTGCGTGATATCATTGGAAATATGCATGATACGAAGGGAAATGTGCGTGATATCATTGAAAATATGCATGAAATCAGGGGAAATGAGCGTGATATCATTGGAAATATGCATGATATCAAGGGAAATGTGCGTGATATAATTGAAAATGTGCATGATATCAAGAGAAATTTGTGCGATATCATTGAAAATATGCATGATATGAAGGGAAATGTGCGTGATATCATTGAAAATATGCATGAAATCAAGGGAAATGAGCGTGATATCATTGGAAATATGCATGAAATCAAGGGAAATGAGCGTGATATCATTGGAAATATGCATGAAATCAAGGGAAATGAGCGTGATATCGTTGAAAATGTGCATGATATCAAGGGAAATGTGCCTGATATAATTGAAAATGAGCATGATATCAAGGGAAATGAGCGTGATATCAAGGGAAATGTGCATGAAATAAATGAAAATGAGCATGATAGCAATGCAAAATTAATGTGCATGAAATAAATTAACAGTACGTGATGTCAACGAAAACGTACATGTTAGCGAAGAAGGTGTCTTTTTCGATACTGTCACAAAGATTTGGCATAACACCTGTCATTTTAACATTCAAATACGGATAATTCTGGACACATTTGAATTGATGGCTCAAATTTCGACGGTGAGCAGTGAACACTAGTAATGATTGGCTTAGCTAAAAAATTCATGTTTCTGAACCATGATTGGTTAAAAAAAATTGGCGCATCTATCCCTTTAATTTCTAAAAGTGGAAGGAATTCCAGATTTACAGACCAAAATTAAAGTTTAAAATAAGTTATTTGTGTATCAAATTTTTGATGATTTTACGTATTGTCTTCAAACCAGGATTGCATTTGTGGAAAATTCATTGCTTGCAAATTCTGTCAGTTTTGATGTCGACCTGGCGAATGATTGGGCACATCATTCCATTCAATTTGGAAATGTGCTCGACGCAATTATCTATGGCGCTGACAAAAACATTCACATTCACGGCCGTCAGCTTATTAAAAGATCATATTCCAGAATGTCAATGTGATAAAAAATATTGAAAATTCCACCAAAAACCACAACAATTATCAATAATAATATAAACAAAACAACTTAAGGCTACAAATAATGGTAGTAATTTGTGTTATCAAATTTTTCTGATATTTGTAGAAATCGAAATTTTTTCATGTGATTTAAAACAGGTACAAATAACTGTAAACTGGTGCTAATGTTTGACTAAATTTGAAATCTCTATCGCTTTACGTTTCCTATTCGCGCGAAGAGATAACTATTTTTGGTGACATTTCGAAACATTTTGATGAAAATATAACTCTATCGATTTGAGTTTCCTATTCGCGCGAAGAGATAACTATTTTTGGAGACATTTCGAATCATTTTGATGAAAATATAACTCTATCGATTTGAGTTTCCTATTCGCGCGAAGAGATAACTATTTTTGGAGACATTTCGAAACATTTTGATGAAAATTCAACTCTATTGATTTGAGTTTCCTATTCGCACGAAGAGATAACTATTTTTGGAGACATTTCGAAACATTTTGATGAAAATATAACTCTATCGATTTGAGTTTCCTATTCGCGCGAAGAGATAACTATTTTTGGAGACATTTCGAAACATTTTGATGAAAATATAACTCTATCGATTTGAGTTTCCTATTCGCGCGAAGAGATAACTATTTTTGGAGACATTTCGAAACATTTTGATGAAAATATAACTCTATCGATTTGAGTTTCCTATTCGCGCGAAGAGATAACTATTTTTGGTGACATTTCGAAACATTTTGATGAAAATATAACTCTATCGATTTGAGTTTCCTATTCGCGCGAAGAGATAACTATTTTTGGTGACATTTCGAAACATTTTGATGAAAATATAACTCTATCGATTTGAGTTTCCTATTCTCGCGAAGAGATAAGTATTTTTGGAGACATTTCGAAACATTTTCATGAAAATATAACTATCGGTAAAAATTTCATTTTCAAAATCAGTGAAAATATTTTCTGGTAATATCTGCTGACAATTTGGCGTTAAACTTACCCTTTCGTAATAATCAGCATAGTCATTTTCAACGAGATCATTGCCCGCAGTGTAATTATTTAAGAATACACAGGCTATCTTCCCTAATTTTGTCCGCTGCAGATTTCGAAAGAGAACGAAACCAGCACAATTTGAATCCTTTGCACAAAACTTGGCACAGTGAATGACGTTGGAATATTCACCCTTTTTAAAAGCATTTTTACCATAATTTCGCTCATGGTTGGGTGCAATATTGCGGAACACATAAGTACACGTTAAACAATGGATCCGATAGAATGTGAAGAACGAAATTAAGAAAATTATCGTAAACATTGAATGAATTTCCATCATCAGATTTTTTGCTTTAGGTAATTACCACAAATTCGACCTTATCGGTAGGGCATTCTGTATCCGTTTGAAAGATTCTTGGATCAAATGAAATATTTTCAGAAAGTCTTCGCATTACCGAATCACACTCGGCAGTCATGTTAACTAGAAGAACATATTCGATTTTGAAAGTCGAAATCGACCTTCAATGAAACATATCAAGCAATCCATTTAACATGGAAACAATCAAATGGTCTGTACACTGTCTTAAAAATATATCAGGAAAATGAATTGAAATTGTTGGCATAATGCAAAAAGCTTGTTTTTCTTAAAGTGATATTAATATTGAACTGAAAATCATTTCTAATCAAATCCATAATCTTAATCAATCATAAGGTTGGGTGTCTGATTGTAGAGAGGAATTTTATATCTAAGATCAATGATCAAGCTATTATGTGAACAAATTTATAATTATCGGATAAATTTCATTAAAGTCTGATGCATTGATTTCCTATATTTAATTAAAAGGTATGTCTAGGTACCTGCAGTAATTCAACACCCAATTGCCACTTTAACCACCATACAACTTTTCCCCAATTACAAGACTTACCACAATACAACACGACCACATTTACAACATTAAAAATGATAACCAAAATACGGAATTGCAAAATTAAACCATTTACAACAATACCACTTTAACAACAATATCATATTTACAACATCTAAAATTTTACTATATTACAACATGACATCTTTTTCATATCACATAATCCGATCCACAACATTTCCCCTCTTAGAACTTTTACAACTCGACCAAATATACAACATTATAACTTTTACCACATTAATAACATTATAAATTTTACCACATTAATAAAATTATAGCTTATACCACATGCTACCACATTTGCAACCACAGTTGTATCATGACAATTTTTGCCACATGCATAACATTAGAATTTTATAACTTTTATTGTACGTATTTCTATTTCTATATTGCTCTACAATTGTATTGAGCACCATTTTAACTTATTGTATTGTAACTTTTATAACATTACCAGTTTAGTTATTTTAAAGGTTATTGACATATTCTCCTAGTTTTTGTTATGAGGTGATATTTTACTTTGTTATTGTTAGTTGTTATTAATGTAATAGTAACCAAAAGAATGGTTTTTGAGGTTGTTATTTTACCTAACTTTTGTTACTTGCTTTTGTGCAGAGTATTGTGTTATGGTTGTTTGTTATTAATCACGTTATGATATTATTTTACCAAGTAAATGTTATTAGTTTTTAAACGGGTTAAGATATTATGTTACCACGTTAGTGTTATTTGTTATTAATCAGGTTGTGGTAAAATCCTGTTGTTCTTTTAATTAGCTGTTATCCAGCTTGGGGTAGTATGTTACCTAGTTATTGTAAATGTTTGTTATTATTCAGGTTGTGGTGATATGTTACCTAATTATTAGTTATTATTCATGTACTTAGTTATAATTTCGAATGTGGTGATATTTTACCTAGTTATTAGTTATTGTTCATGTAATTAGTTATTATTCAGGTTGTGGTGATATGTTACCTAGTTATTAGTTATTGTTCATGTAATTAGTTATTATTCAGGTTGTGGTGATATGTTACCTAATTATTAGTTATTATTCAGGTTGTGGTGATATGTTACCTAGTTATTAGTTATTGTTCATGTAATTAGTTATTATTCAGGTTGTGGTGATATTTTACCTAGTTATTAGTTATTGTTCATGTAATTAGTTATTATTCAGGTTGTGGTGATATTTTACCTAGTTATTAGTTATTGTTCATGTAATTAGTTATTATTCAGGTTGTGGTGATATGTTACCTAATTATTAGTTATTATTCATGTACTTAGTTATAATTTCGAATGTGGTGATATTTTACCTAGTTATTAGTTATTGTTCATGTAATTAGTTATTATTCAGGTTGTGGTGATATGTTACCTAGTTATTAGTTATTATTCAGGTTGTGGTGATATGTTACCTAGTTATTAGTTATTGTTCATGTAATTAGTTATTATTCAGGTTGTGATGATATGATACCTAGTTATTAGTTATTGCTCATGCAATTAGTTATTATTCAGGTTGTGGTAATATTTTACTTAGTTATTAGTTATTGTTCATGTAATTAGTTATTATTCAGGTTGTGGTAATATTTTACTTAGTTATTAGTTATTGTTCATGTAATTAGTTATTATTCAGGTTGTGGTGATAAGTTACCTAGTTATTAGTTATTGTTCATGTAATTAGTTATTATTCAGGTTGTGGTGATATGTTACCTAGTTATTAGTTATTGTTCAGGTTGTGGTGATATGTTACCTAGTTATTAGTTATTATTCAGGTTGTGGTGATATGTTACCTAGTTATTAGTTATTATTCAGGTTGTGGTGATATGTTACCTAGTTATTAGTTATTATTCAGGTTGTGGTGATATGTTACCTAGTTATTAGTTATTATTCAGGTTGTGGTGATATGTTCCCCAATAATAAGTTATTGTTCATGTAATTAGTTATTATTCAGGTTGTGGTGATATGTTACCTAGTTATTGTTCATGTAATTTATTATTACCTATACTTATTATTCAGGTTGTTGTTATAATTTTTTAAGTAATAATTTTTTGTAAAATATTACGTGGATGTCGTGCTTGCTAACATTCAGACTGTGTTACCTATTGTTATTTGTTGTTATTTGAGCTGCCGTGATGTGTTACCTATTGTAATTTGTATTTAGTATTAGTGGTATCACTCTCGAAAAGTGATGATTGAAGATTGACTCTTAAACGTCTGTTGATGGGTATAAATTACAACAGATTGCACCAATGTTTGACATTACAAATGGAAAATAGCAATCAGTTCTAAACAGTTTAGCTCTTATGATGACCAAGGTTGTGTCGCAGATCATATTGGTTTGACACGTGCAAAAATCACACCATACGTGCAGCCGATTTCTGTCAGTTATTTGACAGAGAAAACGATCCATTTACAATTTTCTTTGGTGAGAAATCTCCCAGACGCTTCATGGGAGGCTTGCGCCTTTAAGCTTCGCATTTTGAATCCGAACCTCGACAATTGTCAGCCTGCCTCCTAATTGTACCACAATTCTTGGGAGGCT